AGCGTACTTAATTTATTAAAGATTTTATTAAAAATATAAGCCGTTGTATTAGTATTTAGGTACGTAACGTTTATATTATTATATAAAAATAATTCCTAAATTCCGTATTTATTTAATACGATATTTATAATATTAAAATACGTTTAAATTAAGAAAAGTTAAACGGTTATTTACTAACGGCCGTATTAATTAAGTTGTTTAATAAGCGATAGATTTTTTATATTATTAAGTAAGTTAATAATAAGCCGGACCGTTTTATTAAGTTTATTTAGACCTTTTTTTATTATTTTTAAATATAGAAGCGATTTTTAAAAGTAATTAATTTTAATAATATTTATAATATTAATCGTTTTAAGCTTCTATTGTTTTAAGTAATTAAGTAGATATACTTTAGATTTATTTATAATATAGTATTTAGTTTTATTAATAACGAAAAGTTAAAGGGCTTTCGATTTCTTTTTAAGAGTATAAGATAATTAGTTAATTAATATTTAATTCGTCGTTTTATAATTATTATTATAGATTATAATAAATAAATAAAAGTTATATTTAGCGAAGAGTTTTTAAATACTTAGTAATAGTTCTATATTTATTATATTAATTTTAATATTATACTTAAGGTTAAGTAGAAGTAAATTAAAATCGGCGGTAATAATAATAATAATAATAGGTCTAATAAAAAGGATCTTTATTTAACAATATAAGTAATAGCGGAGTTTAATAAAGAAGATTATATTTATATTAATACGACGGTAAATTAAACTATTTTATATATTTACTATAGGGTATTTATTATATAGAAGTTTATTATTTTTATTAAAATAAAGTAATTTTTTAAGAAAATATAAAGAAAGTTTTATTAAGAGTTTAATAATTAACGCCCGATTTTATAATACTTATATTTAATATATTTATTTATAAGAATATAATAAGCTCGCTATTTTATCCGCTAATATTAAAATTTTAATATTTATATTATTTTTAATATTAAATTTAATAATAATAATATTAAAAGCTATTTTTTAATAGTTTTAGTTATTTACATTAGCTTATTAATATTATATAGGATATAATTAGCGATTAGGAGTTATATTTTTATTAAGCTTATATAAAAAACGAGGTGCTTACCGGCTAGGATTATCTCGGCCCCCGTTTAAAATACTTTAATAAACTTCGAATTATAATTTTATTAAAATATTTTAAATTAATTACTAAGTAATACCGGCTTATATATAAGGCAATATTTTTTAAAAAAAGGACGTTTTTATTTTTTATTAAGAAATATAGTAATAATTATTTTATATTAATTAAGGTAGGTATCCCGTATTATTATAAGACTTTTTTAAAAATAATAGAATTATCGATTTTTAATAAATAAAAAGTTTATTTATAATAGCGGTTTTAAATAATATTTTTTTTATTCTTTATTATTAGATTTTAAATTTAAAAATTATAATATTTTTTATAATAAATTAAAAAATATAATATAATAAGTTTTTATAAAGCTTATACTACCTTAATAAAGTTAATAATTTTAATATTAAATTATTATAATATAAAATAGCTAAGGTTTGACCGGCCGTAAACGAGGCCGTTTATTAAAAAGCCGTAATAAATTATCGTTAATTAAAAGCTTATAAAGGGCCGGCTATTTAATTTTTAATTAGGCTTTAAATTAATTTGATAATAAATAAAAAGTTAGTTTAATATATTTAATAAAGGAAAAATAATAGGGGGTTATATAAATAAAAAGCCGTTATAATTTAGTATTTAAAAGCGGTAAAACGAATAAAAAATAATATTAAATAACGGTAAATAAAAGAATTTACGATTATATTATTTTATTTATTATTTAAGTAATTTATTATAAGTTAACGTTATAATTAAAGTAAAAATAATTAATTATTTATTTATTTATTATTTTTAAAGACTTTATAAATACTTTGTGAGGAATAACTTAAGGCATATATTATTTAGCGAGAATATTAAAGTTATTAAGTTATTAAAATATTATTATAAGTACTTTTACCGTTTTTGCGGGAATGTATTATAATTTTAAGCTAATTAGGATGGTAGATATGTATGCTGTTGTAAGGTGTATGCCTCTGTATTAATTCTGTATGCCTTTATATTAATTCCTTATTAAATTTAGCTTTTATTAAGCTTTACGTTTTCGTTAATAAATCGTTTATAAATAACGTAAATTTAATTTTTTAATTTAAATATATTATTATTTTAGTAAACGAGGCTATAAGAAATAATAAATTTATAATATACGATAATATCGTTTATTATTTATTAATTAAAAGTAAAAAAGTAATTAAAAGCGTTTTAGCTTTAAAAATCTATAAAATAATTAATAGCGTCGACCTTATTTATATAATCTTTATTATATTTAAATAGATTATAAATCGATTAACCTTATTTATAATAGTAATAATTATTTATATAAATTCTTATTTATTATTTAAATACTTTATTAAATTAAATATTATTAAAAGAAAAAGGTTAATAATAAATATTATAACCTTATAGTAATCGTATAAATAACGTAAGACTTTTAAAATTTATTAAATTAATAGTAAAAATAATTTAGTAAACGCTTTTATTAAATAAAATTGAAACCTAAGCTTAGAATAATTTATTAATAATAAAATAATTATAATATATATAAAAGGATAAGTTATACAAAAAAGGCTTAAAAAAGAAACGGAAAAAAAACTATAAATATTATTTTTATTAACGTATTATATATTATTATAAGATTATTAAATTACTTTTTTAATTATATGGGTTTAATAATAAAAGAGAAATAGTTAATATTAGATTAGAAGCTTAATTCGACCTTAAGTTAGCGCTAGTGTAAGGGCTATTTAAGGGTCTTTATATTAGCGTTTAACCGGCGATTTAACCTATGGTTAGAACCTCTCTTTTCTACTTTACGTAGAGATTAATATAAAAGTAATTAACCTTTCGTTACTACGGTTCGATCGAACAAATCACCTTGTGATTACGTAAACTAACACTTATTTAATATTTATATTATTATTATTTAAAACACCGTCCTCTTTTATAAAAAGATTTTAGTTAGGCTTTTTAATAATACTTTTATTAAATATCGGCTTTATTAATATTTTAAATTTTAAAAACGTCAGTAATAAGTCCTTTTTTAAACTTTTAAATAAATTAAATAGATTATTATAATTAAATTACGATGAAAATCAATATTTTTATTATTAAAATCTTATTTAAAGCCGTATTTTATAAGCTTAATTAAATTTAAACGTATTAATAAAGTAGATATCGAAGGTAGGCCGGAAGGGAAGTGTGGGGAAAGGGTTGAAGGGAAGATGGGCAATATATATATAGCAAAAGCAGCGAACCAGACACACTTTAATATCGGTGGGACAGGCCGATTAGAAGGCCGATATTGGGACGCGCCTGGAGAGGAGTTTTCTTAGAAACAAAGGAGCAATGATAGTTTGTTTGTTTGTTTGCTTAATTGTTCAACGCCGGTTCCACCCATAAGGGTAAAGGGCGCCTACATCGGCTGTCAGAAATTGTATACCTCTACATATAGTAGAAATAGAAGAGAGAAACAATTAAATCCCGCTTGAACCTAGGAGTTGTAAATCAATCCTTAATATTGAGTTCAATGGACTCTTAATAATTACATAGTAAAAATATTATATTAGTTATAATAGAACGTGTTGAATTAAAAGTAAAAAAGGTTTTATCAAAAGATCTATAAATTGTGTTTGACATGTGTACTCGGATTTCATCCGGAAGAACATGTACCTTTCTTGCAATATTATTGCTGTGCCACTTCGCCTTGGCACAGAAAAAGGCGACCTCTAGCAGGAAATTCACCCCAAACTATCCTGGAAGCGCTGCACCGCCTCCACTTGCGACATAGTCCACGGCGAGATCACCATCGACGCAGAAGTCCGCTGGATCAACTTCGTCGACGACTACCACAGCTGCTTCGAGCGTCAGGAGGGGCGTTCATCCTATGTATTAATTGGTCGCAACTCTTTCACGGTTGGCAACCTCTATGTGCAGACCTAATACAACCGATAAGTTCAGACGAAGTTCATGTAATGATCTGATTTCTCTTCAACTATATTGGTCTCCAAATACGAGTGTCGCCGAAACGCAATCTTCCACGGTTCCAACTAGATGAACAGCGTTACCCTCAAGGCGAGAATCCGATATTAGGCTGGCGCCATCGACCAGACCGCCTTACTTTCCGCAATACCGGATGCCGTCTTTCAGCCACATGTTGGAAATTTCACTGTGCCTCCTACTACCAACCAGCCACTCCCTGTTGTGTAACTGCCAAGTCGGGAAGAGCCTTGGCCCTGTTGTTGTGGTGAAGTCATCTGGGACGAAAAGTCTGGGGAAACCAAGATCAATGTGCACACCGATGGAACCCCATGCGGGCTAATGCAAGCGCATACAGTACCGAGGGAAGAACATTGGCGCGCATCGCCCGCGCTCCGCCGGCTGAATGCAAGGCCTTCGAAAACAAGCGCGAAGAAGTTTAAATTGGTCCCGGAGCCTCAAACCCCGCCCAGGTCTAGGCCTGTACGGAGTAGTGGGTTTGACCGTTTGTAGCACCGAATGACACCCTTCAAATTACTTTAGGCAATAATGGAAGTAGTATTGGGGTCGCTAAACCCGCGCGGCACAAACGGCACTCTACATGCAGTATAGACCAGTTTCACCTAGGTTAACCCACCAATCCCAGGTTGATAAGCTTCGTATTCTGTGGCGACTCTCTCGCCCTCTCTGGCATTGCAATAACTGCCGGTCTGCAATAGGGGGCACTGGGAACAGCATTTCATATATTGCTAGGGAGCCAATCACCACCAAGGAAGGTCAAAGGTCTCGGGGACATAAAGATCGGACGACTGCCAACTGACTTGTAGGCAAGGTAGTCTTACTCTAGCTATTCAAATTCCTGTCATTACCTGTATATATTCCAAAACACCGTCAAGATGATGCTCAAAGTCAACGTGAGCGTGGTCTCTACCGCCTTGTTGCTGCTTGCATCCGCGACGGACGTCATCGCACAGACTTGCGACCTCCCATCCACATACCATTGGACATCGACCGGCGCCCTGGCGACCCCCAAATCCGGATGGGTCGCGCTCAAGGACTTCACGGCCGTTCCTTATAATGGCAAGCATCTCGTGTACGCGTCAACTCACGACACTGGATCGTCATATGGCTCAATGAACTTTGGCCTCTTCTCCGAATGGTCTCAGATGAGCTCTGCTTCCCAGAATAAAATGACCCAGTCCACCGTCGCGCCCACCATCTTCTTTTTCCGGCCCAAGAACATCTGGGTCCTGGCCTACCAATGGGGACCAGCCCAGTTCTCCTACAAGACGTCGAGCGACCCCTCCATCGCGAACGGGTGGTCCGCGGCGCAGCCCATGTTCTCAGGAACCATCTCCGGCTCCTCCCCCATCGATCAGACGCTCATTGGCGACAGCAAGAACATGTACCTGTTCTTCGCCGGCGACAACGGCAAGATCTACCGCTCCAGTATCCCCATTGGAAAATTCCCGGGTAACTTTGGCACCACCTCAACGGTCGTGATGAGCGACGCTAGAAACAACCTCTTCGAGGCTGTCCAGGTCTATACCGTCAAGGGCAAGCAAAAATACCTTATGATCGTCGAGGCCATCGGCGCAAACGGCCGCTACTTCCGCTCTTTCACGGCCACCAGCCTTGGCGGCGCGTGGACTGCCCAGGCCGCGACCGAGAGCAACCCCTTTGCCGGCAAGGCCAACAGCGGTGCGACCTGGACCAACGACATCAGCCACGGAGACTTGATCCGCAGCGATCCCGACCAGACGATGACTATCGATCCGTGCAACCTTCAGCTGCTTTACCAAGGACGCGCCCCCAGCTCCGGTGGTGACTACGATCTGCTGCCCTACCGCCCGGGAGTTCTCACGTTGAAGAAATAAAACTTGAATCTTTTACTGCTCATTCCCAACCCTTTTCCGACCTCTGCACTTGAAGTTAGCAGCAGGAAACAGGAAAGATTCACTTTGTCTCTGCAGTGTTAGAAGGAGCTGAGCTTGTCAGGATTCTCGCGCAGCGAGGGACTTCTTTTTCACAATGTAGATATTGAACACACATGTATACAACACTAGGCTGGGAGGTTTTAAGAAAAGCCCGCCGTCAAACATAAATCCACCATATCCATACATATGTGTCATTAGTCCGCCAGTGATCATAGCTCCAGTCGTAAGATTGATGATAGACCTAACGCCAGTGTGAGAGAGGACCACGCGATAAGGCATAATTGCAGCCTGGAACGTCTGTGCCGAAAGTAAAGAGGCCTTGTAATGCACACTGCCGATGACTGGCATATACATTAGACTCTCTAAAGTATGAATTGTCAGCTGAGATATATTCATGTTTCTTTGGCAATTTCGTTGGCCATGCTTACAAGCAGTCGCATGTCCCTGGCCAAGTCCAGCCATTAAGCATTGGATACCATCTATAAGTGCTTACCCCACACTCAAGACAAGGGATGCGTTTTCGCTTTCAAAAGACAATCTGCTGAGGCCTCGTCTATTGCGCGACTCACAAAGATGCTCCTTGAAGCTGTCCTTTGTCACTCAGCTTGCTAGTACTCCCAACACCCAAAATCACTGTCATATAGCTATCGCATACAACTACATTCCAGTTGAAGGGGTTTGTCGACACAGATTTACACCCGTATGGGTTTCTGTCCCATACTTGGGGTTCCAACGAGTTCACATTCAAGGATCTCCAGAGGGATGGATATGGCGGTGGGGTCAAGAAAATATACGGCGTGTGTCGGGTCTCTCAAAACCAGAACCTTTTCTGGATCTAGATCGACACCTACTCCATAGCCAAGAGTAGTGGCGCCAAGCTATCCGAAGCCATTAATTCCATGTGTGCATAGTACAGAAGGGCAGCACCATGCTATATTTACCTCGGAAATGTTTCTGCAGGTCAAAAGCTCGGAGGAACAGCCTCATGCTTTGCTACCAGGCGCTGGTTCACTCATAGATGAACGCCACAAGAGTGGCTTGCTGGCGACATCCAAGATGTAATTTACGACCAGGCTTGGAATTGCATACATCAGATATACAACCTCGACGAAGAGAGCTCCCCTCAATCATAAGACTTTGGCATGGTGCAGTTGAGGGATGAAACCAATGGAGTGAGAACCTTTAATGTAAGTTCAGCCGAATTGATCTAGGTACTCAACACCTTGTGAGAAATATAAATATCCAGGCACTCTCTACGGAGTGCAAGGCTGTGTGGTATAGGTGATAAATCTCAAGGAAATATAGTAAGGTACTACTTATATTCTTGACATCAAATGTCAAGTTGTTTATTCCAACACATTCGGTATCACTTCTACTAACACCGCTTTTGAGTTATTTAAATATTAAATAGCTCAATAAAAGCAACTTCTTATTCAAGATCAGTCAAATATTGAATCTCTATTTATTAAAAGACCACTTGAACACATATTAATGATGACATTAAATACATTCGTAAGGAACGCTATTACTAATATTTAAGAATGCGCTGTTAAAGACCGAGAATGAGACCCTTTAAGAGGAAAATATACTAATTCAGCCGTCGTCCAAGGGTTAAGAAAAGACATCTCCAACTTAGAGGGAGTCATATTATAGCTGATTTAGAGGACATATAGGCACAGAGAGACGCAAAGGCAGAGGTTCAAGAGGAAATGTGTCGGAATAATGGCTGTAAATTGAGTACTCAATCAGGTTTCGCAACGGTGTAGCATTAGGGGAATATGGACATGATGCGCGAACGTCCCAGTATAATGAAGAAACGTCTGAAGAGGATTCCGAGTAGTTTCAGTTGATTTGGTGTAATGAATGCTAATATCTACTTGGTTTTGTATCTCACTTAGTGATCATGCATGTTGAAGGAGAGAGTAGAGGAAAAAAATAGATTTTGTTCTCAAGACTTCAGTCGCGTAATAATAGACGGGATCTAGCCCAGTGTGAATCAAGGCATCTTACACTTCGAGATTGAAGTGTGATCTTCGTCCCCCTCAAGCTCACCACGCCAGTGCACAATTTTGTGTTGTCATATAACGCCTTATTCTCTGGAACCGATGAACTCACTGCAAATTCATTACTTAGCATGCACCCATGTGCAAGATGGGGAAGGTATACGTACGGATCCTCCATGATGTCTCGGTTTACAAACGCCTTTAGCCATGCAGAAGCCACAGCAACGCTGATTGTCGACTTTGCGATAGCAGCAAGCGCGGGCACTGAGCTCGCCAGTCGAGAACGGGTGGGTGCCGAGCGGATTGGCGGCGGCAACGGCGGCAAAAGCAGCAACGACGACGAGTTTGAAGTTCATAACGACGGTGTTCTGGTAGTATTGAGCTTCCGGATGGTGATGTTTGCTGTGAGCTGTGACGGTTGAGATGAATGAGTAGCGAAGAAGAGGAATTGAGGCATGCAATAAATACTCCTTTGTATATGCTGGTTTACGTAATCACAGGGTGATTTGTTCGATCGAACCGTGGTGACGAAGGGTCAATTACTCTTGTATTGATCTCTGCGTGAAGTGGGAAAGAGAGGTTCTAACCGTTGGTTGGATCGCCGGTCAAACGCTGATATAGAGACCCTCAGATGGCCCCTGCGCTGGCGCTGACTCGAGGTCGAATTGGGCTTCCAATCCGACAGTATATCTTTAAGATGACTCGTTCGGTATTGTAGACCTGCGGCTGAATGTTCTAAAATAAAATAAAGTCCCCATGAAAATGGCATCGCTAAAGGACTCAACGTACCCTTGACCTCTGTTCCAGTTAAGTATTAAGATAGGTAGCAGTAGTCTCGGCGGGGTCATAGTATGCTGTCGGGGGCTGAACGATTGCAAGGTTGCTGACTTTGCTTTTCCCCAGAGCTTTTAGTTTGTAACAGTTCAAGACTCACCGTACATACCCATGTGAACCTTGGGCAAAAAGGCGTCTTAGACCCTATAACGCCTCGCAAGGCAAGGGTTTTATACGTAGAGCCTGTGCCAATTCAGTTGTGCCAATGTGCCATTGCTTTAATATTGACGAGGTGGTACCGTCAGCTCTTTGAAAGGATGCTTTAGGGCTTCTCTACTACAGCTTGATCAAAATGTAAAACGATGAGTTTCATATTCCATCGGTTGGGGTGGAGGCGCTGAGAATAGGAACTGTGTTGGTGAAGTCAGTCAGACTCATTCAGGATCATTTATCTAACTTTTCGGTCACCGTTAATTCGGAAAGACCGCAATAATTATGAAGTCTAAAGTTTAGTATTATAGTAGTTCCTAGTCATGAGATTGAAAGCGGGTTGACCCTAGGGCGGATAATGTCGATCATGCAGTCCCCTGCTAGAGCCTCCCAGCAAACCTGGCGTAGTCGGCGGACAAAATCGGAAAAGCGGCACCGAGATGAATGTAGTATACTCAGATGAGGCACTGCCAGATATTGAGCATTTGAAGCTGCTGACTCATTCCACAATCATTTCGAGACCGTATTTATAAATGTGTGGTTTTTGCCCTTTAGAACCATTGGCTTTTCATCACACAGTGTTGGTAAGGGGAAACAGCAATAATGGACCCCGAAATATATCGTGAAAAGGGCAGGTTGCTTACATGCTCCGACGATGACTCAAACATCGGCGACCAAACACGTAAGATAAGCCGACGACCTTGGGCGCCGCTTCTCATCATAGTACTTGCATCCTCGAACCTATTCCTTGTCACTCTCTGTGCGTGCCTCGCACTGCGAGGGGGCGGTCAACCAACACCAGAGCCTGTATCACACACCGTTCCGAACTCGGGGCCCTCGTGGCTTCCACCCCAGGGTAACTAAACTACCCATTATCTCCTTTGGCGTCTCCCAGGAAGGAGAAGGAACAAACCCATCGACAGTTTCTGATATTGGCTGTTCTACAGTACCGGTGAAGAAGACACTCAATTCCGAACCTATATATGGAGGCCCGATGACAAATGCGAGCGAGGAAGCCTGGGATGCGTTGATGCCGCGTATGTTCCCCAGCACCGGGAAGCTTCAATCGGTTTAGTTAACATGCATACTAGGCGGCCGTGGGTTTGTCGTCATCAAGAATGAGACGGTGCTTCCTCAGGTACCCAAGTTCAATGCGACCATTCGCGAGTACAGGGGAGTAATATCGGTCTTTCATCAGTTGCATTGCGTCGTAAGTAATCAGCATCCCCTAGCCCTTGGTTACCTGAATGGGAGGACCTGCTTTCCTTTGACAATGCTGAAGCAATGACCACGACAATAGTGGGCAACTCGGGAGGCCTTCTTTCGGTTGCTGCGCGATGGCAATTCGACCGAGATAGACCTCGAACACCTGGGTCACTGCTGGGACTTCGTCAGGCAAGCCATCCAGTGCCGCTCTGACACCACCATTGAGTGGCAGGTGTCGGATGAGCTCTCGGGAAGTCTGGGATGGGGCTACCAGCATCAGTGCTATGATTATGACGCCCTGTATGCCTGGGCTGAAGAGCACAGGTGGGGCGATGACAAAAGTATCCAGTAGATAGTTCTCTACATTTAAACTCCATTATAATTTTTTCTTGTCAGACACGGGATGGGGTCTCTAATGTGATTATTTTATCTTTGAACTATGACCCAGTGTTCCATCTTTTCTGATTGGAAAGACTTATTCTCCTGGTGGATGGTGCCACTGTTGGATTTACGCGGCTGCTTAAGCTGTGAGACACAACACGCACCGTAATCGAACGTAAATTTTGATTTTTGGATTTATCCAAATTCATTACTAAATTCACTGCTCAGTAAAAGCCCAAAAATGAGTGCTGTTTTATTCTAGATGTTGCTTGAATGACTATATACCAACTAAATTCGCCTTGCTGACCATCATGAGCAGTATTCAATTCACAAGGGAAAGGATTGGGCTCAGCTACCTTATCTACCACACAGGCTTGTATCAGACAACTTTTATTCTTCACCATCAATCGAGCTGTTGGTTATAGTTGCGCTAGCGTAATTTATGCCTCAAACTTGGGGTAAAACGAATATATCGTCGTCCCTCCGAGTATCAACGTGGTTGATTTAGCTCGCATTTCCCACAACACCCATCGCTCAACCCGAACTAACATCTCGCATTTCCCGCGGCACCAGTTTCATATGCCCTCAGTTCTAATGCCCTCAGTTCTATGATGAGGCGCCTCACATCTGCGATCTGCCAATCGCCCAAAATCACAAAGTCCTCGCGTACCATCCCCGAAGATATTGTCACGCGATGTTGCCCAGGAGGCTATCACCTCATCCGGATCGGCAATATTTTAAAATTGCGACGTGTTCATCCCAACTCGTCTCCTCCAGCTCCCCAGGTCCTCAAAGCGGCAAAACTTTACTACATTGCCCTATTCGGCTCTGGTCTAGCGACCAGGTCTGTGTACTCTTCGTATCTGAAAGGTCAAGTCCTCCACATGTCCCGGGTTAATACGCGGAGCAATATACTAAGGTTTCCTAACTCAGGAAATTCCGAAAAAGAACCTCTCGAACATCAATCCGTAGCCGTGTATAAAGAATAGGCGTTCATTTACCCGAGACGTTGATGGGTAGTCCTAATGATTGTTCTCCTCCCCCATGAAAGCTTTTTCTGCCCAGACGGGCTGCACTTTATGTGTTCCGTGTCCATGATATATGAGTTACTGCATACTGCCCAAAGTGCTTTGAAATAAAACCGGCCGAACCTGGGACTTGGCATGCAGAAATTCCCAATCATGTCTTGACTCTCTATATATCTACAATTAATCTGAGTCCCGGGGCAAAGTCAAATTAATTGTGTATTCCTCAACTCTAGAAATTTATGTCGCAGAACGCTTAGGAAGGTCGAGTCTAATTCCGGAGACACTACGAGGATATTCTGTTTAGCTCCCTCGGCAAAGCAGTTAACCTGGCCGTTTCTTCGATTTCATAATCCTTACAAAACATAGTGAATACCGAGGCCGCGATTGCATTCATACCAAGATCACTTTCAACAACGGATTAATGCCGAGCCTTGCAGATGGGCAAGATGAATCTCGTACAGAAATTCGTCGAGCTACGACAACAATAGAACGAACGAGCTGGAGCCGAAGCAATGCTTTCGGACAAAGAAGAAGAAGACGAGGATCCGAGCCAATTTGATCCAAGTTTGGAGAGACGTCGTCGCTGGCTGGAGGCGCGTCGCGCAGCCCTGCTCTCGAGGCGGTCATTAGTAGATGCTGTGCTCCTCGTCACTGTCGCGTGGCTAGTTCTGGCGAGGCGGTCTTCAACCAAAGAGTGCCCAAGGGAAGTCGTTGACAACAACACGGGTGTCTTTCCTAAGTATAAGCTGTTACTCTTCATCCTGCTTCTATTAAAAGCTTGAAAACCATTACTTACTTCTCTTCTAATTCGGTAATCTCGCCAAGAATCATGACCTTCAAGCACGAACCTGACTTCGCCCCTGAAGATAGACATAACTTCTTTACCCATTAAACCAAGCAGAAGTGGCTGGACCTAGTACCTCATTTGTCTAATTGATTACCCATTGTCGCATAGTACCATGACTAATAAAGCAATTACATGTCTATATTAAGTATCTATAATAATAATGATATAAGCTTTTTCTTAAAAGGATTATTTTCGTTGTTTTACATGATTGTAGTAATTACCGAGAGCTGATGTAGCCGCTTTTGAATTTTGAGGGGTGCCCGGGGCTGAATAATTTATTATTGGTGTTGTTATTGTTGTTGCTGTTATGAAATTCCTACCGGAGAACATGATTCTAATTCAGGAGGTTTCTCCGTAAGGAGGGAAATACCTAGGGCGAAGACCAGCTCAAAACCTGTTTAAAAACTGACAAAGCTAAACCCGATATTTGAATGCCCGTAGATCATCGTTTCCGAAAAGGGGGTTTCTTCAGGCTCCAGCGGAACACCACCGAGGAAAACATCCGAAAGGCGACATCGAGTACAAGAATCGAGCGGAATTAAAATATAGACGCGCTTATCAATGTGTGAAGGAAATATAGCTGTAAACGGTGGGCCGCAAAGTAATCCAGAGAAGCCCATGTTGTTTTTAATGTAGCACAACAATGTCGAAACTTTCACATCTACCTAGAGGATTCCCTTGCATAGATAAGAGGGCTGTAAGACTCGCAGCCACAACTTCAAAGCCACGTGAACTTGATAGAAGCACAGCTTTCGCATTTCGACAGATACCGAACTTTTGATTCGTGAGCGGCCCCGGTGAACGAGGACTTGAACACGAGTGAGTCGGGAAGTCCCGTCCGAAAAGCGCTGCAGGGTTTAATGCGACTCCAATTCAAGTTGTGCCAACGCAAGAGCGCCATACTTCAATCCGACGATCGAATTCCCCGCACAAACGCACGCCACGGCTGTTTCATTTCCCGCGGTTCAGCTGTGATCAGACCAACAAAATCAACATTAAAAAGCATGGGCTATTGCTGATTACATAGTAGTCGTTCCGTGGCTGACGTGCAGCGGCAGATCGTCTCGCGCCTTCGTCGCAGCCGCGAAGGTGGTCACCGCCGGCATCTCCCCACCTGAGTCCGATGGCCAAAAATAGGGGTGTCGGACACGCACAAAGGGGTGCGGGGGCCGCTAGCTCGACGACCGGGCCTCCGTTCTTGGGGCCCGGGCGTCTGGCGGCAGTCCGGTTGCTGGGAACTAACATGAGATGGGCTTCGTCCCTTGACATCGGGCCATGCGTCTTGTATTATTGTGGTGAAGTATAAACCTCTGCGATACCCTTCTTAGAGTGCCGGGGGATTTTGTTTCTCTCCTACGACTGGAATCTCAGCTCATTTCCTGTAATTACGTACGCACCATACTTTTCAGACACAATGGCGAGCCCTGCTGGTAACATTTCCTTTGAGGGTACGTTCTGGACACCACGCATGACTACAGAAGGAAGACTAACAAACAATCTCGTTCAGACTATCTCGGTCTCTCTGCAGCCATCTTCGAGTGGGCTGACAGCTACGACTCCAAGGACTGGGATCGTCTCAGGAAATGCATTGCTCCCGAGCTTCGCGTAAGTCGTATTCCAGTCGGCGCTGCTCTTCTCAGTATGCGACACGAGAATGTCTCAGGCTAACCAACGGCAGGTTGACTACCGCTCCTTCCTCGACAAGATTTGGGAGGCCATGCCCGCGGAGGAGTTCATCGCCATGATCTCGGACAAGTCCGTCCTCGGCAACCCCCTTCTCAAGACCCAGCACTTCATCGGCGGCACCCGCTATGAAAAGGTCTCCGACACCGAGGTCATTGGCCACCACCAGCTCCGTGTGCCCCACCAGAAGTACACCGACGCCTCCCGCAAGGAGGTCGCCGTCAAGGGCCACGCCCACAGCTACAACAAGCACTGGTACAAGAAGGTCGACGGCGTCTGGAAGTTTGCTGGTCTCGCCCCCGAGATCCGCTGGTCAGAGTACGACTTTGAGGCCGTCTTTGCCGACGGACGCGATTCTTTCGGTACCGAGGAGACTACCGACAAGACCAACGATGTCTCTGTTGTCGAGAAGGAGCTCAAGGTTGCCGCTGCTGTCTAAATAATATGTAATAATGAGAAACCTCCGGTCATGGGAATGGCGAAATAGGAATGTGATTTAGGGACCACGGGTCACCAGGGGCTTTGTACGATTTCAATAAGATGAACCGATGCAAAGTGAAGCCATTTACATGTACTCATTGCACTCATCAATAGCTTCGTGATGTTTGTTAATAAGGAGGAAGCACTATGGCCTTATTTGGACAGTGGACATATTTGGATCTCGTCTACCTTTGTATGGACTATGTGCAAACACATATTCAATCCAAGCCAACCTTTCGACCACTGTAGCCGTGTCAACACATGAGTACATGTATGACAAAGGGCACCGGTACCAACATCACGCAAGTAAATGTGTCTGAGAGAAGGTCAAATTTCCTCCCACACAACATGTTGGACGCAGCAGCGGAATCACTGATGATCCTCACATGAAGCATTTGCATAAGTCTCCTACGCTGTGACAAGCCATTGAAGCGGACATACTAAACGCAATGCTGGGTGGGTACGTCACTCTTTTATTGAAACTACGTTCTTGTATGATTGACCCCCTTGATATTTCATACTTTTTGGACATAACGAGACAATGGGGTATAAGCCTCCCAGGCGGATCTTAACCAAGCCTCGATAGCTTGAGGGAACATAACGCGAGCCGGGTCAAAGGGGCTCAAATGGCAGGCTAGCAGTAGAACCTATGTCAAGAGTAAGATTCTTGGTGTTCCGGGAATCTTGGGTGTTTGCCACAACATGGAACCGCTGTGATGGGTGCGGCTATTAAGATTAGATCAAGCGGCTCGACAGCAGGTTGGCCGGAACTTTCCAATACTGTGTATTATTTAAGAACTCTCTGGAGCACAGCGAGCAGACAGGAAGTTATTCCGGCACTGGTTCATGCGGAATTAAGGCTCAAGCCGACTTTACCATTAAATGAACAATACCCGAAATCGCGAAAATCACTCTTCTACTAGCAACGTGGTATAGCCAGGGGCCAAGGACAGATATCTCCGGCCTATTTTGAAAACACATATCTTGCCTCCTGAATACACGCCTTGACTAAGGAGATCCTTTAGCAAACTCGAGGTAAGTGACGCAATTCCGTGGCAGGCAAATTGCCATCATCAAGTCATGGTGACTTGGGAGATTTGCGAAGCATGAGCCTTACCGCAGACCTTGTAGAGAAATTCGTATGTATAAGTGATGAATGAAATGTGCATTTATGTCCTTTCATATTGACCGCGTCTCTGATACTCGATCATCGATTTTCACACCGATCAGGCAGGGTCATGGTTCGTTCTGAATTAAGCGCTCCGCCTTGGGCGTCCCACTCCTTAGGCTCCGAGATCGTCAGGATCCCGTCGATATGCTCTAAAGGCGCAAAGAAGATCCCTTTTTCAGACCAGATGTGCGCGTGGTCCCGTAGACATTGTGCTAGGTTAGGGATAGTAACGTAGAGTCCCTACAGATTGTAAGGAAGATTGGCCCTGGTGGAAACGAATAAAGGAATGGATGGGATCCAGACGTCAACTGGGCCCAGATGAAGGCCAGCGCCACGATCTAGCACCCCGGTCCTCTCCAGATCTGGATGAGCAAGGCCACCGGCAACCTCTCAGTACCTCGTCCCTCACAAGCCCTGGCCTACGCGAACTGAGACCAACCCGATTAATATTCTGGATGTTAGTAGAAGATCCACGGGTTTGTGTTGTGTCTTGGGAAAAGCAAAAGGTAATCAGAGACGGGGTGCTCGTACGAAAAGAACTAATCAACAATGGGAACGGAGCATTGCAATTCTTAACAAGAAGGTCATTTTGAGCAGACATGAAGACATATAACCACCCTTCCAAAGCCTACATCGTAGCCCATCAGCTCAGTAAACCTACAGAAAAGGTCATTGATTGAATGAGAAGGCATTCCTTCACAGCAAAATTTCTGGAGTCGCGGTTGCTTGAATCAGGAACATGGTGATGTTGTTGATAGTTTTGGCCTCCAAGACTAAATGGTTATCGCAGTGATTTCGCAGTTCTTGCAGGTCTTGCTGACAAAGCACACCTGATACGTATCCTGGTGGAGCTACAGCGAGGAGGATGACATAAGAAGGGGAGGCATTGGCGGGGCACAGCTTTGCTGTGCACAGACGGAAGCAGCAGGGGCCCGAAGCGTCAACGGGAACTTGGAGAGCTCCGACGGAACCTGGCGGATGGCTGTTGCAACGCTCCTCGTGTCGCCAGCTGTTTGAGCAGCTTCACCTCGCGACAACAAGCACGACTGCCCAGCTGCAAACCGAACCTCGACCCTGGAAGAGCTCAATTTCGTCTCCGAGCCCGATTGCCTCGGATTTTGTCAAAAAGAACCCCTCCCAGCGAATACCCATCCGAGACCTACCTCTGAACCACCACGATGGACTATGTCGACAAGCGACTCCAAGAGGAAGCAGTAAAGCTGCACGTGGACCAAGGGCACGTCAATGAATCTCCTCTCCCTCTCAATGGCACAGCAGCTAAACCCTCCTCCTCTTTACAGCAACGCCTTCTTCACCCCCCTCAACATCCTCTTCCTCCTCGTAAACCTCTACTCAATCTACGTCCTCCTCCGCCCGACCCCGCCCCCGGTCCTCCCGAAAGAGCCGCCCGCGACTGTCTTCCGCGTCTTCAACCCGCGCACCCTCCTCCCCTTGACCGGCGAGAACAACACACCCATCTGTCTCGCCGTCCGCGGCCGCGTTTTTGACGTAACCCACGGCCGCAACTTTTACGGCCCCGGCGGGCCATACTCAAACTTTGCCGGCCGGGATGCCTCACGCGGACTGGCGCTCGGTAGCTTCGACGAGGACATGTTGACCGAGGACCTGGACGGGCCGTTGGACCCGCTCGAAGGGCTGGCGCCAGATGAGATTGAGACGCTTCAGGGGTGGGAGGAGAATTTCGAGAGCAAGTATCTTGTCGTTGGCAGGCTTACTGCGGTCGGCGAGGAGGATAAGTAGCCAATTGTGCCGGGGAATGTGGTGGGTATTTGTATGATATAGTGGATGTATTCTGCTAGGCTGGAATAGACACAGATATTGAAAGGGCCTGTCACCTGTGAGGTCTGATAAAGGGCAGATGCCGTCGATGTCACTCAGCTCGAGGTAGACGGCCAGCATTCAAAGCCACCTCCGTTCCCTTTACTCTTTATCCTGTATTCGAGTAGCTGTCCCGCGTCTCTTCAAATGTCGCACGGCGAGCTAAAAACATCAGGCATGGCAGTACGACACCGACTGCACAATACCAGTCAAGTCGCCTACGGCTTTTCCCATTGCTGGTAACAAAATCGACAGCCGGCCCGATGAACCAAATTCCACAGCTTGCGTTGTCTCGTGGTCCATTGTCAAGACACAATGGCATGAAGCAAGGGAGGGGCGTGTGGAGGCAGCCGCGAAAAAAAGGGCCGCTTTCAGGTTGGTCAGATTATAGCGTCCACAGGAATGAGAGACTGAGTGTGGGATGAATTAATGCTGACGGCCTGACAGCGGTGGCTGGGTCCCTCCCTCCTCTCCCCCTGTTTCTCCCCGTCCCCCGTTCCCCGTTCCATTCCTTTTCGCCTCGAGGCTTGTGGTAAGCTCCCGTGCAGGCAGCGAGATTCGGGAGATTGGATTCGCGTGGCTTGACGGTTATTTCAGGCCGTTGTTGCAGCCTTCGACTGACCGTGCCACGAGCGATCCTTCGTTCTGGACACTCTCTGGATACACACGGCCGGTACCTTGGGAATAGACAGTCTACTTACTGCCTCCGGTTCCAACGGCATCCGGGTTGCCGGGGAAGCTGAGCCACGGAGGTTGGGGCATGGGATGAGATGAAGTAGCCGGACGTTTGCTGATGTCAACACTTTGCTGTTGGTGTCAGGGAGGGATCAGATGCTCTGGAATTATGACAAACAACACTGCTGAGACATTCTACTGCAATCTGAAAACGAGCCAACTTCTTCCCTCATTCAATGATGGCGCGATGATGCGCCTTACTCTCAACGTGAGAAAGAACGTTTGGGTTCTTTTCATCTTCCGATCTGCCACTCACCTACCTCTACGACAAAACCAGAGGAGCACAGCAGAACGCGAGGTGTGGCTGACGGTCATCCAGCCGACCCAAACGACTGGGGCTTGTGAGACTCTAAAATTAGCCCCGGCTCATCGAATCCGGGAATGGACGCAGATCCTCCGACGCTTTGCTCCAATCTGCTTCGTTGTCCCGTCCCGATTCCGTGCCTTTCAATCTCACCCGTGCTTCTTCCTCTCCCACTAGAGATGCATTTTTCACAAAAGTTTGCCCAAGTTCCCCTGCGGAACGTCCAGAAACAAACACAGCCCCTGGACAAGATTACCTCGTGCCTCAGCCAGTCTCTTGTCATCCCCAGTCTCCCATGTCTTCTTTGAATGAACTGCAACCTGTACCTGCGCTGATGCTCAGCCTTCAGCCCTACATGTACCCAAGGGCAGGGAAAGGGGAAACGAACCAAACATCAACATGGATTGGCAAAGACCAAGGCAAACAAGCTTCGGCCTCGTCGTCTGCGCTGCACCGCTGCATTCCCCCCCCTCCGTCATGCTCTGCGCGCTCTCCCCGTGTCCTTGTCTATGTACACTATCTGATCCAAGCCTCAGCCTACGATCCGTCAACCCGTCCGTTGTGCGCTAGCGACTCCAGCCATTCCTTTGCTCTAGCTTAGCGCAGCTAAGTCATAATCGTTGTTCCCGCCAGCTCTTAAAACCCTCCGTCACGCCTCCTTCATCATGCCTTGCACTAAATCTCTTTGCGAATTGTTTCCCCCACTTGTGGCCAACTCAACCAGCACCCCTTGACCATCGATCAACCAGTATCCCTGGCCCGGACCCCAGACCCGATTCTTGGGATACACGACAGGGACTCTTTCAGACGACAGAACCAACACTGAGAAATCACCTCAATCTGGATTGTGAACCAATTGAACGAGTTCCAGTCAAACTTTCAACAAGGCTGTTGAGTGCGTGACGCGCATTGTCGACCGTAGTTGTAGTCACGACTCGAAAAGCGATCGATCTCCCGGCGCCCGAAACTCCCTTAATCATCACATCAGCCATTGACAGCGGCGATTCAAGATCTGAGCAGAGAGCATCACTCTCCCCAACTCTACACCATGGCGTCGGCGCGGAGGAACACAACGACGAGGCGTCTGCTGAGCATCCTGCTCCTCGCAGCACCCATCCTCGCAAAATACCAAAACAACTTTGACCTATACCCATCAGCAGCGCAACCCTGCCTCTACGCCTCCTCGGACGCGAGCAAATGCGACGGCAACACAGTAGCAACCATGAACAAATGCCTCTGCAGCGACGACAAGGGCAAATTCGTCACAAACTCGGCAACGTGTCTGGGAAAGGAGGCCAAAGACACCTTACGCACCGTCTACCAGTCCATGAGCACCGCCTGCTCCGACTCCAAGACGCCCATATCCATGACCGAGGACCAGTTCCTCAACCTCGGCGCGCAGGGCGCCACGGCGTCGCTGTCCGTGACGCTGTCGACTTCAACGACGGCCTCGCCCACCACGTTCTTGACGACTACCACGGGCGGAGCGACCGTCACGCTCATCACCACACCGACGCCCACGACGTCAGCCGCACCAGAGGAAGACAAAGGTCTCAGCACAACCGCCAAGATTGGCGTCGGCGTCGGTGCAGGCGTGGGAGCCATTGCCCTCGTCTGTCTCGCAGTCTTTATCTGGCGCATCAAGAAGAGCCGCGACGCCCACGACGAGTCCCACCGCCCGATGCTGGGCGGCGGCATCGGCGCCACGGGACACAACAACCCGCAACACGGGCCTTTTACGGAATACAGCCCACCCACCAGCATCGCTGGGGCCGGGGCCGGGGCCGGGGCCGGCTACGCCGCTTACAACGGCGCGCAGGAATACAAGAACGAGACGAAGCAGCAGCAGTCGGGCTGGAGACCGGTATCGGAAGTCACGCAGACCACGAGTCCCGGAGGCCAGACGTGGGCGACGAATTCTCCACAGCCACCGTATGCGCAATTCCAGTCCCAGCAGCAGCAGTCTTTGGGGGCGTGGGGACATCACCCGCAAGCCGCGTACGTTCCTCCGCCGCAGGAGCCTCCTCAGCAGGAAGGGGTTTTTGAGCTTGCTTCGATACCTGCGGCGTCACAGCCCGCTTCGCAGGTGCCGCAGCCGCTGCCTGGTGCTGTCGAGATGCCGGCGACGGAGGTGCAGCCGCAACCTGCGCGCTACCAGTATCCTTCGCAGAGGCAATGAAGAAGGGAACAGGGGACGGTGTACTTAATAACGGGAATAAAGGGGTGTTTAGGGGGCGGAATATAAACTACTATGATACCTTGGGAAGCATTTACACATCACGGGGGGCTTGGTGTTCGGGTCCCGGGCGGGGATTTATAGATACTAGGAAAGAGAGGGAAAAGCCACGAAGTACAACATTTTTGATCTGTTTCATATTCTACTGCACGATTGACTGCAACTTTGAGGAGCTTTCTAGAAGGCCTTCGTCATTATATGTGCTCATGTTGCATAAGCTCTCTTTTGACAAAGGAATGATGTTCAATGGTAAGTACCTTAATTATATTGACTGGGTGCACTGAGGGCTACTACCTACAGAAGTAGGTAGATATGTTGAACTTCTGAAATAAGTGGTTTCTGAACTGAACAGAAATTCGCATGAAAGTCTCCATGACTAGTTGTTCGAGCCACCGCCAGAGCCCCCGCCAGAATCTCCACCGGAACCTTCACCGGAACCTCCATCGGGTTGTCCGCCAGAGCTGGATGCGTCGCCGCCACCACTGCCGCCGCCGCTATTTTTTTCCCAGGCAGGATCATTAGGGTAAATTTTTTTTCGCGGCCGCCTCAGCCTTTTTGGTGAATTCTGCCTGTAATACCTGTCAGTTGCGAACACATGTATCCATGATACGCCGGGTGGGTTCACTCGTACATCTGTGTTTGCCTTCTTGATGCGTGCCAGAGCCGCCGCATCCATCTTCGGCTTGCCCATTTTGAAGGCTTCGAATGCTGTATTTTTTCTTTGGAGGGTGGTGATTGACGTTTTCTGTAAGTTTTATGTGTTGTGGAATATGTCGATTGTAATGGTGGAATGGACTTGACTGCTGACGGACTTTATCGCTTTTTTGTTCTTTCTAAGTAGCTCAAAGTAGGTTATAGATCGGTCAGTGATCTTTTCTACATTGTTCAAGGCTGAGAGTGCTGTTCATCGTGACTCACCATCTGCAAGTGATTCATGACTGCTGAGCTATGTGGCAAACACGTATATCTGATTGAGAACCAACCTGAATCCCACGCTAAGCATTGTATTCAAGGTGACTAGAGGTTTCTGCTAGCAGAGCCTGTACTTATTCACGTGAAATGTAATACGCAGTAGCCGCTACTTCCCACTTTTTTCTGTTCCCGTCCTTCGTGGATTTGACTCTAGCCTCCCAGCGTTCCAGGTCTTCCCAATCCCACAGGGTCATTTCCTTCCCAACCTTTCTGCGCTTTTGGAACAGTTGGCTCCATTTATCGTCCGTTCGGATTCGCTGGCTCTGCTTGCTTTGCTGTCTCTGCTGTTTCTGTTCTTCTTCCTGGATCTTCTGGATTTCCTGTTCCTGCTGAATTTGACGAAATGACGGTGATGGCCGTTTCCGGTGTTCCTCCTGGGTCGGCTGGTTTGGCTGGTCCTGTTGGCCTTCCATGTTCCGACTGTCCTTCGGCCGCAGAGCCTTTATTTTCCCATCCATGGGGAGGATTAGTAACACGAGATGTAGTTTCAGAAGAGATGAGTGCAGGTCAATTATCCGAGTTGTTTGCATCGTGTAGTTGGTCGTGATGCTTGGGGGAGATTGCACTAACTCGACTGTCAGATCTTGTGGTTAATTTATAACTCCTGTAGTTACAAGACAAATTATGGGCTCACCAGTGATAAGTAAGTTCAAACTTTCTAGAGGCCAATGGTCTTATTCACTGTGATGTATAGTCACCACTGCTACAGTCTGGAAGTTTTATCATTACATGTGTGATTCACCATCCACAAATAATTCATCATTTCATTACTTATGAATTTGGCGTATGTATTTATGTGGTGCAGAAGTCAAATCCAATGCTGAACATCAAACCGATATTCACTGAGCGCTTGGCTTCTGCAAGCAGATCCAGTCTTGATATGTTGGATTGGTGACCAGAGCCATTCCTGAGCTTTTTTTTTCAGGATGGTTCACGAGTTGTCCCTTCGCTGGAAAGAATTTCGCAGGAACATTCACATGATGGCTTCTCTGAGCTGCCGCCGGAATTCCCACCGGTTTCTTCGCCGCCATCATTGTGACCACCATCATTGTGACCACCATCATTGTGACCACCATCATTGTGACCACCATCATTATTACCACCATCATTGTGACCACCATCATTGTGACCACCATCATTATTACCACCATCATTGTTACCACCATTACTGCCACCACCGGAACTGCTTGCTTGATGCCAGGCAGGATTATCGGATTTATTTTTTATTGCGGCGGTCATGGTTCTTCTCTTAAAACCTGCATCCTGTAATTCCTGTCAGATCCGAATATGCATAAGTCTCTATGATGCAATGTTTGGGAACTCTTACCTTCGTCCCTGATCTGGCGATACGAGTCGCAGCCGCTACAGTCATTCTATTCTTGCTCTTTTCTTTGCTTTCTGAGGTAGAACTCATATTTGAAGCAAGTTGATGATTGACGTCGTTTCTAGAGTGATTGTGTTGGTATAATACATTGATTATGGATAGGCGAAAGGGAATGCACTTGACAGCGGCCAGGCTTTATCGCTTTTATGTCCCTCTTCGGCTATATACGTGATAGCTTAGAGATCGAGTTGTATTTAAATCAGCATAGCTCAACTTTGAGGTTGTTTTTCGCTGCGATTTACTTTCTGCAGGCGATCCAGGAGGCATCGAGCGCGCCGTGTCAATTTTAGGACTGTCCATGATGAACAAAGGCGCACACCTCTCAGAGGTAACACCGCAGGATTCAGCCGCAGGGATATCTGATTGCCGGTGCCGATGAACAAACCTCACTCGAATCAAGCAGCGTTCTGTTCGCCCGCTTTCTTGGTTCCGTTCGAACATCTGCTCGCAAGAGTTGTCTGAATAACTGCTCTTGAGGAATGATGATGAAGGAGTCTTTCCCTCCCCCTCCCAAACATGCAGTCAGTGGCGACGAAATAGGGCGCAGAAACCGACAAGGTGATCAGGTATTTGTCGCCTTGCCATTTTTTGATGAAGCTCCTATCCAAGACATTATATTCAATACAATGTCTCGAAAATGAGTTTTGAATCTTAAGAAAGGTCTTAGGTTGTATGTTATGGCCTGAATATCTTGGCGCAACTATTCACTCCGAATTACCGGTGGCGTTGCAAAATGATGCAGGTGAAGCCAATGGTGAAGGCCCTTCATTTGGAGTCTTTTTTTCTTCTTCCTTTTTTGATTGTTCATACTCTGTATACGCAGGCCTCAGCTGTATAATGCAGCTTGGGTTTTGACCAGTACCATTTGAAATGATGATCATTTTATTGGCTACCCATAAGCAATTTATATACAAACCAAGGAATCACGGCGTCAATGTTCTGCCGTAAGGAAGTAATCGAGTCACATGTGGCTGAGTGAAATGACGCGGCTGCAAAGTAAGATCCTCGGGGACATTTCACGACGGACGTCTACGAGTCACCGAAACTTCCGACGGGCTTTTTCGGTTTGTTGACCTGTTATCAACTGCATTCCCTCTGGGCGACCGTACTGCGGACGCATGTAGGACGTCGTATGTCCCGTTTGCGTTAGACTTGTACGAGGCTATCTTTGGGCACCTCGCCAGACAGTCGCTAGATCGCTTCTGGTTAGTCACTTACGAGAACCCGACCCTTCGCCAATCGGGATCTGTCGCTTAGATAGGCTTATCTGCTCTTAGCCAGGTGCCGGAGCGACGGGTTAACGCCTACCTTACTTTGCAATCTCGCAAGAGACGCGAGCTGGCGAATCATGCCATGCGGCTTTCGGGATTGAGGCTATGCAGACATGAGGATGGCAGCGGCCACCTCGTAACTGTCTAGCCCCTTTCTGAGTAGTAAATTGCTGAATGCGAGAAGCTTGGAATTGTTGACGTTGGTTTTCAACGGTGGAGGACAGGGCGGAACAGGGCGGACATATAGATATATATATATGGACAGAAGCGCTTCGGGGTGATGGACCCAGAACATCTCATCAATCCACTGCAGTGTAGCCAGGAGTCTCCCACTCTTTAGTGCTATTCCACGCTTTTCAGCCTTTTCCAATTGGCAGTCAATATGTCAAACATTTGCCCTCTTCAAACGAATGCCCACTGCACCGTGGAAACATGCCCCCTCAGCTGCGCTCAGGTGGAGTATCTTCCCACACTCGCCGGCAATGCTGTCTACGCCGCGGCCTTTGGCCTACTTCTGATCGCCCAGATCGGGCTCGGGATCCGATATAAGACTTGGGGATTCATGGTCGGCATGACCTGTGGTCTCGTTCTCGAGATCGTTGGATACGCCGGCCGGATCATGCTGCATAATAACCCATTCGACTTTAATAATTTCATCATGTAAGTTGGTTTTTTCCCCCTCCTTCCGCCTCTCAAGGGGTCCATGACGAAAAGACATGGTCTGACAGAATCACCATAGTTATCTCATCCCTCTAACCCTCGGCCCCGCCTTCCTCGCTGGCGCCCTCTACCTCTGCCTCTCCCGCATCATCATCGCCCACGGCCAACAAATCTCCCGCTTCAGTCCGCGCACGTACGCAATCGCCTTCATGACGAGCGACCTCATCTCCCTCATCCTTCAAGGCGCCGGCGGCGGTCTCGCAGCCACGGCCAATACACGCTCTGGAGGTGACACGGGAAGGGCCATCATGGTCGCGGGCGTCGTGTTCCAAGTCGTCTCGCTGCTCGTCTTCATGCTCCTGTGGCTGGAATTCGTCTTCCGCCTGCGCAAGATGAGCGAGGGCGACAAGGGCGCGGCGCGCTTCGCGGAGCTGAGGGCGACGAAGAAGTTTGCCTGGTTCCAGTGGGCGCTCGGCGCGGCTGTCTTGCTCGTCTTTGTTCGTTCCGTGTACCGCGTTGTGGAGCTGCAGCAGGGCTTCAAGGGCCCCGTTGCCAATGACGAGGTGTCCTTTATGATTTTGGAAGGGCCCATGATTTTCTTGGCGGTTCTTGCTATGACGGTGTTGCATCCTGGTATCGGGTTTGGTGGCCAGTGGAGCAGCGCGGCTTGGTCTGTCAAGCATTCTAGAAAGACTGCTTTTGAGATGAGCAGTTCATCTATGGAGGAGATTCGGGGGCACAATGTTTGAGCCTATCCGGACGAGTGCGAAGATGCGGATTTTGATTGGAGTTCTCTGTGGCATTCGTAGAGTTTTCAACACGGAGTCAGGAACTGGGTTGGATTGATGGCTTAGGTACTCGCTGGAAGGCATTGAAGCTAGAAGTGGAAGTAACACAATCAATAGAAATATATCCCTTTATAGCTGTATAAGTTCCGTGATTGTCTGGAACTCTCCGAATAAACCCATCGGCCTCGTCTGGAAGACAGCTTCAAGAGTGCCTGGGCAAGTCGGGCTAGGCACCACGCTGTGGTCAAACCTCCGAAAATCAAAAGGCAACTCGCATGCGTTGTAGATGCGCGACTCGTCATCAGGCAACGGCAGACCAAACAGTCTCGAACTCTCGTCTGGCAAGCTTCCTTGCTCGTCTATATGCTCTTCTTCTAGCTCAATGATGCGTTTGGCGGTAAGGTATGCGTGATGCGCGTTCCACAGCCCTTCCCGGCGAGGGGCCAGCCGGAGCATTTCCAAAGCGCGTCTTCGTATTGTGGAATGACGACATTTCAGTGCGGCGTAGAACAAAGGCGCCAGGAGTTGGACGTCAAAGGACAAAAGTAGCGGTTCCGCCTTTTTCTGTCCCGGCCGGATGACCTGTTCCGCATAGTGTACCAGCTCGTCAAAGTCGGGTTGATAAGAGTCTGTATCTGTTTCCTGAGACGTAGTGCAGACCCGCGTCCAGATGGAAACGGCTTTGTAGTTTACCAAGAGTATGTTGAGCGCGTCTGGGTTCGCCGGGTTGCCGCCAGCCTGCATTCGTTTCAAAAGATCGTCCAGCTGGACACGCCATGTTACTAGCCTCATATGAAGTTTGGCCTGCTCAACAAGATCGTCGATACCAACGAGGAGCGTGTCTGCCTTGGGAGTGACCTGGTTGATGAACCGAACGCACGTGTCAGCGATGTCAAACAACCGCCGTCTAGCTTCCTCAAAATCTTTGTGGGGAGAGTCCTCCTCGGGTAGATGTGAGTATAAGGGCGGGGTTATTCTGCCAGAGAGACAAGAAAGTATGCCCAGACGGGAGAACATCGGACGAACGTGGTTTTCAATAGCTTTGAGATCGTCGGTGAAAGACTCTGGCCCTGGATACCGGGCAGCGCTGCTGTTGTGTCGGAGTGGTGCCAGCATATTGAATCCATTGTGAATGTGAAGCATTGAAGAGTCCGCATCGCCTCTAAGGAACTCGATGCATGTGAAAAGAAGGCAACAGACCAAAGGCACCAGGTTGGAATTCGGGTTCGTCTGGATTCGCGCCGACAGGCTCTTCACTGCGAGCTTCCATTCCCTCTGAGCCTCGGGGTTGGCTTTCACATAACCTGCGGGATGACGCAATGATGATTCGACGTCCCGATAGATGACGCTGACGGCCGATACAGCATGTCGAATCGATGGCTCAGAGTGTGACAGTTGCGGCACAAGCTTCCTCCAGAAGTCGGAATCAAATTGCCCATCCAGTAAAGCGGCGATTTTTGTGTGAAAAAAGTCAAGGCCGCTACAGTTTTCGAAGAATACCGGCTGAGTTTGCGTAGGAGGCAAATAAACGGTGATTACATTTCGACGTGGTGGTGCTGCATGTGCCACCTGGTACTCGCACTTCCGACTTCCAACGGCGCATCGTCGACAGATGGGTTTCGCTTCATCGCATTTTACACGACGAGCCTTGCAAGTGCTGCATCCGGTTCGAACCTTGGATGTGCTCTCTCGGGTCCGTTTTGAAGGAGGAGCCACGTCGAGGATCATGATGAGTGATGCCGAGTCAAGGGGCGGGGCCGGATTTCAGGGGACTTTTACAATGAATGAAAGACATCAGGCGACAAGAGGAATGAACGCCAAATGGCACGTACTTGAGAAGACGAGGTGAGAGTACGTGACCTTTTGCGAACTTCCCAGAGGCTCAGCCACCCACGTCCCTCCTTGGTCTGTGAAAAGGTCAAGGGTCGGGGATCATTTTTGGCTCACACTAATGGGGATAACATGTCCCTAAGTACTGGGCCGAAATGCTTACCCTTGCTAGTGTCCTTCCTTCGAGTATCCACATTGAAGCCGGTGGCTACAGTGTAGGTCCCTTATGTGGATTCGTAGCTAAGGTAGTTAACCAATGAAATACTACCACCGGCTTGATGCCGCCCGCACTTCGGGTCGCCAGTTCTTTCAACGGCTGCCTGGGACTCAGTGGAGGAGGCGGGTGGATCTTACGTAAGGCTGGTCTCTAGGGCTGCCCCGACCCGGATCCGCTATCTCGGGCCCGTAGGGTGGGTCCATGTTCGGTAAGGGCCGTGGAGGACTCCGCCGTACCGTAGAACACTGGCAATAGAAAAGCATCATCCACCTGAGCGTTGCAAAACTGGCCTATATCAAATGCAAGTACCTTAGTAGGATGAATGCTAGTTTCCAAAGATTACATGCCTGGAAAAGACCGCAAAAAACGCAGAAAACTATTCGACACATTTCACTCGAATATATCAATTGTTAGAAAGCAGATAAATAGACTCTGGAAGGAGTGTGAGACCACTGAGCGTTGTCGAAAGACAAACTCCGAGCTCACGGGGCCCTTGAGACAATCTTGCCTGTTATGAGGTATGACTCAAGCTACCTCTTCCCACGATCCCGCAGATTGGAGCTCTGATTTTCATCTCCATGCTCACGTAGGCTTGAATATTTTCTAGCTACTAATTCGAAAGTGCGAGTTACCTCGCTATGATATCTGACGAGACAATACCCACCGCAAATCATCAATTAGTGATGTCATGTGAAAGTCGGACGAAATGCAAAGTCAGCCGCTGTAAATCCATGTCATGCGGAAAGCTTCACTGTTGTATTCGCGACGCGAAGCTCACCAAACTCGCGATGTCTCGACAAATTTCCTCCGTCGCCGACTCAGGTTTTTCATCGTTGACACGGGAAATGGGCAATCCACAGCATAACCTACTTCCGAGACGGGATGTGGGGACTTGTTCGAAACAGAAACAGATAGCTGTGACAGCAAAGCCCTGCTATGCTCGAGAGGGTGCCGGGGAAGAAGCATGTGCATTCCGGACCTGGTCCATGCACCTTCTAACGATCCTAGTTACAACCGCATGTTTCTTCTGATTAGGTATATCCTGTAAGAAAGTACGCACTTGCGCTCCGTGAAGCCCGGTCCCTGACTGTACAGACCAGACTTGCTAGATCGTTTAGCAATCTGTTGTATGCAATGAACCTGAGGTCATTATCATCTCTCGCCACACGCCATCATATGAAAAGTCAAATGGGAGAGGCAATCGGTCCGGTACATCTAGGCGCGGCCTCCGGCTTTTGGCGCCGGCCGGCCCATACGGTAGTCAAACCGCCCTATCCCAGCCTCTAATGCTCTGAGGACTCGAAAGGTTTCGGACATTTTGATCAGACTTTGCGGGGCGACCAATTGAGCAATCTCTTTTGCTAAACACACCAGAGTCCAGTCTTTTGCCCTATTCCTAGATGAGCCATAGCTTGATCTTGTGACTTTCTAGATCCTTTCTCGATCCATTCGAGACTTGACCCTCTGAAGGTTCGTACCGGACATGACGAACCATGTAACACGCTTTGCTACACTAGGACACTTATCATAGCTTAGTCATTCCCAACCTCAGATTGAATCTTTGTCGATTCATGAATGCGATGATCTTACAGCCAAGGTGACAGTAGCATCAACTGACGTCCGGCGCACGTTCAAATGCATTAATGTAGTCCGTCACACAACACACTTTCCAGCCTCGTATTTACCTCATAAAGCAAGCATAGGGCCCGTAGCATCCGTCATCTCCTCATGCCATTATACCAATGTACGGCAATGGCAACACAGTCTTTAGCAACATGGGTCGGAATGAATGGAATGCTGTTGTTTCACGGCCCGTCCCATCTTAAATGTACTCACGCCCGCGCGAGTCGTGCAGGGTATTTCTTTGAACATGACCTTGGGGATTGGTGGGGGAGCTCACCCAGGTCTAGAGCTTTCTGATGACTCTTGAAACTGCCGGAAAATCCGCCAACGCCTCAAAATACCAACAAAAGTTATCAGGAGGCCCCGTATTTTGCTTTTCTAGAATGAGTGCTGTTCAGGCACCCCAATCTACAGGCAGAATTTACTGTCCTCCCATCAATTGTTCTGGAACGGATCATAGTGAGACTCCTGTTTGACCGGGAAGACGGCTTCATGATTCTGGAGGTCTCAGTGACAATTGGCCAACAATGATCTGATCGAATCATACGGAAATATCGCCTTGCTCCCATAATGAAATGATAGGATGTATACCACAAATTTCTAAATGAGATTAATAAGACACAAAAGAATGTACGTGGGTCGCTTTGGCGATGATCTGAACCAATTCCACTTAAAACACATCACAATTAGAAGTCACCCACCTTCCCTGATCAAATGTCATTTTGAAGCCCTCTCCATTTTCTTCCTTTCATATAAAGACAAAATCCCGGTGTAGATGTTAATGACTGCACAGAATACTGACACTGGGACATCTTAGCTACGAAACGGCTGGTCCGGACTCTTTCTAGCAAACTTTTCATCTCTTTTTACTCCTGACTCCTCGCGCTTTTAATCCCTTTTTCCACCGTTTGACCAGGGCGAGAACATCATCTGTGTTTGTATCATTAACATTTCCTTTTCCTTTTCTTTCAGGCGGCTATTTCAAGCATCTACATATCTTATCAACAATAACTTCTTAATCTTCCCTTAATCCAAACTCCAAGTCATGGCCGACGACAAAAGCAATGGACTCATCGTCCCAATCGATTTCAATAATTTCAACTCCGGTAGACGCGAATCGAAGATCGACAAGTACGCCAAGCGCAGCTCACAGATGTTCATCCCATTCAGCGTCGTGGACTTTCGGCATTCGCAGGCGCTTGCGCCAGCACCATCTCCCTATCTGATGCAGACTTTGCAAGGGGATGAGCGCAGGCTCGCCAGGATCGACTCGATTGATACGATCACGGCTGAGAAGCAGGAGATGGCCGCCGTCCACGAAGAGGAAGTGCTTGGCAGTACCGAAATCTACGACAAGGACGGCAACATTCGGCTCGTGCCTGTGAGTAGAGGAGCATCAATGGAATCATCATACCGTGAGACTAATTTTGCCTCCCAAGACTCCTACTCCTGACCCTAAAGATCCTCTCAATCTGCCTGAATGGCGCAAGTGGCTGGCTGTAGCTTCCTTATGCTTCTGTAAGCCCTTTTTTTCGACGAGCTCTATCCTCATTCTAATGATACATAGTTGGCTCCGTCTCGCTCGCTGCTGAAATTGCCGTCGCCGGGCTCCTGCCCGTGTTCATTCTCGAATATTCTGGAGTCGATCCCGCTTCTACTCTCAAGCACGCCGACCTCAAGGGAAACCCGAACCCCCTCGCCATCGTTCCACCCGGTGTGACTCCAGTGTCTCTGACGTCCGTATCTCTCTTGGCGACAATTCCCATGCTCAGCAACGGCGTTGCAACATATCTCCTGGTTCCCCTAACAGCCGCTATTGGAAGACGTCCTGTTCTCATCCTCACATCTGCGTTCTCATGGGGTGGGGGTTTCTGGGCCGGATACAGCAAGTCACTCACCAGCCACATTGCCGCCAGAGTCTTCCATGGCCTGGGATCGGGTGCCGTTGAAGCCTTACTTCCTTTGATTGTCCAAGACATGATGTTTTTGCATAAGAGAAACAAAGCTGTGGCATCCATCATTGCTAGTCAGGTAAGCTGGTTGAGACTGTGTTGCCATTGCATCAGAAACTACATTGTAAAATTCTGGCGTCAACCATCGGCAAGTAACTGACGTATCTATTGTACAGGGACCCATGATCGTTCTCTTCGGCATCCTCGGCCCGTATATTGCAGTCAATTGGGACTGGCGCTGGATCTACTGGATCACGTCCGCCGTTGGCGTCTTGACCTGGATTATGCTGATCTTGTTTGTTCCCGAGACCTTGAGGCAGAGATCCAAAGCAGAGCTTGCCGGACACCAGCTTTGGCCCATAGGCCCTGGCGAGAACCGCACTCAGCTGGATTATGCCACGTTCGGCGAGCGTACACGATGGGACGATCTTGGTTTCCTTCAGAGTGGAACTCATTGGAAAGATGCCGGCCTTCAAATCATAGCCACTTTGAAGACCATGATGTTCCCCGCTGTGATGTGGTGCACCTTATTGCAGGTTGCCTTTGGAATGGTCATGAGTGCAACAGGACAGGCGACCTCATTCGCTCTACTAGCTGCTGGGTAAGTTTTCACCTGTTCAGCTATTACCCACTGTCGTCGCGGTGCTGATCCAACCTTTTCAAACAACAGAATTCCGTTCGAACTCACCGGTCTCTCCCAAATCCCACAGATTCTATCAACTCTGGTCGTCTTTGTCGTGGGCGGCCCAGTCGCCGATGCCGTGTCCCTCTGGATCTCGAAGAGAAGGGGTGGCCGTGAGGCCGAGCATCAACTCCCTAATCTCATCCTGCCCATAATCTTCGCCATCACCGGCGCCCTCGTCTTTGGCTATGCCGACCAGAACCACCTTCACTACGCTGTCTTGCTGCTTGGAACCTTCCTACTCATGACATCTACCTTGATCACAGCGCCAATCGTGCAGAATTTCGTCATTGAGAGTTACCCCCAGTGGGCCGGCCCTGTTCTCGTCAACGTCTCGACTCTGCGTGTATTCATTTCGTTCCCCCTCAACACGCAGGTCACGACTTGGCTTCAACAACTCGGTGAGTACAGAAGCGATTTGGGCTTAAAAGATCATAGACACTAACGATGCTTACGAATAGGTCCTATGAAGTTCACAGTGTACTTGTCCATCATGCTCTTGGCTGTATCTACTGGCATTCCCCTTCTTTTCATTTTCGGCAAGAAATTGCGTATGAAGACATCCGACAAAGTCGCAAAGGGGCTCTAGTTTTTTATTGGACGATAATGAATCTGTCGAAGCAGTGATGGTTGCCGAGGTGCCCCATTAGGTGCCATGCATTTTCTGGAAGTCATTTGGGGTAGATGGAGGGCTTCTGCAACATGTCAAATGCATAGAGCAGAGTGGGAATTGCCTGTTTCTGGGTGATTACGATACACACCAGGCCAGATTTCTGTCGGAAGTTTATCTAAAAATTGTGGTTTACTCAGAGAATTTGTGTCTCTGGGTAAGCATATCGCGATCGTGGGTGCCACGTCGACATGCGCTGACTTTGGGACGCGGGCTGTGCCCTGGCTCATTACAGGTACTTGTTAACCACGTACCTGAGATGGCTGTCGTTTAGAGAAGTCAACACGTGAGATTTTTGTTGAAAATCGTCGGAAGCATAATATCCGAGAGCGAAGAAGCTCCTTAGTTAAGGTACCAGGGGAGCAAATAACTAATTCGGACTCTTAGGGGATATTTATTTGACTTCTTCAGTTTGTTAGACAGTGTAATAGTAGGAATTAGTTGTTGAAATATAATTAAGAAAAAAAGGAGTAAGCTACTATGTACGCTTACATTTGCCGCTAATAACTTGTTTTAAAGAGTTCTCTTCAGAATCCCGGGCCCGGAAGAAGCTTTCTTCTTTCGCCCCCTTTGACTACTAAATGGATTAAGGGCCACATCTGAGTCCCTAATTCCAAGTCTAGGAGGGAGAGATGTTTAAACCGCGTCCACATGTAATCCCATGGGCATTGCTAAGCTTTCAAGAGAAGTTTTTTTCATCCACTAATGTTGCAATGTTCCAGTGAGAACGTGAACGGAAACTCGGTCAACGTGATCACTTTGATTGTGGGAAGCTAGAGTGTTAGTGGCTGAAGGCTACAAGTAATTTTAGGAAGCCGTAAGAGTGAAAAGGAGACCAATTTGTGGTGTATTTCCCGGGTAACTGTGTGACCCTCTCTGGTGCTAAGTCGTTCTCAGGATGAACCAAGATGGGAAAATATGTTACGAAACCTGCCTAATACCAGCACAGACGAAGCTGTCTACCATGTATTCTCTCACATAGACCTCAATCCCACTCAGTATACAGACTGGGCATATTTCTTCGTTCACATTGAGTTACTATACGCCATTTTCTACCCACTTCATATACCCATTGCTGTGTGCTCTACTCGTAACGTTTCTTAGCATTCGAGTATCACATTCAAGCATGCAGATCGACTTCATATGATTTGAGCACGAAGTGTGAGAACTATCAAACCCATGGAAGCGGAAGAATGCCTCCACTTGATCCTCCGCTTGATGATCATCAGCTTTGTGACTCACGCACTCTGTGGACGCTCGTTTGCTCTTGAGCATAACGTTTGGTAAAGGCAACAGAGAGATAGGTATCCTAGCTGTCTAAGTTTTCCTTCAAAACAAAGCTAGAAAATGCTCAGACTTCATGTACTCTTGCGAATATATGAACCCCAATGAAATATCCCGTTCCCGTTTCCCCCAGGCAAAAGCCGGTATTCTTGCCCTAGAAACGTTATCCGGGAATTTAATTAACTCGGCGATCAATTTAGCGAACACCCGACCGGACCCTAGGCTCACCCATGCTCACTGGTGGAGACGGAAAAGTCCGCCTAATCATTTCCCCAGTGCCGGGATCATGCTGTGCAGTGACTGTTGTCCCCTGTGAGCCGCGATTTTAGGTGGTGTCTACGCCATTACCCCGGGTTTCATGGGTGGCATCTCATCTCTGTAGAGCTCATTTCACAAAGCTTGGCTCGTCCGCAAGCGGGGAAGACAGAAGGGGTGTAGTTGGCCTCCTGGGGTCAAGATAGTGTCCTATAAAATATGTCCTGCATCTGAGTGAGCTTTGGGTGATTTCTAGTAACTATCAGTGACTCAACGTCGTTGAGCAGTGCAGCCATGATGGCTCTTGCCAGAGCTTGCTTGCTTGGGTTGGCATCAGCGGCAGCAGTTGCCTCTCCAGTTGCAGCAGAAACTCCGTTCAGCTGGAACAACACGGAATATGTGTGAGTTTTGAAGATCTGAGGTCAAGAATATACAGGGCTCACGCGGTCTTGGCCACAGACTCACATTTGGTGACTCCTACATCTTCGTCCAAGGTACCGAAGGTCGCTGGGCGTACAGCTTTATTGGATCCCAGCTGAATATCTCCTTCACGCCTGAGCAGCTTCTCGGCGATCGCATCGTTCCAGGGCAGAACACGTCTTCTGCCGGCGGCCCCAACTGGGTTCAAGAGCTGACTGGTTGCAAAGAGGGCTATCCTCGGGACTGCGAGAAGCAACTCTGGGGGTTCGCCTACGCCGGGGCTGACATATCTACGACCTTGTAAGAACGACTACGAATATCGACTCAATCTGTACATGATGAAGCTAAAGACAGAGTAGCGTGCCATTGCATTGGGACCATACCATTTCCTATGAGAAACAGATTGACCAATGGGACACCTACGGCAAGTCGGTCATCAACGCGGACACTGCGAAGTCGCTCGTGGCCTCTTGGATTGGTATCAATGATATCAACGACATGGCCGACTTCCACCTTCCCGTCAACGGGCTGGGTAGTTGGGAAGAATTGTACACTGCAGTTATCGCCGAGCAGTTTGCAGCATTGGAGACAGTTTACACCGCCGGGCATCGCAACTTCTTGTTCTTGAACTTACCCCCACTCGACAAAAACGTGCGTCGGCGTCGTCTCAACCGTCACTTCGACGAGTATTTAGAAAAGTCTTGCTGACCATAAATACAGCCCGCATCGCAACTAAACCCAGCACGTCTACCAAGCACAGACATGATCAAGACATTCAACGGCGTAGTCAACCAGACGGCAAAGGCATTCTCGGAAAAGCACCCCAATGCGACCGTGTTGGTATTTGACACGTACAGCTGGCTCACACAGGTCTTTGATAACGCGGCATCGTTTGGGTTTACCAATACTATGTCGTTCTGCCGCAGCTACAAAGCTTTGGATATCGACACCAATTATGCCGCATACGGGTGTCAGCCGATCCATGAGTACTTTTGGTACAACTCTGGTCACGTCACGTACCATGTTCACGAGATTTTGGCCCAAAAGGTCGAGGAATTTCTTATCCAGAAGAGTGCTGGTGGCTCTGGCGGGAAGAATCAGACGGCGAGCACGTGGGGGACGAGATGGATTGGCGGGGAGTCGACATGAGGCTAGCTTACCGATCCAATGTGAAGAACATTGACGTTGATGATTCAACGTTGTTGACTTTTACTGGTCTTCGAGATTCAAGGCTGTACTGTACTCGGTACATGTAATGAGCGGATTGGACCTGAAGCCTATCTCCCCGAGCCTGACAAGGGCCTAAGCAAACCTTCCAGGCTCCTAATCGGAAAAGCTTGTACGGCTGAGCAAACAGTGTCGGAAATTTCATAATCAGGTCCAAATCAACAGATCTTAAGAACAATGACCAGGATAAACCAGGGCTTTTTGAAACGTATTTCGAGCTATGTTCTCGGAAATCAAAAAAGATTACCAACATGCTTCATCGGAGAGTTCGGATCAACACCGTAATCCTCCTATTCGGAATGTCAGCAGTAACCATATGTAGCTGGATTTCTGTGGTGCTTGATGATAATTCCTCCGTGCCGCTTCGTGCCGCGAGGCGATCAGGCCTTCATGCAGGCCAAGATAGGAAGGTCCAAATTATCATCGAATGAGGGCCTCTGGATAGAGCTTTATCGGATTTCCTAACCCCACTCTGCCCTCCTTTCCGCGATCCTTCAAGACGTGTGCAACGCGTCACATCATTGCGAATGAGGATGCTATCAATGGTATCCATAGCCAGACTCTTCTTCAATAAATATACCCCAATCTTTCCCATAGCTTGGCATGGGGGTGTCTGGTGTCTTGAATTCGTGAGTAGTGTATACGAAAATGTTGTCCCCGGCTTCGTTGGCGCTTGTCGGGCTCGTCGGTCTCGCGGCCGCGCAGTTTCCGCCCATCCCCGAGGGAGTCAAGGTTCTCAAGTCCAAATTTCACGAAAACGTGACCATCTCATACAAAGAGGTAAGCGCTCATTTAATTCCATGGTCGTTGATATATCATTGAATCATTGACTGATACCCGATAGCCCGGTATCTGTGAGACCACGCCAGGAGTCAAGTCGTACGCCGGATACGTGCAGCTGCCATCAGGAACTCTGGATGACGTCGACGGCGAAGCGCAAGACTATCCAATTAATACGTAAGGAACCCTCACCCAAGCCCCACGCTATCATTCCGGACTCACATTGATCATTACAGATTCTTCTGGTTCTTCGAAGCGCGCAAAGCCCCCGAAAATGCCCCCTTGGCGATCTGGCTCAACGGCGGACCGGGCGGCTCTTCCATCATGGGCCTCCTCGAAGAGAATGGCCCCTGTTTCGTCAACGAGGACTCCAAGACGACCCGCCTGAACCCTTGGAGCTGGAACAACGAAGTCAATCTCCTCTACATCGACCAACCGACCCAGGTCGGCTTCTCCTACGATATACCAACAAACATCACCATCCACGCCGTCGATGGCCCCGAATTGGGGTCGTTGAGAATGTTCCCCGCCGACTTCAGCGACGGCGTCCCCGAGAGCAACTACACCTACAGGTACGGCACGGCATCCAGCCAGAAGCTGACGCACACGTCGAATACCACGGCGCATGCTGCGCACGCCCTGTGGCACTTTGCGCAGACTTGGTTCTTTGAGTTCCCCGGTTACAAGCCCGTCGACGACCGGGTCAGCTTGTGGGCGGAGTCGTACGGAGGTCACTACGCGCCCGGTATCTTTCACCACTTTCAAACGCAGAACGAGTTGATCCAGAATGGCTCTTCCCCCGAGAAGAATGCGCAGTACATTCATCTTGACACGCTTGGAATCGTCAACGGTCTTATTGACTTGTCGATTCAAGGCGAGGCTTGGATCACATTCGCATACAACAACGTGAGTAGTCCCTCCAATCTGACAAGGGTGTGATGGTCTGCGGGGTTTGAAAGAACAATGCTGATAGTCTACTCAGACTTATGGAATCCAAGTGTTTAACGAGTCCATCTACGAAGAGTCGATATACAACTGGACCCGGCCAGACGGCTGCAAAGACCGAATCCTCGACTGCCAGGAGGCTCTAAAAGAGCATGGACCGCTGATCGCAAACGGCGTCAAGAAGAACTACACTGAAATCTGCGGCGACTTCCTCGTCGAGTGCGGCTTCAATGCTGTGTCGCTGTACCAAACCGTTCCCAACGGGAGGGGATGGTACGACATTGGACACGCCAAACACGACCCATTCCCGGCCCCGCACCTGTACGGATATCTCACCCAAGGCGAAGTCTTGTCCTCTCTTGGCGTGCCCGTCAACTACTCGGAATCGTCCGGGGCGGTTAGCGAGGGCTTTGGCCATACTTTCGGTAAGATGGTTCCATCTCCCCGGGGGTGCTGTGCGCTTTCGGATGAACGTTATACTGAGTGACTGCTATAGATCTTCTCCTGGGCGGATTTAGAGAGTCAATCGGGTACCTCCTCGATAGCGGAGTCAAAGTTCACATGATGTGTGAGTCTCAATCTGTCGCATCTTTTGAACGTTGCGTGCCTAACATGTGTATAGATGGAGATCGCGATTACGCCTGCAACTGGGTCGGCGGCGAAAAAGCAAGCCTTGCGATCCCATACAACCGATCGACAAACTTTGCGAGCGCAGGCTACGCCCCGCTCATCACGCCCGACGGCGTGACGGGTATGACGCGCCAGTTTGGCAACTACAGCTTCTCGCGCGTCTATCAAGCCGGCCATGAGGTGCCGTCCTACCAGCCAGTGACGGCGTACGAGATCTTTATGCGGGCGACGTTCAACCGGGACATCGCCACGGGGCTAGTCCCCGTCACCGACGAGCTGTCGACGATCGGCGTCAAGGACACGTGGCACATCAAGAACATCCCGCCTCAGGAGCCGGATCCGATTTGCTATGTGCTCAAGCCCGAATCGTGCCCTCCCGAGGTGTGGAAGACGGTAGAGGACGGGAGTGCTTTGGTGAGGGATTACTACGTTATTGGCGTTGCTGGAGATGAAGACCAGAAACAGCAGATCTCCGAAGAACTGTGAGATGGTGTGGGAAAAGGGTAAGTTTGACTACGTAGTACTAAGTTAGCGCAATGGATGGTTTGAGGCAGGCCGCAGGCTCAACAATTCGGGGCAAACAAGTCAAGACGGCCGGGACAAGTGTGTTTCATTGATTGGACGTACGAGGGCGACTCGTCAGGAAACACGCAGCGCCGGTATCTGCCCTACGCCCTAGCGCCGGTGTCTACTGTGTTATGGTTGCGGTCCCATGGGTTTTAGCTTCCATCGATTTGAGCTTCAATAAACTAAGGTTCTCCTCATCTTTGCGCGCTTTTCAGCGTTGCCAGGGTCAGTGTGCGTGACGTGCCGCGTAGGTGTGTGTGTGTGTGTTCCGGAGAGACAGTGGCAGCGAGCAAACTTTAATCGTCTGAAAAAGCACACTCGGCGAGACAGACGATCCGCCAGCTGGCCGCCATTTCGTCCGATCCGAAGACGTGGATGGCCCTGGCGGGACCTTGTTGCGCCGGCGGCACGACAGCACGAGCCCCCCGGGAGGCGCAGCGCCGAGCGAGGGCTGAGTAGGGGGTTTAGTTGGAGAGGAGCTGCGGCCGCGGTTTTTCAGACGGACGGAAGGGGGGATTGGATTGGTCTTGAGAATGCAGTCTGCATGGCGGCCAACGCGCGAGTGACGGGTTAGCGGTGAGACCGGGGGGTTTGGGTTCGAATCTCTAGAGTCTTGATATGTACATGTACACTTCGACAGTACGACCCTTTCACATGCTAGTTTGAAGATGAGGTGAGGGCTTGTTATCTCAAAAGAAGCAGCGTTCCCAACCCCTCTCTCGTGTCGGCGTGTCGAATATGTTTCCTTCCCCCTGTTACACTATGTTGATCTAATCCAGCCTTTTGTTATTTTGTTACTCAACTCCATTGATTAGCTGGAGCTTTTGGACGTACCCGGCGTCGACTGAAACTGCGCTGAAACAACTGCTCCTGACAGAACCGAGACATTCAACCATTTGCAAAGGCCTCCAGCCATTAGATATCCGATAGACAACAACAAAAACAACCTCATTAAGCCATCAAAAAAACCAACACAACCCAAGGAGACGATTCGTAGAGGGATACCACAACACCATAGAGCCACGATGGATACGAAGTCATTCTCATCACGCATCAGCGATCTCGTCAAGGTAAACAGCACAGCATTCCAGAAACGCTAGTTGCCCTAGCAAGGGCCCAGCTCACGATTCAAACAAGCCAAAAAAACAAACCCGCTAATGAGAATGGGGTCCCTAGTTCCTCTCCTCCGTCCAAGGAGACCTCTCAAATGTCACTGCACCACCCTCCTTCCTGGCACCATCGTCAGTGGTCGAGGTCGGCCACTGCTGGTGCCAGCGGCCCGGCGTCTTCGTCGCCCCCGCGCTGGAGTCGGACCCGGAGAAGCGCAGCTTAAAGGTGCTACGCATGATCCTCATCGCCATGCGGAGCCAATTCTACGTCGCCGGCGCCCCCAACGTCAGCATTAAGAAGCCCCTCAACGCCTTCCTGGGCGAGTTGTTCCTGGCGTCGTGGACGGACTCGGACCGCAAAGCCAGGACGGAGCTCGTGGCCGAGCAGGTCAGCCATCACCCGCCCATCACGGCGATGCACATGGGCAGCAAGGAGCACGGGATCCGCGCGGACGGGTACGCGCGTGTGGAGATGACGTTTTCGAGTACTGTGAATATTCGGCAGATTGGGCACGCGGTCCTTCACATTGACAGGTACAACGAGGATTATCTGATTCCGCTGCCAGAGGTCAAGGTCCGAGGCTTTTTGAATGCGTGTCTTTACCCCGAGGTGTTGGGAACATACTACATCGTTTCCAACACGGGCTATATTTCAGAAATCAAGTTCTCGGGAAGCGGATTCCTCCGAGGCAAAAAGAACTCATTCGAGGCGCGAATGTACCACAAGAACGACAAGAAGAACACAATCTACGAGCTCCAAGGCTGCTGGAGCGAGGGCTGGACCGTCAAGGACGGAAGGACAGGAGACATCATTGAAAGATACGAGGTGGACGCCTTGGAGAACTTACCGGCACCGATGGAGATGGAGCCGATCCAGAGCCAAGATCCCTGGGAATCGAGACGTGCGTGGAACGGCGTTATCCAAGGGCTCGGCAAGAATGATTTCCGCGAGACGGTCAACGCTAAAAGCCAGGTTGAGGAGGCGCAGAGGCGCATGAGGGCGGAAGAGAAGAAGAAGGGCGAGGCGTGGGAGCCACTGTTTTTCAAGAGTATCCCGGGCGAGGAGCATGACGTTTTCCACCGGTTGGCAAAGGGCGTTAATTGGGAGTTGCACGATAAGCATACGAAAGGCGTCTGGAAGATTGATGATTCAAAAAGAGATTCGTTACAGCGTCCGTTTAGGGGCGAGTTAACACCACTGGGTTGAAGTTTATTAGTTAAGATTCAAACTTCATGCATTATGACGACCAAGTCTTGTACCTGTTTGCCAGCGCTGAGGAGTAGTCGTCACTATGTTCACAAAGCCAATCACCACCGGATTAGCTTGCCAATCTGTCTACCATTCCAAAAATGTGGAGGAGCATTCTCAGTATTTATGTCGAGGAATACATTCATTCTCTACCATGCCGTGGAGCTCTATGCGTACTACCAAAGTCTTGCTACATGTAGATATCTAATCCGAGTCTGGAGGCGACTTCGGCCAGGTATCCCAGTCCACCACATCCTCCCATCTCAACGGCTCTTCGTCTTCGTCCTCATAATCGTCCTCAGTCTCGTCCCTTCTTACGACGGCGGGTTGTCTGGGAAGTTTACTAGATTGTACTCTCCCTGCTCGAGGCGTGCTCCGCTTGTCTCCATTTCCTCTCCAAAAAGACACATTAGTCCTGCGAGCCCAAGTCTCCAACTGACCTCGCTTCCGTGCACAAAAAAGTACAACCTCTCTCGCCGCAAGAGCATCTTCCAAAGCATCATGGTGAGCCCCGCCTCCGCCATCCGCCCCGAGCGGAGAACGGATCTGGATGCCCAGGAGCTCCTTGCAGAGCGCCTCCAGGCCCCACCTTTTCTTAATCTTTGACTTCTTCCCCAGCACGGCATCGGCAGTGATGATGGCCGAGTCGATGATTCTCGAATGGGAGGTGTGCAGGACCTGGAGGTCCTTCTGAAGCGACTGCCCAATGATGATCGTCTCTTTGTCGCAGAAGCGCCACAGAGCAGCTTGCGCGGCCTCCCAGCCGTCTAGAGCTTCGTTCCTCGCGACGGCGTCGGACATGCTGGCAGCATTCAGACCGGTGAAATTTTCGCGCCAGTCAAGGATGGGTCTCGATGGGTTGACAGGGCGGCTCAGCAATGCTCTTCCTGTCAGGAAGTCGAGAATGGTAACCTGGACGAGCTCATTCTCTCCATTAGCAGTTCCGGCCATCTCGCAGTCTATCACAAGTGCCGCGCATTTAGGCACAGATGGGTTCCTGTCAGGACATGGTGGATTGATTCTCGTTGCCGGGTGGGACGCGGAATGTGTCCCGTTGGTGCTTGTGGCTGGCAGGGTGTATCCTTCCTTCCGGAGTCTCTCCTCCGAGTGACAGAGATCCAAAACGAGGTTCCAAATAGCACTTCGTTCGACTGCGGGCGAGTAGATATTGCCCCGGTATATATTGTGCATTGGCACGACATGTTCAGTGAATCTGGTCGGTCGGTTTACAACGGGATCCGGGTGTTTCGTGCGCCTATGTTGCTTCTGCCCCTCTTTGGTACTGAATTTGTCCTGGCAGACAGCACATTGGTGTTTCTTAACTTTTGTAGAAGACGACATGACGTTGAAAGATTTCGATGGAAGTGGAAATGATAGGAGAAGTGCTATACCTCCAAAAGTGCGAACGGGAATTTCGGATGGGATATCTGTGTCATTTTAAACCTGGACTTCAGTCACGGCCACGCATTCCTCATCGACCGGAAACTAACCTGCGATAAGGAACCGTGGCCAGCAACTTGGGCACTATTGGTGCCGGAGCGGTTCTATCGACCACATGATTGGGCTGTCTCTTTTTCCGTCGAAACACTCCTGCAGGAGGCCGACAAGTCATGTCTCAGTGTATGAAGACAGGGAGTGTCTCTTGCATGTTCCTCCAATTCGCAACGACATGGACCATTTCAAATTATCTCGACTGCCTTCAAAGTCGATGGAGAACTATCTCTAAGGTTATTGCGGATCCAAAGAAACTTTGCTATTCTCTAGAAGATGCATGTGGTCACAACAATGGAAGCACCCGCTGTCCCATTATCAAAATAGGGGAAGAAGAAGAAAGACTTCAACGTTGCCAATTGTGTTGGAAACGTGCAGAGCAGCTGCAGGCGCTCAATTGTGGCAGCTCATACGCACCAAGACGAAAATGCCACGAACAGCTGCTTCGGACCAACAGGCTACAAGCTAATTGGTCTTCTTACCTGCTGCTTGCTAGCCAATTTCCACTTTTGGTGTCTTGCATTCTCTTGTAATATTTGATATCTCATAGTACACGTAGACCTACCTGAATTCCTTGCTGCAGCATGACGGGCACTTTTGCTGCGGGACGCAAGGTGATTCATGTCGAATGTCTGGGTCTGCGGCCTCTCCATGACAAATTCACAGCCCACGCGAGGAGGAAGATATGGCTAAGAACGAATGAAAGGGAGTGCATCCTCAAGTCGAGTCCATGCATGTGTTGAGTTTCATGCGGGGTTTTTTTCAATGTTTGTTGATACTTGTTGGCTCATGAGTCGCATAAACGAGGAGCAAGAGCGTCTGATGAAAATCCTGCCATGCAAGGCGATTCACGTGACTATTGTGGGAGGGAGTCTCACACAGTGATTTAATCAACCGTTTTGGTCTTTGGGGATTAAAGGCACATGCAGTATTCTACCTACTACATCTAATGAGTTGAAAGCTCTTAAGCCCACCTACTCTCGAGGGCTCAATTTGCCCGAGAGTTCGACCACGCCTTCGTACAATACTCTCAGGGGTACTTGGATAACCACGCGAGAACATGGATGCTGCATCAATAACCTGATAGAAAAAGACCATGTTCCATTTATGACACTCGCACAACCAGCTTGCCAACAGTTCTGCCAGACTTCAACTTCCCATATGCCTTGCAAACATCTGCCAAGTTAAATTCCTCATCGACAACGATTTCAACGCTGCCATCTGCTACCAAACTCGCAATTCGTAGGAAGTCCGCCGTATTTGAAGTTACCGAGTGAAACCGGAATGTCCTTTGACCACCTCTAAGAAAACGGGGTAAGAAATGTATGCTTAACAGCGTCCTGATAGTTCTGAATCTCAAAGGCAGCCCGACGGAAACGTACGTACCCTCTGCCACGAGGTAATGGTGACACTGCCAGTAGAGATCCGGTGTTTCAAAGACGGTATCCAGGATATGATCGTACTGTTGACCGCTCTCTTTGAGATCCTTGACCAGATCTCCAGACGTGTAATCGATGATGGAATCAGCGCCGAGACGCCGGCAAAGGTCTGCATTGCGGGCCGAGCAGATGGCAGTAATCTGGGTGCACCCCAAAGCCTTCGCCACCTCAATTGCAAATACACCCACACCGCCGCTTCCACCGTTGATCAGGACGCTACTCCCTTGTCTCACGAATGGAGCGAGAGATTGTAGAGCAGTCACCCCGCAAATGCCCACGCAGGCCGCGTCCCGAAGAGATACACCCTCTGGAAGAACGGCGATGTTTGCCTTGCCCACTACGACGTATTCTGCGAGGGTTCCGCCCATGGAAGGCTCATTTCGACCGAAGACTCGTTGACCGGGTCGCAGAGTGGCCAAGGTACTGGCAATGACGGTGCCGGAGAAATCGAGACCTGGCGTGGCTGGCTTGCTGATGAAGCTGCTGACGAGAGGCATTTCGGCGATCTTGTAGTCGAGGTGGTTGAGGGATGCGTAGGCTACCCTCACGAGTGTGCAGCTTTTTGGTAAGTTTTTGGCTCCCTTTGGAAGTTGCGCTTCTGTGTTGATCTTCATGTTCCTTTCGATGCCGCCACCGACAGAACGCCATTGTGCTGCTCTCATGGTCGCGGGTAAGTGGATGGATGTTGCCATGCTGAAGGGGATAGCAATTATACTCCTTAAAATGCGGAAGATTGTACAGAAAAGTTGGAGCAAGCCAATTTTTCAGATCATTGGTTGAATCGGACGGAACGTTCTCAGAATGAAGAAAAATCCCTAGGCTCTAACGCTACTCCTATAATGTCGGATGTGAAGGCCGAATCCTTGGTCCAACGGGCACCGCAGATCCGCCGGTTGGAATTCCGACCATAAGCAGCCAAGAATAAATGGTGTGATAACACGTCCCGTGGCTTTGAGTGGTGTGTCAAGTGAGGGTTCCATTCGCTACAGCTACGCCACAACGTTGCTGCCAGTCTCTCCACTACCTCGCCATTGTCAGAAGAACATTATAAAATATGAAAAGGAAACGAAGGCTCATTTTCAAGATCAGGAGATCTCAATCAGGCAATTTATATTACATAAGGTGGCGGGAGCCAGCCCATAGGCACTCGGTGTGCATCTAGCTTAGGCCTGCGTCCATCATTCAACCTTGTCATTCTAACGCGTAAAGTCTGATATATCTGTTGAATCTACGTTCGTAATATGGACTTGATGTCCTGTCAATGAGCCAAGCGACAGTCTCAGTCAAGTCGCGGCCCTCTATACCTCTTGTTGGCGTACCCAAACCAGTTGGCGATGGCAAAGAGCCCCATTACCCCAAGCACCACACTAGCATAATCTATCCCAAGATTAGCGGATAATCAATGTGTGTGACTGGAGAACGGAAGGGGAGATTACTCATATTTGAAGCCGAGACAGGCATGACAACCGGAAAGTCATAAAACACCAGCGCCAACAGTCCAAGAACAATTGTCAACGCATTGGCAACGGCACCTAAAACGTAGGGCATCTTGAACCCCCGCTGCGGAAGTACACGGTCGAAAGCAAGTGTTCCTTTGGAACGATGATAGAGGGCGAGGGCAGCGGGAATCCCAAAGCTAACTTGCTGTAGAATCAGGCCTGTGGCGACGAGGGCGTTGAACGCGGTCGAAGAGGCGAGGAAGATACAACCGAGGGCGAAGATGAGAGCCCAGTTGGCTAGGAGCGCGTTGACTGGTACGCAGAGTCGGGGGTGTATCCTGCGAAGGAATGGAGAGAAGACGATGGCGTTGTCACGAGCAAATGACCAAGTGAGTCGACTGGCGGTTTGGAGTGCTCCCGTGCAGGCAAAGCATCCACACAAAGACAGTATGAGCACAAATATGGTTGCTGCTGCTCTAGATCCAGTTGCTTGGGACCAAATTTCAAGAATAGGCAGTCTATTCCAGATTCATGTCAGTATTGTGAGTTATCAGTACCTCGTGATGGCGATTCCCCTGTGATCTAGACGTTTGAAGTCGCTTGCGGCATCACTACCTACGCTAAGAGAGGAAAGGGGACCTACGGAGATGAGAGCACGGGCTCAAAGTCCGTGAAACTGTACAGCATTGCTACGCTGAAGGTGAAGGCTGAAATAAAGCCAATCACGATCGTCGAGAGTAGTGCTTTTGGTATGGCGGAAGAAGCATTGGTGCACTCCTCAGCCAGGTGTATCGCCCCATCAAGACCGGAGTAGATGAAGTTGGGGTTGAGCAGACCAGTTAAGAAGACTATGCCCCTTGAAGACCAGCCACTCTCATTGATGAACGTGGTCCATACGAAGGAGTCATCTTGTTTTTGCTCTGAGCGCGCTAAGCAGGTGACTGTGATCACGAAAAAGCCCGCCAAAGACAGGAAGACTGGACGTGGCGGTAGTCAGCTCGAGTTCTATCTTGAGATACTATCTCACGGTGCTTACAGCCAATATCATGGATCCAAGCGGTCCGTTTCATCAAAAAGACGTTGTAGGCCGTAAAAGCGATGTTGAAAGCCTGAAAAACAAGAAAGATGTGCCAGGTTTCTGGGATGTAAGTAGGATCAAGGTACGATGCCAGCGAAAGTATAATGACCGGCATCTGGATAATGAAACCTGCTCCATTGGCAATCCAACCTAGGAAGTTAATAGACCCACAACAATAACTCTAGAAATCGCATACATCAGCAACAAGAGGATACCAGTCCGCAGAAATGTCTCACTAGTCCACGACTGAGTCGTTTGGGTGCTAAAATGCTGGTCCAATGGTATTGTCCACCGGCAGTCGGGTAGACTGAAGCGATCTCGGCCATGCTCAGAGCGCACGCGCTCCCTAATACGAAAATGAGGATGATGCCATAAAGCAAGGTGACAGGTCCTCCGGAACTGATTGAAATCACCAGCGTGGCTGAAATTGCGGCCCAACTGTTGCAAATATTCCAACCTAGTCCGATAATGGCCAAAAGCCCAATATCTCGTTTTGTTTGTGACTCAAGTCCTAGACGGGACAAGTCGGCGTCTTCGTAAGAAGGATTAAGGGTTGAGTCATCTGCGAAAAACACAGTTTCGGATATTGTCAGTCACTAGTCCATTTTCAAGACGATTCTGACAAAGAGATCTGGAATCTAACTTTGTTCCAAGACACAAAGGTCCACTGGCTTTTCCATCGAGTTCCGATTGATCGAAACATTTCCAGGCGGTGATCTAGATGTTTCCATAATTTCTGTTTCATATCTAGATCAGCTAGTAGGTTCAAAGCGGAAAGCGGAGCGGCAAGGGCTAGAAGATGTCCATACGTGGGATGGACAATTTTGGTGGTCTAGGTGACGTTCATATACGGCAGGATCTTGTGGGAAAATTCTCGCTACGGTAGGAGCCGAGACAAACGGGAAAGTGGTATTTTCCCGGTTACACTGCAGGTTGAGATGCAGTCAGCTTCGTGCTGCGTATACGAACCACAAGCTCGTTGCATTCTCATTCGCCGTCAGCGAGACGAAGACCGCGGCCCAGAACCTCCCCAACCAGAGCGTAACGCACAGTCAGGCGGCAGAAAGAAGAATGACACCATGTTCTCAATACTTACGCCGATCATTGAACCTTCAGTAAATCTATGAACTCATCCAGCCCAGCGGAACAGAAGAGCTATCTTGGGCCACGATATCGACACGCGCCGTCAGATAGGAGGGATGCTGCTCGCGAGCATAGCTAAGGTAGGATTGGAAAAGTTGAGCATCCAAAAAGGGCTGAGAAGGAGTGCTATATTCGCCATTGTTTTCGATTGAAAGCATAGTATTCTCTAGAGACAATTCCGTCCTAGCAATGAGACATCTGATCAAGATCTGCTTGAAAGACTATTTATACTACCCAAAAATGCTTTGGTTCTTGTAATTGAAAAGACATGTTCAAAGGGAGAATCTTATTTCTGTGACTTTCTTTTTATATATCCCCCTGGGTCAAATGACATGGGCCAAGTTTCCGTGAATCTCACTTTCGAGCCATTAGTGATCGGCAATATGTAGCCGCCCGGGAGAACACCAAGACATGACCAAGCCTTGTGGCTCCGACGATCGGGGGCCGCTAGCCAGCGATATGAGAATGTCAGCATCCTGTTAGGCACATTATCATACGATGCTAAGGAGCTAAATCTAGTCGCAATCTACACCTGGCTAGATCAAAGTCTACGCCTACGTCATTCGAACAGGCCTTGGTTTGGCAGGTATCTCTGAGGTCTGTGTATGCCACCCCATAAAAGAGAAATTACCAAGGCAACCGTACTGAAATTCCCATCCTTTTTCAAATGGGTAGTGTAAAGGCAAATAATCTCATACCATTCCTTGTTCAATGGTCCCAAATAGTTGCATCTCTCGCAGTTGAATTGGTCTGAAACAATCAGAATCTTTTACTGTGGGCGCTAAGAGCACAACTTGGGATGGCCCGATCACAGACAATCTTGGGATTAGACCGGGGATGCGTTTCCAAATAGCCATGTACAACTTCTGTCGTTCGATTTGCCCTACATCTAAATAATCGAAACTCTAATGCTAATCGCCCAAGTCTATGTCAACTCTTGAGCTACTGCATTGAAACCCCGGAACACACTGAACCCAGTGACATGAATTCCCCGATCATACTCTGTGTAGCCACTGGTCATTGATGAAATATTCAAGCCCTTGTCTTGTTCAAATTTGAAAGTGTTGTCAATCGACCATGGTTACAGGAGCAAAATGACTGAAAACAGAAGCATCCCCGTCACTGCAGATGTAGTTGACCCAGACACGCGCCCTGCGGAGCTTCTTCTGTTGTCGCCAAACGAATCTGGCTTATGGCTTCCCTCTACGATGTTATTGGCGCGAATACATCGAAAAACGCTATAATTCGATCGGTTCTCCCCGTCTTCGTAGCTGTATGCGAGTAGAACGGGGTAGACGTTTGTAAGAGCCTCGTCGTATGCATTGCGTAAAGCGACTTCTGACCTGTTCGAATAAGGTGGCCAGTTTCCAAAGAGATGAGAAGAAGATCCTTCAGCGGCAGAGGTTCCGTTGGGGAGATTGAAAGTCACATTTGCTATCCGGGTTTGTTAGCCTTGGCCATGAATTCTGCCGCTGGCAGTCGTATTGGCGATCAATCACTTACTTATAAACGAAGAGGGATTATTGAGTGCCCGATGGCAGCTTTTGGGTCTGTCGAAACTCGTAAAGCTGCTGCATGGCTTTCCGGTCAAGGCCGCTTTGATGTCGTTGATGCACTCATCGGAAATAACTCCATTGCAGGATCCGTTGACATCGTCTTGGAACTTTTCCAAGTCCTTGATGGTCCAGACATTGGTGATCCAGGCAAAGGAGCAAACTTGGTAGTTCTCAGTGTAGTTGGTCGAGGAATTTGCTCCTTCAAAGGCGTTGTCTGGCGCTTCGAGAGTGATGACTGCGGGATTGGATACTGAAGTGCTGTCATTTTCCCAAGAAATATTGGTTGCAACGGCAATGTTAATGCTCCACCCATTTCCAGGGCCATAGTCATCGCTGGGCGGATCTAAAAGTGGTTTGGTAACGTCGATGCCGTTGATGGGCCATGTTCCTGTGGCATTGGGGTGGGCTACTGCATCTTGAATCGAGATGCTGGTTGAATTGCTTTGGCGCCCCTGGATGTCGGAACCTCGTAAATTGCCATTGGAATCCCGGGCGCTGCCAGCTTTGACCTGAAAGGCCAAACACAACGCAAACATACCACTGAGAAGTCTCATATTGTTGATACACTAATGTGTTCTGATGAAACGTTAGTTAGGTTCTTGCAACCTGTCAATAATATGTAGGCATTAAGTATGCACAAAGTGCGTTGATGAGCAGCCACATTCGAAGTGGAATCCAGGGCGGTACAGGCAAGTCATCGAACTTTTATAAGTCCTCTCACTGATTGATGTCTTGGTTGAAGGATCATCGATTGTGGGACATTGGTTACCAAGAATGACGTACATCGGCAACTGTGACATTTCGAGTGGTCGAATCCAGGTTCGAGGTGAGACTGAAGGATTTGTGCTTGGCTACGTGGTCTCTTGGCAGTTATCTTGGCCTAAGACAGGTTGCGTGGAACACCGAAGTACCACCAGAATAGAAGACAACGAAATCATTCAAGAATCTTTGGTGATTTAATAACGCTACAGGTCAGCATTGCCGGTTCATTGGGCATGACAAGATCGATTAACGCCTCCTTCCCCTAGTAGAGGTTCGGATTGTCCACACAATGAACGGACTTGCTTTCTTGCAGTAATGCATCTACCTCACTCGACTCCATCACTCATAAGATGTGACAGTGGGTATGGCTATGAGACAGTAGATGGCTGATTACTGTGACTTCATCATCTTCGCGAGTGTCTTCTTGCGCTGCTTGATCATGTAGGTATACATGGTGTAAGATCCTGAACCGGATGGACGTGTTAGCTGTGAGAGAGCAATGACACCATGGAGGAAAAGTTGAATTCGGGTGAGTTTACCGGGGATATAGAGTAGTAAGCAGAAGTAGAATAAGGGCGGGATGAAGGCACCGATACGGGAAGCGGGCTCGATGGCGAGGTACAACAGCCAAAACTCGGAGGCGATACCGATGGGGTATAACGGGTAAAACATGGTGTATCTAAGGTATCTTATCGTCAGATCATATTGGCCTCTTTACCAACGGATAAATCAAGCCTGCATGAACTTACCGCAGCCGGACGAGGGCATCAGATGCCTTCCCGTGGAGGTTCAGCGCCAGGTAGGCATAACGGACGGTATCGGCGGTTGCCCACGATAGTAGTAGCGTGGTAAAGGCGGTGGAGGATGCCGTGGTCCCGGGGAAGCTGTAGCAGACCATCCATACTATGATGGTACGGGCGACGACCTGCAGAGCTGTTGTGCCGACGGGGGATTTGACGAGGCCTGTCTTGAGTCAGTCATAGTCTCGTCCCGGTCTGTGTGTATACTGTCTCTGTGTTTTCAGTTGCGGAGTCAGGGAAAATACGAGAATCTCAACTCACCCACAGCGGAGTGAACAACCTCAATCAGAGTGAGCGTCTGCACCCATCGCGAGCGTGGTTCGGCGGCTTGGTAGACAGTGAGTTTATCCCGGCATGCGGCAGTCAAGGCGACAGTGAGGAAGATGGATGCCCAGAGCCCTGCGAATATGGCGTTGTATAGAGTCAAGTATGCGGCTCTTATACTGCCGCCACTTGTTGTCCGCAGATCTTTGGCAGCCATTGCGCTATCTGGAACTCAAATCTCACGAGTCAGGATGCGAATAGCCTCAATTCCTCGTTGTAGGTGAGCGTTCAAGCTCGGACCACCAATCAGCTTTTTTCTTTTCTTTTCCTTTCCCAAACGTCTGCAGCTCCCAAGTTGGTCTGATGACTAAGACATCGAATCTGCGCATCATCCAACCCCTGCGAAAGAGCTGACAGGGGCAATGGAAACGGCAAGGAGGCAGCGGAGTTGAAAGAAGCCGTCTGGCCGGGTAAGAGATGATAAGGCAATCGTTCACGGCATTACCCCGTCGCGCCCGTCAAGAAAGGAGAAGCCGAAAACCCCTGTAGCGCGGTACGTACTCTGTTGCTGTCATTGGCTGTCAAATGCGGGTGTCGAATTGGCCAATCATGCGGCGGTCTTTGGCAAGCTATGGATCCACTCGGGCAGCTGTCCCGGGAGGCGGATGCGGAGCCTTTCCGATTTCTTCCCACACGGTTACCGGGGGACACCGAGCAGACGCCGCTTTTGGAGTCGCCTAGGTACCTTTCTGGGTGCCATCAAGAAAGACACAGCAAAGACACAGCAAAGACACAACGAAGACACAATCCCTCGCCAGAACATGGTGAATATGGTTCTATTCTATGCATAGGTATCGTAGAACTCGAGGGGTCGCAATCAATCAATGAATTAAATCATGGCGGCTGGTACGGTCAACTTGTCCTAGGGCGCACATACGGATGACAGAGATGCTTGTAGACAAATCGTGACAATCACTCTAGGTTCCCACATGAGAAATATGGCGGCAAGAGAACCAGGCATCGATGCAAGGTAGTAAAGAACTTGATGAAATTGAGCTTTTATCCAAGAGATTTTTTTGCGAAATCAAAACGCATTAAGCTGCCTTTTTAAGCAAGTGAGCCAGTAAGGAACCTTACCTAACACAACCTACGTTGCCCACAGCTAAAGCGGCAGCTGATTTTGTCACAGCAAGCTCCAACTTCAATTTTCCACCACAATTTTCCGAGACCCTTTTCCCGTACCAGGGTCAAAGACTCATTCAACACCACCAAGCAAACCCGAATCTCCTGTCGACGACTGTCGGGCGCTCTTTCACCGCGCCTCCCTCTCTCTACATCCGCCAATATGATGCGCTCCCAGCTCCAAGCCGTCGGCCGCCTGGCCAAGCCCTCCGTTGCCGCTCCCAGACTCGCATCCGCAGCTCGCAGCCAGATCACCAGCACCGCCTCAAAACCGACGACGACGACGACAAGAACCCTCGCAACCGCGACACGCACTACCTCGAGACCGATCGTACACCTCTACCCCGCCCTCTCCTCCTCGCAATACCGCTCCTTCAGCACCACCCGCATCCAGCATGGCGAGGTCATCATCACCGTCCCGCAAATGGCCGAGTCCATCACCGAGGGCACCATCGCCTCCATCGGCAAGCAGGTCGGCGATCGCGTCGAGGCCGACGAGGAGGTTGCCAGCATCGAGACGGACAAGATCGACGTCGCCGTGAACGCACCCGAGGAGGGCACCATTGTCGAGCTCTTCGTCGCTGAGGGCGACACCGTCGAGGTCGGACAGAAGCTCGCGCGATTGGAGACGGGCGGCGCCCCGGCCGAGAAGAAGGAAGAGACCAAGAAAGCCGACGAGCCCGAGAGCAAACCCGAACCCGCCGCCGCGCCGGCCCAGGAGCAGAAGAAGGAGCCCGAGGCGCCCAAGAAGGAGGAGAGCAAGCCCGCGCCGGCCGCACCACCCAAGCCCGCCGCCGCTCCCCAGCAGCAGCAGCAACAACAACAACAACAACAGAAGCCCGCCTCCGAGGTCCCCTTTGGCGCGACGGGCGCCTTCTCCCGCGGCGAGCGCACCGAGAAGCTGCCGCGCATGCGCAAGACCATCGCCACCAAGCTCAAGCAGTCCCAGAACGCGACGGCGTCGCTGACGGCCATCGAGGAGGTCGACATGACCAACCTGATGGCCTGGCGCGCCAAGAACAAGGAGGCCGTCATGAAACGCTACGGCGTCAAGCTGGGCTACATGGGCGCCTTCACCAAGGCGACGTGCCTGGCCGCGCAGCGGGTGCCCCAGCTCAACGCCTCCATGGACACCGAGAAGGAGATTATTACGTACAGGGATTACGTTGACATTAGCATCGCCGTCTCTGCGCCCAAGGGTCTCGTCACGCCTGTGCTGCGCAACGTGGAGAGCTTGGATATTGTGGGTATCGAGCGTGGCGTCGCTGAGCTGGCTGACAAGGTGAGTCGCGCCGTCCCCCCTTCCCCCTTTGTTGCATTTCTAGGTAGACCAAGCGGTTTCTGACTGTAGTTGCTAGGCCCGCAAGAGCAAGCTCGCCATGCCCGATCTCGAGGGCGGTAACTTTTCCATCAGCAATCCCGGAATCTTTGGCTCGCTGTTCGGAACACCCGTCATCAACTACCCCCAGGCCGCCATTTTCAACATGAACGGCATCAAGGAGCGCGTCGTCGTCGTCGACGGCAAGCTCGAGATCCGCCCCATGATGTATATCACCGTCACCTACGACCACCGCCTCATCGAGCAGCGCGAGGCCGAGGCCTTCCTGGGCGCCGTCAAGGGTTACGTTGAGGACCCCTCCAGCCTCCTTCTCTGACCACGAGGTCGATGTCTGTTGTGCATTGAAGCGAAGTGGTTATAGGCGATGGAGATATAAGTCTATGTACGGCTTCACAGTCGTAGCATCGTGCCAATTGTATTTTACTATGTAAGTGGGATGGGAGGGATTGGACTGAAAGCATTGCCGTGCGGGCATCGGGGGGCGTACACTGCTGCATCTTAGAAATCGTAGATGGGGTTCGGCCATAGATAATCCGGAGAATCCAGCGTCCAGTACATTGCCCTATTTATTTCCTATTAGCCCTCGCACATTTAGTTTCTACTGATTTGGAGTGAGTTTGGTGGTTATCGTGAGGCATAAGGCCTGGTGGCGAGGTCAGTCACGGACGACTCGTCGCAGAGTAGCCTACTTTGCTGGCTTTCACCTCCACCGCCGACATGGTCCCCAGTTGACCTCAAGCGTGGGGTATGTCACACAGACACTCACCGCTTATAAGTCGCGCCTCAAACTTGACGGATTTAGAGGGTTCAAGCCTCCTCCGAAACTGAAAGCAAGTGTTAGAGGGGGGGACAACACTCTGCATTCCTTGACTTGCTTCTTCCATCAGCTCCTCCATGCGATTCCCCATTCAGCGTGCCTTCAAACTTCCAATCACACACCTTCAACAGCTCGAAGATGGTATTGGCCAGCGCGTCTTGGGAAGCCGACTAGATATATCGATCCATTTGCTGCATCTATAGAGGCCATGTTCAACGGAGAGCTTCCAATTCGAAGACTTCAGCCTCGGCCCCCTTCATAATTCTTCACATTCCGCAAGACCTGAACGGAAACAAAAGAGCTTGAGACAGTCGAGAATTCACATCCGATGGAGTCTGGAGGCTTACTATGCAAAAAGGGAGACCATACTTAACGACAGCAGAAGCTGCGGACCTCATGATCCCGCCTACAAGACCACCAATGGCATTTCCTCTTTTCGTGCTCCTTGTACCAAAGATTTGACTCTGACTAAACTACCATGGACTCACTTTCCCAAGGAAATGTAGCGAACTGCAACGACTAAATGTACCTTAAATGGAAGACGGACCCTGACAGCGTCCACGTATCGTGGTATACGTACTTCTGCAACAAGAGAGACCCTCCGATACACTTGACACAATTCTTCCGACTACCGATGGGTCTACTCTCACCCAGATACACGGATTGAAGGATATTGTCATTGGAAGTTGTCTTCGCGGGAGGATGGATCTCATGAGCACAGTTCACAGCACAAACTCTGTCACGCTATTGCGTCCGTTTGCAGGCACGTAGGAGTTTGATACGGTGAGCGGGCAGACTGGCGATGTTAGGTATCACGTTGGTATGGAGGGTGAGGGGATGATAGATGGAGGCAAGACGATTGGCATCTCCATGTTGTTGAGACGGCGGTACAATCGACTGGTCCACAACCGAAGCCCTCGCACGCCGATCCATGATCCTGGATGGCAAATCCGTACGCATCAGCGGCCAAGACGTCGAGCGAGGCACTTTGTTCCCAGCGCCACCCTGTCCTGCACGACCAAATCACCCACGCGGAAGACACCCTAGGCAATTTCGGCATCTTTGGAGTAGCTTACTACACCACGGTCAACTCCCCGCTCAGCGAGTTCAGCGTCTTGGGGTTCGACTACGGGTACTCCATAGCCGCGCGGGACTCGCTGGTCTTGTGGGAAGCGCAGTTTGGTGAGTTGACGAACAATGCGTAAGTAACGATTGACCAGCATATTGCCTCGCGGGAGGCCATGTGGATACTGAGGTCTGGGCTCGACACGTCTTTGCCGCATGGGTATGACGGTCAGGGCCCGGAGCATTCTTCTGCTTGGCTGGGCAGGTTTCTCGAGTTGGGAAGCGAAGATACGCGGTGCTGGCCCAGGGACTTAGAAAGGGCCAGGAAGGGGGGAAATGTGAGGATCTTGTGCCTGAAGACGCTAGCGAGTCTGTTCCATGTGTTGAGGGGGCAGGTGTATTCACTCGAGAAGATACGCAAGTTACACTCCCCTACTTCCCACTTCGATCTGCCCACTGGCCCTTCGAGCTCTCGTCACCCTCCTTTCAAAGTCTCTCCTCCGGCATCCCATCGTCAGGTCCCTTATCTCAGACCTGACGGGTACATCATTCTCTGCAGTGGCCAAGTCTACGCGTCACTGCACAAGTATGGTGAAGCAAAAGACATCAAGGACGTTGCCGTCGCGCGCGTCGAGTAACTCTATCCCTTCCTTTTGGCAGAGGTTTGGAAACTTGGACTCATACCCTAATGCAAAAATGATTGTGTGGTGTCAAGAGGATCCGCATAACGTGTTTGTGTGGCAGTATATGCGCGATAGGCCTGAGACTGTTGTTATTTGGAATCCGGACGTGCTTGGCGGTAAGCAGATTCTTTTCGCTTGGCGGGGGATTGGTGCTGCTGGTTCCAAGAAGGTTCACCAAGTCTGAGAAGGCAAGTTGCTGGAAAATGTTTCCAATGGTAAGAGCTGAAGGACTGGCAGCCATGGAAGAGTTGGGGCTTGAGACAGTAAACATGACAAAATGCGTTCGGCTCTCAGTACCCGTCGTCGGTACTTGGTGGGGACGGTCCAGACTTGACGGTTGGCTGGCGGAAACCGAGACATCATACCAGCGGCCCGAGCCCTGAGCACGCGTGTTGACAAGAACGGGTCCAATGAATCTCTCGCATGCTTTTCGAGTTTGCGGGGTAAGAGGCAATAATGTCTGAATGCAGTTGGAATTTGAAGTACGGCTGAAAGCTGGCATCACAGCTTAGACTGCTTTGAGCTAGAGCGCCCGCTTACCAGTTTGATTTTCAACCGACGCGTATCCCAACTTCAGCCAGCCTCCGTGTATGAGACATTGGGGTCTCAGTCTAGGGTTGACTTCTTCTTCCGTTTTATAGCTCTAGTGATAGGTCCAGAGTACGAATAGAATATACGCTTCCCGCAAACACCCATGCGAAGAAGATGAACCGAGACTGAATCACGCGCTAGCAGCGGCTGATGGTCAGACTTGACACGTGAGGAGAGAGAGCTGAAAATTGATTTCGTTTGGAAGATGTTTGCAAAAGGGCACACATGCTGCCTATGCATAGCAATATTCCGGCAGTGGGCAAGAGCCCCCGGTGCAAATTATATAAATAACCATTGCTACCCTGCAGGGTAGTGTGCGACCATATCGTAAACACTTTGGTAACAAAACTCCATCATCTGTTCCTCTCTCCTCAGACACCGTCCTCGTGTAACACATCATGGCACCTCCGGAACCCCTGCCCGTGGACTCAAAGGTCAGCTACAAATACATCTGGGCGCAATTCGTAGCTCAGCGCAAGCTCGAAAACGATCTCAAAGTATCAAAGCTCAGCTTTCAAAATCTTGGAGACGGGAGCAATTTGACACCAGTAGCTGGAACCGTATCTAGCCTTTCCGAAATCTTGAAAAAGGCCACTGGAGGTGGTGTCATCCCCCCCAAGCCGGGGCACTTCAATGTCGGTATTATCGGCTCCGGTGTTGCTGGGCTCTTCACGGCCTTGGCCCTGGACTGGATCAATGACACCATTGAGGAGCAAAAGGGAGCCGGGCACCTCAAGATCACGTACGAGATCTTGGAAGCGTCGGATGAAAAGCGATTTGGCGGCAGGCTCTACACCCACCGGTTCAGCGACGATGGCGTCCACGATTACTATGATGTTGGGGCCATGCGTTTCCCCAAGAACGCAGTCATGGACAGGTATGCTGCGATACCTTTGGAAAAATAAAAGAGATAAGATCTCATGTCTGGGCTGGGCTCGACTAATACAAATAATATAGGACTTTCCGTCTTTTCAACATGCTTGGCATTGAACAGGGCCAGTTGGGCGATCGCACGCATGTCGATGATCCCCCACGTCTGATCAAGTATTATTTGCGCGATGACAACAATGTGTGTCCTACCTACTTCAACAATGTTCGAAAGGTCGGCAACCCGTTCTTTCCCGATGACGAAACAAAGACGGACCCCTTTGGTCTGAATAAGGGAATTGCAGAAGACAAGCAAATACCGGATAGGTGAGTCACTTCCTCGACCCGTGGAAGCCGTTCTGAGCAATTGTACCTACCATAATGCTAACGATTGCTTCCTCGCCTCCTCTCAGGCTTACGAGGACGGATCCTGGTGTCCTTTTTGAGACGGCGATTGGCGATTTTATTGCATACGTGAAGAAGTCTCTCGATGATTACATAGACGACGGAACTCCGATGAACCCGGAGGACGAGAAAAAGCTATGGGACCTTCTGATGCGATGTGATCAGATGAGCGTCCGGCAGTTCTTGCGCTCGTACGTTACTCTCTTCCGAGATCATGCCCATGGAAAAGTGCAAGTTGCTGACTACCTCATCATAGTGTCGAAGTCCCGGGCTTCCCGGAGGACGCACCAAAGGGGCCGGGCTTCAGTTACAACACCATACAATGGCTCGAGACGGCCACCTAGTAAGTCATTGTCGTCCTTTCATCATGTTCAATGGTGAATCAGGTCTAACTTGATTCGTGACAGTGGCACAGGCTGGTATGATCAAAGCTTAACCGAAGCCGTCCTGGAAAGCATCGACTTTTACATCACCGATGACCCGAAAAAGGGCAAAGAAATCAACAATCATTGGTTTTGCATCGACGGTGGCGCTCAAAAGATTGCAGAAGAGATGCGCAAGAACTTGAAGAACCAGTCCGCCATCCAGTTCAACACGCAGGTCGTCGGCATGGATGCCAATGTCCAACTCAACAAGCGCGTGACCAAAGACATGACCCTGAAGCTTCGAGACAGCGCCACCGGCAAAGCACTGCCGTCCAAGGACTACTTTACCGTGTTCAACGCGACCACGTTGGGATCGGTGAACCGAATGGACCTCTCCAAAGCCGGCCTGCTCTGGGATACGAAGCAAGCCATCCGCTGCCTGGGCTACGGAGCGTCGTGCAAGGTCGGCATCAAGTTCAAGACCCCCTGGTGGCAGAAGGCGCCGTACAACATTGACCATGGCGGCATCGCCCGTACGGATCTGCCTGCCCAAGTCTGCGTCTATCCTTCGTACAATATCAATAAGGATGTCGATCCTCGAGACAAACCTGCCGTCCTCCTCGTCTCCTACACCTGGGGCCAGACAGCGCAACGCCTGGCCAGCCTCATTGCGTCAAAGCCACGCGGCAAGCCAAACGCCGAGATTCTCCGCGAAGAAGCTGAATTGAGAGACGTCATGCTCCGAGATCTCGCCTACCTGCACACAGAAGACCCCAATGACAGCGCCCAGCTGCAAAGGACTCTCCAACACATCACCGAACAGTACGTGGAGCACCACGCGTACGACTGGTACCACGATCCCAACATGGCGGGCGCCTTTGCCTACTTTGGCCCCAGCCAGTTCAGCGAGCTGTATCCGGCCATCACGAAGCCCAATGCGGGCGGCCAGCTCTACTTTGTCGGCGAAGCAGCGTCGGCGCATCACGCGTGGGTCGTGGGCGCGCTCGAGAGCGTCGTACGCGCACTCTGGCTCCTGTTCGACACCCTGCACCAGGGGAGCAGGAACGATCCCAATACACAGGGCGCATACGAAGCCTATAAATGGGCCATGGACCTCCTCGAGTGCGGCCACATTGAACAACAGCCGACAGGTGGAAAGAAGCCCGCGGTCCGGAAGGCCAAGAGTCCGTTACCGTTCTACCCGCTGCCTGCCGAAATGCCCCGCGAACGCAGGCAGCACAGTCACAATGACTCTGACGAGTCTGACGACACCGACACGCAAGGAGGCCCCGGCCCTGCCGTGACGGTTGTTGAGTCTGCGGGACTGCCTGAAGTATTCCAAGCTGTCGAGGTGGCCGAGGATGCGCGAGCCGTTGCCTTTTCTCAGCCGCCCGTGCCACCCGAGACCATCAGCCCTCAGAGCACTCAGGATTTGTCTGACCATCCCGAGATGGATGGTACGACTGAAGTACCGCTCAAGTATGGCGCTGCACTTGTTGCACTGAGCATGGTCGAGTCGGTTCTGTCGACTCTGGCCGAATTGTCAAAGGAAGAATTGGACGACCAAATCAGCAAACTTTGAAGCCGATGAGCTCCAAGTGAAGAAAAAGTAGTTAATTTTAAATTGGAAATCTGAAATTGCGCTGTAAAAGGCAACAAGTGCCGAGTGTTCTCCTCTCAGGTCTCATTAATTATACAAATCATCATCCTCGTCCGACTCCTTTTGCTTCGAAGCATGGGGACTCGTCACCCGGATCCCATTCTCCAGCCTAGCCAGGCTCATCTCATACTTCTTGTGATCACACCACTTGGACACCATCTTGACAGCCATCTTGATCTCACGCCCATTGAGCTGCCAATGCCCAAGCTCCTTGATATCCTCGTCCGAAAGCAGCCCCCTCGCACCCCCGGCGCCCTCGGTCGAATTCCCCAGATGAGGCAGTCGCCCGAGGAACTTGCGCCAAATGAGCTCCCTCGCATCCGGACTCAGCGCTTTGAACAGCAAATGTAGACTCACCCTACTGCGGAACGCCGTATCAATCGTATTATACAAATTCGTCGTCAAGAAGATGATTCCGCGAAAGTACTCCAACTCCCTGAGAAAGATGGATACGAGCTCATTGCGCGCAATGTCGTTGGGATTCCGCTCTGCCATGAACACATCGGCCTCGTCGAGCAGTATCACGGCGTTCCACTCCGTCGCCATCTCGAACACCCGCTTGATCTTCTCGCCCAGCGTCGAGGGGTTGATGCCCAGGTCCTCGGCCTGCAGGTAGAACAACGGACGCTGCGTCCTGTCCGCGACCGCTTCGGCCGTCAGGGTTTTTCCAGTACCCGGTGGGCCGCTGAGGAGGATGATGAGGCCTTGGCCTTTGCCTACGATGACGTCTTCCATTGCGTTCTTGTTGGCGTGGCCGTGGTTTTCGACAAAGGAGAGGACGAGATCCTTCTGCTGCTCGTCGTAGACTAGGTGGTCGTATGCTTGGGCGTTCCAGACGATGGGCTCGATATCCTCCACATAGAAGCCAACTGCCAATGTCAGCGAAAATGCCAAGAGGCACTATTAATAGGGGCAAGCAACTCACGCCAAAGCTTGTTCTTCAAGGCGAACCCCTCAATCAGCGGAGACATGAAGACGAGGTCGTCCTGACGGGCGAGCATCTCTTCCTTGTTTCTCAACTGCCCCGTTTCGCCGAGATGCCTCTCGTTCTTGGCCTCTGGTGTCTTTGACTTGGATTCCGGCTCCCCGTGTTCATCCAACGCAATATGCCTCTTTGTCACGCGATTCCGTCGCGTCTCGGCGTCGTCACCTTCCCTCTTGCCTTGAGTTTTTTCGTACTTGTTGAACCCGACGACATCAATGAGAATCCTGCCCTCAACATTGTGTTTGCTCTTCGGCCCGACAGCGATACCGTTGTAGGTGCAATAAGACAACCCCTGTAGATCCAAGACCTTTTTGCCTCTAGCCAGGGTTTTCTGCAGTATCTCTTCTTTATTCAGGTGAAATTGCACAGGGTAGTGGGTGAGGTCGAGTATCGGCCGGTTGCCCTCAAACTTGGGGATCTGAAGCTGCTGGTCGGCCCACACAAAGCTCTCCCCGTTGAAGTTTAGGATCTTGCAGTTGATGTTGAGGAAGACGCCCTCCTCCGTCCGTGCGTACGCCGTGTCTTCCACCTTGCACAGCAGCTCCGTGTTCCGAGCGCTGCTGTAGACGACCGAGTCTCGGGGGAAGTAGGTCCATGCCATCTTGAAGTTGATGAGGCCACTGGCCTGCAGCTTTCGCTTCTTCTCGCGCGTCTCGCCCAGCATGTCGTCCAGGGTCCGAACCAAGAGCTGCAGGTACCCCTTGAGCGAGCTGTCGTCCGTGGTCTTGTACAGGTCGAGGATCTCATCATAGCAGAAGAACAGCGGACGGAACGGGGCCTCGAACGTGGCCGTATCGCTGGGATCGAGGTGGACGTCTTCCTTTTTGAAGATGGGCTCCAGAGCGGCGACGAGGGTCAGGTTCTGGATGACGACTTGGTGGTAGGTCAGTGAATATCGACCTCCCATGACAGGTTTCTCGACATCCTTGATCTTGTAGACTTTGATGGCGGGCCGGTCTTGGCTCTCGGCAGCTTTCTTGCTCATCTGCTTTGGGGGGAAGTCGACCCAATCGTAGATGCCATTGCAGGAATTTTTGCCCTCGTAGTACGTCTTAACGGTGGCATCGACGCCAAATGTCGGGCTCTTTGCTGGCTGCTTTTTTTGGTCCTCGTCGGAAAGACTTCCCTCAATGTCCTTGATGGGGCGGCCAACTTGTTCCTTTTGTGGAAGAAGCTTGCAGCGCCATTGCCATGCCTTTTCCGAGAGGTTCTCCTTGTCGAAAGCGTCGCGAATGTCGCTGAGATGCATGTTGACGATTTCCTTGTGCCCCGGTAGATGGTAGGGCGCAGGGGGGATTGGTGAGTGGAAATATGAATTGAGTTGGGTGCGGAAATGGTGAGACGAGACATGGGGCGAGCTAAATATATCAAGGCCGTTGCGATGCCGCCGTCAGATCGGGTGGCAGCCTTGATGCTTTGATGCTGAAGCCTGATGCCACATCAGCTGCACCAGGCCCAATGGGTAAATAAATAGGATTCGAGGCATGTTGATTCGCGACCCTTGAGTTCGGCCGAAGCGTGCGGCGTTGTCCGGGGTCCTAGTGGCTGACCCAAGCTATCTGCTATCAAGTCAGGCACGTCAGGGTAGGATTCTTCCTTGCTTACACCGATACCTAGAGTCTAGGACTGCTCAGCCTCAGTTGCCGGTGACTCAAAAACGGCCAGAGAGGGCTGTCCAGCCAAGGTGGCGCCTTCGTCCATGGCGGAGTAGAGCTAGTTCGACAGCGTTGCTGGGAGAACAAGTGGTGTTCTTTGGATATGATGCCTTGTTTCGGCTTGAGATGCCAGAAATCTAGCAAGCAAAATCAGATAAGGACCCCATGTTGAACATTGAGTCTCATGATTCTTGGAGGTTCCGGTGTTGAAGGTATCGAAAGATGGTTCAGTGAGGTAGTAGGTACCTCCTGCGCCGTTACACGCCGTGGGCAACCTAAAAGGTACGTCACTGCCGACAGATGGCACGGACCAGTGCGCGGACCATCAGAGTGGTCTCGCTTAACCACCTCGGCCACTCACGGCCTTCCTGAGGCCAAAGCCCCTGCTAGCGCCCGAGGCTCGGATCCGCCCCCACGGTTGCCTCCTGCCCACCTGTCTGCCTCGACGATCACCAAAGCATCATGGGTTCACTATGGCCTTCATGAGCGTCCACAGCTGGTCAGGATTTTTGAAGTCTTTACAACTACATAGGTATTGGACCTATTGGGTCGAGGCTGACTGGCAGGTTGAAATTGCTGAGCGGCACACGAGCGGAAGTCACCAGAATTATGTCTGCTGCTAGACGGAACACATCGGGCTGCGGCTTGCAGAGAACATCATGGACATGTTGTTCATGGTTTGGACGATTATGACTCTTGAGGTCGCCTGGCGCAGATACCCAAAATAACGATAACGAGCCTCTCATCCGCACCAAGTTCATAAGCCGCTGTCCGACTTGGTTACGCGCGAAGGAGGGTCAAGTCTATCGGGCACCGGAAGGCAGGGGTCCAATGCATCACCGATGGTATTTTGTGCAGGTCGATTGCGCTGCGAACCCAGCCGATCCCCGGTGCATCAACCCCGCCAACGCGTCTAGTGAGAATAGTCAGGCCTCAAGCTTAGACGAGGACGACCTCTTATGATCAAAATGCTTTATGAATTTGCTTGACCACAGAGTCACCTCGGAGTTCCTCCCAGACTCCGACCATTCCGACTACCTGGTCGCCGGATTTCAAGACATCCAGTCAGTCTGTCAGACGAGCGTGGGACCTTTGGCATCGCGTGTTGTTCCGTTGTACCCCTATGCTACCGAGCTCTACGACACAGCTCCTGGACCGACCAGTACCTCGGAAGTCGACACTGCCCCTTGGATCCCTGGGCCTGATGACCATCCTAATTTCAACGTCAAGCCTCCAGAAGAGTTGCTTGACAAGAATGATGCGGAACCTCTGCCTGATCAGGAACCCTTTGTGCCACCCCCTGCACAGCACGTTCTGTCGACGTCCGATCCTCCAGCAGGGAGGGCGTCGATGCCTGCAACGTGCTGGTACAACGTGGCCTTCCTTCGACTATGTGTGCGTGCCTGAAGCCTACGAACTTCTCCGAGTTAACGCTGGTGATAAATGGTAGGTACGCGGGCGCGATAGCATTCATGTTGATGCTGAGGTTCAGACTACTGACATCGGACTTATTTACGCAGTACAACAATTGCTGATGCGATCTCGGACACAACGCAGCCCGTCACTGTTACGCAACTTATTCTGACTGGAAACCAGTACATCTGTATTTCGTAAGTAAATGGATACCTTGAGATAACCGAATAAGAACTGACATTGTATGCTCTTGTCAGGCGACCCGGTAGTTCCTGGGTCAGGCACCCTGATGAGGATCTGCCCGAGAACAGTAATGGGTCGATTCCAGGTGGGCCTGGCAGCACTGAACATCTCCCAATCATTGATGATCCTGCTGACGTCCCAACGGGCCGCGTCCAAGAAGGCATCGCGGCCGATTGTAGCCGTTACATCAAGGCCGAAATTACCACAGCATCGTGCTGGAAGATTGCAAACGAAGCTCAGAGCCGATTTTTCGAGTCAATTCCGGTTCTCGGTGCAAGTGGAGAGCATTGCGCCTCGCAAATCTTGTTTGGCTATTACTGCTGCGTCGGGACCGAAGGAGACAGCACCGGTACCCCGAACCCCACGATTACGCAAAGCGCTCCCGCGGCGACCTCAACATCTCCATCTGTGCTCAAGCCGGCGCCACAGCGCGAAGGAACTATTTCCACATGCAAGAAGTGGCTTCAGGCCGTTTTGGGCAGTTGGTGCTGGCAGCTCGCCACGGATGCGGGCATCGATACCTCGCTCTTTTACCAGTACAACCCCGTCCTCAGTGTTGACGGTGAGAATTGCGCCACCCAGATCTGGCCCAACTATTACTACTACGTCGGGGTCTCTTCCGACTCGGGAGGCTCTCAACGAATACGGCAGCACCGCCAGCAAAGCCGACAGCGACGCAAGCCGGAATTCCCGCGAACTGCTGCAAGTTCGTCGAGGCTCTGGCTGGATCATCTTGCTGGCAGCTTGCGAACGATGACGGGATTGACATGTCGGTGCTGTTTGCCTTGAACCCGGTACTCGGGTCTCAGGGGGAGAACTGCGGCACGCAAATATGGCCAAACTACTTTTATTGCATTGCGACGAATTGAGGGATCAGTGGCTGGGACTCTGAAGAAAATGTCTATAGGCGTACATTTGACTAAGATTCAAGATATCACTGGTGTCGGTGTTCACTAAATTCAATCTCCAATGCCTCCAACTCCTCTGGGTCCATCTCCGAGTCTGACCTGGGATACTGCTTGTATAAAGCAGCCAGACGAGCAGGGGCCGCAGCTTGACGGAATTCTTCCCTGCGAAAAGCTTCCGGCCACCCATACTCTCTGTACAAATTTCTCATAACCTGCAACATATTAGTAAATCAACGAGATTGCGCAATGGCTGGCGGCCGCTGTTAGTAGCTGCTGGAGCAACTGACCTGTGCGTCCTCGCCAAGATGGTTGGCAACTCCTACTGAGAAATTTCCAGCTGCTGGCAGAGGGACGAGTTTCAATGATGTCAAGTCGTCAGTGAGTTTGTTAAAGAACTCAGCGAATGTGACAGCTTTCGCATTAAGCCACCACTTCTCGTCTGCCTCGGGAGGCGCGTCCCCATAGAGCATGTAAGAACCTCCTTGTGGGTAGATGCATCCTGGATATGTGAGACAACACGTCAGTAAACAGGAGTTGAGCGACAGGATATCCATCTGACCTTGTTCTGTGTCGATGGCCCACCAGGTGCCTACTGTTGAGCCATCCTGGGTGAGACAAATAAAATTCGGCGGCGTAAACCCATCATAGGGAGCCAGTCCGAGCATGCATAGATCCTTCTGGTGCCAACCGGGCTTATCATGCTCCTCGGGTCGCCAATGCTCGCGTAAGTAGGATATAGCGGTCGCCCAGCTGTGAATCTCGGTTCCGGACTCGCGTGGGTACGGGATGTGTCGTAGCAAGTCAATGACTGTCTCGTTGCGACCCAGTAAGCGTAGTGAATCCACGTTGAGCTCAGAATCAGACCATCCTAACGGCTCAGGTGGCCAACGGATATGTTCTGTCTCGAAGTGCGCCATCTCCACGAGGAGCTCGTAGAATCTTTTAATGAGTGAGACGAGCTCATTTTGGTCGTAGGTGAATTCCTCGGGTGGAGTTCGGACAGTTCCATTGCAAGCTACCATTGCGGACGATTGTTGAGGCGAAGACGTGGAATTTGATGACGGCGAGTGGTTGCTTGGTTGGAATGAAGAAGAAAGAAAGCTCTCGAGGAAGAGGAGGGGTAATTCCAGTCATTTATAATAATCACATGGAACCTTGGCACTTCCAGTTGGTTGACTTTAAGCACGCTGTTCCACTTCAGTTCATGGGCCAGACCCTTATTGCTGCCTAGACAAACCAACCACGCGGGGGTCAGAAGATTCCGCCGGTTTGTCAAATGCATTATTCCCCGCCTGTACTCGTACGAAGATAATTATTTTTTTAAATACTATTTTTTAAATTTTTAAGCTCGATTAAGTACTTAAAGTTCGTAAGTATAACTTCACGCATTTATTAATGAAGTTTTATACTAACTTTTCTTACACCTTTGAGTTAGTTCTCATAAAGTTCTATAATTTTACCTAACCCAATCTGCCCAACCATCAACGCTAATATTCAACGTTGAAACTCAAATAGAGAAAGGAACAACACTACCAGAGATGGCCTCGTCGAGGACACAAATAGTGGTATTAGGTAAAATTTTGAGATCTAGTAGTCACCTTGATATGAAAAAGCTCTTCTGTATCGACAGCTTTCAGCTCAAACAGCACAGCAAGCTGGTAAGTGTAAAAATGCCATTGGCTATGTGTGTGTGAATGTTGTGGCGTGCTCGACTTTGAAAATCGCGTTTGGATTCTAACACTAATGGAATGAGCGAAAGGATCATTGCCTCGCACATAATTCGACAACGGCTGGTGAGCATACGGCGACATATGCCCATGTCCCCCCGACTTCCCCGCATCGGCTCTGCATGCTCACCGTCGATTAATCTCAGTCTCGACCTGGCAAGGTCCCCAGTTCGTGCAGCTGGTCTCAGCTGGTAACGTCTTTTTGGTGCAAGGCGAGTTTGCAAGCTTGGGTCAGATAGCCACTATCGCATGGCTTCAGATACCCGTTTGTTCGAGCCTTGGCGATAAATATAGTGAAAGATACCCAATGGCCCAGGTGTGGTGAAAATGACGGGGTAGGGCGGCCGGGCAACAAGATCATGGTGAACAATGACAGCCAGGCATTTGACCAATGAGACCTACCGTGGCCTCAGTGGCACATAGGACGTCATTCTGATAGAGACACAAGGATTCACTGGCTGACAGCAATTGCGAACAGACATCCATGGCCCCGTACCCCAACATCATGCGAGGTACCGTCGCTTGTTGGCGTAACACGAAGCAGGTGAGCGCCATTCCTTCAAGCTATCACGAATGATTCCCCAGCTGCACTAGCGTCAAAGAGCGAATAAAAATGTATTTCAGAGGCTTTGAATAAATGGTTTCTGTCTGCATGGTCAAGACCGCATGACTACTTAGAGAGAATAGAGTAGTTGTTATAGTCCAGCCACTATCTTTTGAGCATTGCGGCAAGTTAGGGATGAATTTTACACCAACAAAGTCAAGCAATATGATTTTATTTAAATACATGTATTTATCTGTTGTGCTTGATATCACGTTGAGATCATATACTCTATCCTGATAACCCATCCATGTAGCTTCTACTGCAAGTAAGGCTAGAGCAACGCCGTAGCATATAACAAACTTATCCGTCTGGACTATTCCCCAAGTAAGTTTGGGAATACATTCATCGCAATAATCCGATGTAGAACACGAAGACTCTAAGCAGGACATAGCCTCGATGCCTTCCATGGGGTGTCTGGAGTCTAAAGTCATCCTCGAAATCGTGACACAATGAACCTTAAACCTTACATCAGCTACTACTCAGTGTCTGTGGCCCCATCGTCGGACGATCGTCCAAGTCATCAGGTATCTGCGGCCTACTATATCATCAAGGAGGGCGTACCAGTAGCCGGCCTTGTGCTTATGAATGAAGCGCAGATACATGTCGTGAGCAAGGTATGTGCGACTCGACTCAAAAATCAACCATCTTCTACAGATCTCGATGAATGGACAGTATCGGCAGTGAAAGGAGATAACAGTAAGAGAATGAATGTCCAGACAACCTGGCGCGCCGGGGCGCGTCAAAAACAAAGAGGAGGCAGAAACTGTTGTGATCCACCAGGAAAGCGTCTCTCAACTCCCCAGGGCCTTCTTCCCATGCCAGAGGATTGAGAGTAAATGTGTAAGCGGCATTCTCGCCATAACCTCCCTCCCCTTTCATCCGTTCAAAATCTTCTCCACACGGGGACTTCCTAGTGCACAAGACACAGCCTTAATCATGTGGAAACGAAGAATGTCGTGTACATTTGTGGGGACACAAGAGGTCAGTCATGCTGACCGGGCACAACAAACAGGGAATACTGATGTTGCGGTGTCTCTAGCCGGCTCACCGAGATTATCGAAGCCTGCAAAGAAGGACTGGAGGTAGAAAAACTTGAAACCAATGCCTGCCTGTTGAATGTCACATTGGGGGAACAACAACTCTCACCGGAATATTATACTACGTGCAAGAAATCGGGACACCCACCGAGAGGCGCGCTAAAAGCCAAGCTTGTGGTGAGAATCCCTTATTAGTGTAGTAGTGTCGCGTGCCTTGGAGACGGACGGCACCTGTGCAGGGGAGCTCGGAGTTGGATTGGGACTGATAGGGGTGCCCTGCCGGCCAAAGTAGGAAATGATACGATTCCCATTGTGGTGTGTAGGACCCTGAAGGCGGGGGTTGCGGGGGTCAACCCGTCCCCGAAATTCCAACTTTCGGGCTGACCAGATTCCATGAAGAAACTTGTCAAGGGTAACCCAGATTTGGAAACCAAGGTCATCTTGCAAGTGGGCTTCCGAGTCGGCGCAAAAAAATCCAGTCTTCTTTGTCGACGATTCATGGCCAGGAAAACCAAGACTTGCCCAGATCGTGGAAGACAGCAAAAAAGTTCAGAACAATTAGGGTTTGCCGGGGGAAACGGGCAATGACGATAACCATGTTTTGCAATCCGGCACGACAGAGGTCTAAAAGGGTCTCACAGCGGCTCATGCTGCCAGACCTCGCACACAGCTTCACTCTCGTCTCAAGAAGTGTAGCAATAACACCAGGGCTCCTGAGTCAGGATAGCCGCCCGGTGGGTTTCATCCAACGTTTTTGTTTGCAGTGTGTGGTACCGCCGCCCTGGCGTAACGGGAACCAAAAGGGGCCACCATCCCGGCTAGACCAGGGTTCGAACGCCGTTTTTCTGCCCTGCTTTTTTTCCCCCTTCTTGCTTGTTCCGACCTCCGTTCCACCGTGTTCCTTGTTTGCATCTTACAAAGAACCCGGGTTTTGTTGAAAGCGACAATATTGCGATTTTCCAAGTTTCCCAGGGTCACACCCGCGTTGGAGCACCACCGTTTGTGAGAGGGGAGCTGGCTTTCTCCCATCCACTTCTCGTCCTAATCAATGTGTACCTGCGTTGACATTCAACGGGTTCATGCCTCCCTGGTCTATCGGGCAGCAAACGGCCATTGGGACTAACAGGTATAACGCATTGTTTAAGATACCAATCGTCCCAAAATTTTGCGCCGTCTCCCATCTTCGCCTAAAGTTAGAAAGAAAAAGAGGGTCCGATTCCCGAACAAGGACTAGTCATGTCATCCGGAGCATCAACGTTGTGATCTGTGGTCCCCTTTATGCCTCTGCCGAAAGGGACGACATCCCGGTCTGTTCGTGGTGTGCCTTATGTGTGTGTGATACTCTAGAATTCAGCGCGTCATCGACATGATAAACGGACCGCGGTCCGCCGCCCTCTTCCTCACGAGTCTGTCGTGAGCAGAATATTTGGACGAAAACCTCAGATGATACAGCCACTCAGGATGTGTTCAACAGCTCCCGCAAACAGCCTCTTTGGGGGCGCCTCCTTCTCCTTGCCTTACCATACCCTCGACAGAGCCGTCATCGCAAGCAAGATGGCGTCTTCTACCATGGTGGTCACGGAGTCGGTGACAGAGGTGACAGAAACAACAGAGGAACTGGCGCAGCTAATATCGCCGCCGACCATTTACCTCGATGATAACGGCGACCTGAAGCTCTGCGTCGGCGGCGACGTCGAGGACCACCCACAAGATTTTGTCGTCTGCTCGCGAGCCCTCGGTCGAAGTTCCCCGGTCCTGAAAGCAATGCTGTTTGGTCGCTTCCTCGAGTCTCGTCCGGTAGAGGGTACCGGGGAATGGTCTGTCGACTTGCCCGAAGACTCGGCAGAGGCAATGGAGATTGTGCTCAATATCGTCCACGGCCACTTTAACCTCATCCCAGAAAGCCTTCCATTGATGCGGCTCTACAACGTCCTCACCATCACGGAGAAGTACGACATGACTGTCGTCGTTCGCCCGTGGGCCCGCTCGTGGATGCAGGGCGTCAAGCACGAGACCGACAATGCGCACCTCCTCTGCGTCGCTTGGGAGCTGGGAGACGTCGAGGTCTTTGATACGATGTACAAAAAGATCACCTACGAGTCGATGATTGACCTACAAGGAAGGATCGTATTTGGACACTTGGCGCGCATTTGGAAGCCTGGGTCAGAGGGATACAACTTTCCTCTCGAAAGGATTGTCTACCTACGGCCCCCGGAGGTCTTTGGTAGGCTCGCGTGGCTGGACAGTTGAGCTGTATTGTCCAAGTGCTAACGTCAGAATCAACAGAAACCATCGCCAGGCACCGCCAGGCCCTCGTCTCGGCCAACTTGGATCACTTTGTCCTCCTTTACCGATGTCTCAAAGACGGATGCAGATATATGAAAGGATATTACCACAGCTCGCCAGACGCCGAGGAGTGCAACAGCATGCTCCTCGGGTCACTGGTGAGGTGTCTCGCCAAGGGAAAAGTCGACGTCACCCTGCCAAGCCCTTGTGAATCATACAGAGGGAATGTGGAATCGTTGGAGAAGGCAATCAGTGCCGTCAAGCTCTTGACAGTGCACAAGCCATCTGCCGCAAATCAATGTTTGAAGAGGATAGAAGAGGAGCTGGCCAAGGGAACACTTGCTGCTGGCGTAACAAAAACGGAGTTGGTCGTCGTTCAACCGGAGCATCGGGGATACCTGGAAAAGCAAGCCAGCAAGACTGGATTTGTCATGACTGGATAGAAGGTCGACATCATTCAAGTGGCAATTTGGGATAGGGAATCTTATTTTGAGGTGCTTTGGGGTGCATGGTTCGGCAATGGTTACATCTGGAGTTTTGGGCAGAGTTACGGGAGGTTGTATAAAATCGCCCCAGGAGATTAGATTTTTACCCCGTTTTTAAAGCCTAATTAGAATTTTCAACCAAGTCGAACCAGGCAGTTCGCGTGGCAATAGCACATGTACGGGGTATTCGGCTGACTCTGGTTTCGTCTGTGCATTGGGACATCGGGGGCGGGGTGGAACTGTGTGCTCCCGGACGTCATACTGTAACAAACGGCTTCAACATGGATTAAACACTTGAATCAATACCTGGGCTTTTTGTTTTGTGCCAAAATTCCAACCTGACTAGTAGAAGAAAAGAAAAACGCCCAGCCCCAACCCAATATTTGCCCGCCATCAGAAGACACATCAAATTGTATGACTTTCAATTGAAGCCGAGGTTACCAATAGTGACAGACTTGATGTTCTGGTACTCTGCCAGCCCATATTTACTGCCCTCCCGACCAAGCCCACTCTCCTTCACACCGCCGAACGGTGCCTCCGCCGCGCTGATGAGACCGGTATTGACGCCTAGCATGCCGCACTCCAACCGTCTCGCTACACGCATAACTCGGGAAATGTCCTTGCTGAAGAAGTACCCAGCGAGGCCGTACTCTGTAGCATTCGCCAGCTCGACGGCCTCCGCTTCCGTCTTGAAGGAGAAGATGGCCGCCAGCGGGCCAAACGTCTCGTCGTGAGCCACCTCCATGTCGGTCGTGACTCCACTGATGACCGTGGGCTCGTAAAAGTAACCCTGGAGGCCCTCGGGAGCCTTGCCGCCGGTGTGGAGGACGGCACCTTTCTTCAGTGCGTCTTGTACGTGGGCGTCGACCTTTTCGACGGCTGCGGCGTTGACGAGGGGGCCCTGTGTGATGCCCTCGTCGATTCCGCGGCCTAGTTTGTACTGCTTCACGCGGGCGACGAGTTTCTCGATGAAATTGTTCTTGACCTCCTCGTGGATTAGCAGTCTGTTTGCGCACTGCGCATGGCTGTTAGCTGGGCAACTAGGGCCTTGCTACGTACGGGAGGACTCACCACGCATGTCTGACCAGAACATCTAAATTTGCAGATTAGGGCACCCTCGACCGCCTGGTCAATATCGGCATCATCAAATACGATAAAGGGAGCATTGCCGCCGAGTTCCATGCTCACGCGCTTCATCATCCCCGCCGCAGCCTTGGTGAGCATCTTGCCGACCCCCGTTGACCCAGTGAAACTGAGTTTCTTCACAATGGGGTTATTCGCCAGCTCCATCGACGCCTCTCTATTCTTGGTCGGTACCACATGAATGATATCCGACGGGATCCCAGCAGCGAGGGCTAACTTGGCCAGAGCCAGAGCGCTGAAAGGGGTTTCGCTTGGCGGCTTGATAATGACTGAGCACCCTGCTGCAAAGGCCGGTGCGATCTTGCGGGTGATCATGGCTGCTGGAAAATTCCAAGGGGTGATGATGCCGCAGACGCCCACGGGTTCCTTGAACGTCAAAACGGTGGTGTTGGCGTAGGATGACGGGATGGTGTCGCCGTATGACCGTGTCGCTTCCTCGGCGAACCAAGAGATGAAAGAAGCGGCGTAAATAACCTCGCCTCTGGCCTCGGCAAAGGTCTTGCCGTTCTCCAAGGACAAGATCAAGGCCACTGTGAGGGTGTCAGTACACACCGCTCCTCCCGAACTGATGCATACCGCAATGCCACTTACAGTCGTCAGCGTTGGCAGTGACCAAGTCGTACCATTTCCGGAGCAAGGCGCCTCGCTCCTTCGCGGTTGTTGATTCATGAAACTTGGCTGACCCCTTTTTGGCGCTCTCAATAGCGTCAACAAAGTCTTGTCGGCTCAAGTTGGCGCACTCCTGGAGTACTGTCGCGCTAGACGGCTCATATACAGGAAAGGTCTTTCCATCTTGCCCGTTCTTCCACTCGCCAGCAACGAGGCCGGAGGAGACCAGCAGGCTCTTGTCCTGGAGCTTGGCAAACACGTCTGCCATTGTGTAGTTTCGCTGAGGTATCCTTTCTGGCCACTTGTAAGCAATTGAAAAAGAAAGGTGGATCAGGGCCTCTGAAACTCTTTATCAGAATAGCTTGTTCTTATATAGTCCGTCTTCACAGTAAGTAGTGATTTTGCCATTAAGATATTACCCGACAACCACTACTTTTTCCCAATCACCCCATTCCTGCAGCGGCCTCAGCTGAGCTTCGGGGCATTGCGGGGATGCAAATTGACGGCAAGCCGGGTGCCGGTCGTGCATCAAACCCACCGAGGCTCATGCAGGAGATGTTGGCGCTAGTGAAAGCCTCGGAAGTTGGAACAACGATTTCAGATAGAACCCCGCAGACGAGACAGTCCCCCCTCGGCTGGCACTGTATGAGTACAGAGCAGATCGTTGAATCGAAACTGATCCTCGGCTCCATTGTGTTAGTCATGGTTACGACATGTATTCTATGGATTGCTTCTTTATTGGGTAGTGTGTGCGGGTAAGTGCGGGGGCTACCAGTCTGCCCGCCCGGCCCGGCCCCATCTGATGTGGGTCAACCGGCCCGGCGGCTCCGACCACAGAATTCTACCGGCCCGGCCCCGATGGCATGACAAGAGTGGCCCCGAATGGGTCCATCCAGGTGGATGTGTTTCATCAGTCAGTGATCTAGGTTTTGCATCTTCCAACGCCGGGCATCGGCTACCGATTTCGTTCATCCGCAGCCTGGCAGTTTGTTCAGCAACTTTCACCCGTCCGTTGAAACCAGCGGAGCGGACTTGGGTACGATTGAAACGAAACACGTTGAGTTCCATCAATTTAAGACTTGTTGATCCTCTGTGTATGTGTCACTGTGTATGTGTCAAGACCAAAGTATCACGAAAACGGTTTTTCAACCTGGGCGGTCAAATTGCAAGCTTTTGTGAAATAAGGTACTTAGTTGAGCTTGAACGATCTCCGAGCCAGGCCTTGGGAGGTTAAAATGCCCCTAATCTCAATTTCTTTCTGAATCCTCTCGGAGACTTTTATTGTTCTCCTCGCCACATCCTATGAACGAGTCTTGGTTGTAGTTTGCGTAGTTTATGTACACCTACGTTTGCAGCAAGGCCAGCGACTGGGCTTCTGCCTTGGATCGGTTAACCCATCGGTCGGTATAGGCGTACATGCCCGTGTCGTCGCATCATTGGACCAACTGAGAGTGAAAGTGCAACTGTTGCATAGCAAGAAAACTCAACGGTCACTTTTCCTTTGCGCAAATACCAATCGCGGAGTAGGATGGCGGGAAGCGTACTTAATAGTGGTTCATTGAAAGCAGCGCCAAGAGCGTTCCTTCACATCACTTCCATGGCATCTATGGGAGTTTTTGGAAAGGCCTGGGCCAGAAGTGAAGACACAAGACGTAGCGGTTTTAATACCTTTGCCTTCTTTAGGGTAGATGTTGACCATTTGTTTGTGCGAAATGCCAGAGGGGCGCAACGTGACAGAAGCATAAATACGAATATGTGACCAGCCAAGCCATGTCTCTACAGAGTGAAAAAAGCGCCCGGGGATAAGGGGGTGGCTTAACGTAATCCATGTGGAGAGATGCTACCCGCGCAGACCATGCTTGCCCATCCAGTCAATGCGAAGATTGCTTGATTCTTAGGGATTCTTGTTCAGCTCGGTGGATACGGGTGGTTTAATTACAGGTGCGTGGTATGCTTGTGAACGACTCATGTTGAGTAGATTGCTGGCACCGTTGTACGAGTTACCGCTACTAAAGACATGTATAGCCAAGGTGGTCGCGAGTTGATAAGACTGATGAACGAGCTAATTGGTGAGACTGACGTGATAATTCTTGAACCAAACCACGTTTGGCCTCGTGGTACGAGGCGCAGGCAAAAGCAGGTGGTGATGACAAAGTTGTTACCGCCTCAACGCAAAGCAAAGTACAGACTAGGATGAGCAGCTTCTGAGACGTTGAAAATGGTGGCGTTAGGCAGCACGAGTTATCAGAGAGTAAGTGAGCTCCCGATGATCCAATCTAAAAATTAACAAAGGCTCCAGGAAGTGGAGTGTACCTACTTGGTAATCCCAGACATTATCCACAGCCAACCCGTAAGGCGGTCCATACATGTGGTTAGGCGCCGGCAGCCTCCTACGGGATCACAGCTGAGGTCGAAGTTTCTGTATTCAAATCGCCTCGTTTTATAAATTATTTGGCTGACTGTGAGCATCATAGGCCGATCACACATACATAGTTGGCTCCACTCGCAATCGGTCTTTCCTTGAGATACCCAATCTCAATCCATTGAACTAGACAGAAGAGAAAGGAAAGTTTCGGCCTGTTGTTGTTCATATCGATAATGTTGGTGAAGTTGTCACTACTGTTTGGGATGAGTAGGTCCTTCAATGATAACAACAGGTACTTCCTGAATCCGCTTTCAAGTCTTGTGTGTTCTAGATAAGCACGATTCCGACGACCGAGGAAGTTTCGGATATCTCGGACCAGTCTCAACACATGGGTAAGCTTTTCGTCACTCAGCGCTTTACTCCATATCAGAGATCCAGGATTCTGATTCGAGCCGTGTATTTCTGTTCTACGCAGGTGGGTAAAAGTAAGCAGTTGAATTAATTAGAACTACTCGGGGCTAAAATGATACGAAGCCCCTCTATATTGCCAGCTGCAGAGATATACCTTATTTTTGCACCGAAGTAATACATCAAATGCAATCATACGTGGCCAGATGTTATGAGCACCTTGTGTGGTTCGTACATACAAAAGACCACCTCTCTGTTGGTTCTGTTCGTCGTGTTGGATGCGTGTTGTTTGCTGGGGTCCATAATTCTCCAATAATAATTGGCTGCTTTTACCTGTAGCTGCATATTGTGTACTGCGTACACCAAAAGGTCCCCTGCTGTTTTTTGAGTTGTTATTCGTCATTTGGAAAGGAGAAAATTCCTCATGCAGAAATTACGCCCGCTCATGACGGCGCGGTGGTAAGGTAGGGGTAAGGCGGCCCACAGCGTTGGTAACGAACGATACTCACGTGCACTTTGAGAATCAATCGCCTCTGATTCTCCAACTAAGTCCAATCCTCTCTCAAAGTCATCAAGATCCATCACTTCTTCACCCGCAAGAAAGGCCCTTGTCTTTCGGAGTTTACTACAACATGTGCTCTCGCCCAGCTTCTTGTCGCACAGTGGGTGTCGACTCTGCGATCGATGTTGACGCAGCACTTCAACCCACACCGCCTAATGATGTGCCCGACCGTGAGGTCATCGTTGAGGCCGATGACCAAGTATGAATACCAACGTGATGTGCGCTGGATAACAGAAGACGCTAACGACATAGAATAATGAGGAAGAAGCAGATGAATCGGTAAGATCTTGAAGTTCTTTTCAGGGCTGGGACTCGCCCATCCTTAGAGAGCTCGATGCTCACGTCCAGGTAGGGGAGCATAGCATCGTCAAGCATGAGCCCAACCAGCTCAATCTTTGGATATCGAATAGAGAACGGAAGAACCTATCATAAATACAAGGATGGCAGTAAGTGTTGGATACTCATTCGATTCATCGATTACTCTCCACTACTAGATCTCAGAAGTAACTGACGTTCCAGAATATACTTTGCCCAACGATGAGAGAGAGACCGAAAGACTGGGTTGGTATATACCCAGAATTTATATTGCATGTTCTAATGAAAAGGATTTAGATTTGCAGCACAGTTTGTTCTTACTTACATTTGACGATAGACTTGGTACTGCTCCACCGAACGAACCAGGCGGCAAGGCTGGCAGAGTTCTCGATGTGGGTACAGGTAGTGGGATTTGGGCTATTGAATTTGGTGATGAGCACCCGGACTCTGAGGTTGGTTACTCTAGGAAGTAAATTGGAACAGTGATTAATGCGTCCTAGGTTCGGGGTATCGATCTCTCTGCTGCACAACCAACATTGTAAGTCCTCTTACTGAGAGCAATCTTGACAAGTAAAACGACATAATCTCATTGTCTAGTACGCCCCGAAACGTAAAATTTTTAGTTGACGACCTCGAGGAGCCTTGGACATACTCGCGACCTTTTGACTACATACATAGCCGAATGATGAACTCTTCCATCAGAGACTGGCGAGAGTACATACAAAATTGTTACGAGTGAGTTGCTCAAGATGGCTGCTTTTCAAGATCTACAGTTCGCCCGTTAATTCCAATGAGGACGCAGTAACCTTAACCCGGACGGTTACCTGGAACTGAATGAGATTGATCTTATGCCACTCTCTGATGATGGTACCTTGAAACCGGAGCACTCCATCTTAAGAACGGTCAGAATGCTCCAAGAAGCCTCGGAGCACTTGGGGCGCCCATATCAAGACATCAAGGCTTTAAAGGCGATCTTAATGGAGACGGGATTTACTGGCGTGACGATGCAACACTTCAAATGGCCAACCAACCCTTGGCCAAAGGAAGCACGGCATAAAGAGCTTGGAGTTTGGCATAACGAGAATCTCGCACAAGGATGGGAGGCGATATGTATGGCGCCACTGACGAGGGCCCTGCAGTGGACCAAGAACGAGGTTTTGGTGTTGATGGCCGAAAACCGCAAGGAGTTCTGTGACCGGAGTATCCATGCATACTTCTCTATGTGAGTTATCCGTGTCTCTATGCTGCATGTGACTGAATCATACAAATTATCGAATTTTCAGCTGACAGTCGTGTTTCAGATGGTCGATACATGGACGGAAGCCAATGAATCCGGATGTTGCTCGTACAGACAGCAATACATGAAAGCAAGGCACGGTATGCTCGATGTTCAATACGAAAGCAGATGTTGAAACAGATTTTGGACATCTTCCTGTTAGAATTAAAAGCACACATTTTGACAAAATTATCACAAACCAAACCCCTGGATATTAGACTAGTCAACCGCTTCGAGATCCTTCTGTGAAGAGAGGGCCATGGTCGCTTTTCTTCAGCGGCTGACGGTACCAAACCAAATAGTTTGGTCGAGTGGGAGAATCACTCGAGAAGAAACCTGGCAGCCTACGGCTCACAAGTTATTGACCTCCTAGACATTTCCTCCCATAACCCAGAGTTTCAGCTCCGTCCCATACCGGCTAGTGATCCTGTCCTCTCCGGTACCCATTGGAAGATGTGGCACAAGGAGGTTGGCGGCTCTCTATTCCGTACCCCCGAAGACTTTTGGGACACTGTGCTCAAAGAAAAGCATGCCGACATGCTCCATCTTCTCCAGTTTCCCTAAAAGAGCGAACCTCCCAGGCGGCTCATAGCTGACAAGAAGGTCATCAACGCCTGCGGTGGACTGATCAAGGAGGTCAAGCATCCTGGATTCTATGGTGTGGACACCCACTTTAAGGATGACGAGACCATGAACTACCTCGTTAGAGTTCCCACGTCCAAGGTGAAGGCAAATGGGGTTATGCTGGCCTGGAAGATTAACGGCGAAGTCCCTCCCTTATCCACAGAAGTATACTTTGCATTGCTGTCTTTGGTCACATCGGAGCTCGAAGGGATGGGCTGACTCAGGTGGTGGTCGCTGGCCGGAGTGGGTTGAGCTCTCGGCCGACGGTGGGTTCAATTGGTAAACCGTGCCAGCCGAGAATCTCTCAAAGAAGCGTAAGTGAACCTGGCGAGCGTGGGAGATGGATCTTTCTTGCGATGTAGAGGGCTGGATCGAGATTACCCGTCGTTTCTGGGACAATTCTCCCAGTACTCAGTCGCCTGGTGTACGCACCACATGGAATTGGGTTTTCTCGTCACAGAATCTCGATTTACAGTGTGATCAACAACCGACCGAGCACCATGGCCCGCCTTCAAGAATTTGCAGCCAAGGGCATTCAGTTCGCTCCAATCACTGTGCCCCTGGCCCTCCCGTCTCAGCCTGGGATGACTACAAGGAGTACTTCGAGCGGCACGATCCACGGGACGCTGAGGATTAGTCGGCTGGCTTTCGGTTTCCCTTCTAATCTTGATATTGCAGCCTGGCCTCACTGCATACGCGGAACCTCCCTAAATATTTCAAAGTGTGCATATGTGACCTATGGTGGAATCTGAGCAAATATAGGAAATAGAAAAAAAGGGACTGAACCTCTCGGGTACTCATCGCCCCACGCTAACTGCACCAGACTGGAGCTTGCCTGCGTTCATAGGAGGACCCACCGCAGCCATTCTGCAGTCCATCTGATGATTTTGGGAATTGGCCACTGCTTAGGTAGAGATGGAGACAACAACCGAAAGATGGGCTATTGCAGGGCTTTTTGGTGCGTGGGCCACATGCCAGCTGCCACTTCTGGAAACTGTTCCCCGAGTACCAGGGTTCCGACGCAGATACCAAGCTGGTTGAATCCAAGCGTGACAAACCAACATGCATATCTGTGCAGGGCAGTCGTCTCCAGCCGAGAAGAGGGGTAACTCGACGTGGGTCAGACTCCCCCCAACTGTATCCCACCGGCCTCGTGGTTTTATGTCTCCAATATTTCCTCTGCTCTCAATCGCGCAGACATAGATCGTAGAAAGCGAGGCCGGTGCTGAACAAAACGTTGCATTCACTTTACCCGCGGCTCTTCAATTCGGGATGGGACGGCCCCCAAAAAGGTAATCGCGGGCGAAAGATAAAGTAGGATAAAATGTGCAACGACAGTAACCCCACTCCCCCACCCGCCGCCATTGCGGCTGAAGAGGTGAGATGGCATCGAGTTTGATCAGTCCTGGCATTAACTCATTGCTCAATCTACGCATTGTTAGATCCAGGACGACAATGCTTCATTCAGTGGTGTGAGTACCTCAGAAGTTACGCCACGAAACATCGGCAGAAGAAAACTGACCCGGTGGCTTCAGGGAAGTATCGCGTCATCTACCTCGACTGTCGCGGCCTCGATTCTCGAGTCCAGGTTAGAGAATGGGAGAACGTATCACAAGTACAAGGAAGGGAGTGCGAGTAATCCAAATCAGTCAAGTCTGAACAATGGCTAACCAAAGCAGAGTATTGGGTACCCAACGACGAGAGAGAGAAGGACAGACTCGGTATGTTGACATTCTCCTAGACTGGCGGCCGTGTATCTTTGACTGACTGGCGGGTCTAGACATTGTGCATAACCTCTACCTTTTGACTTTCGACTACTACCTTGGAAACGCGCCGCCCGCCAGAGAGGACTCAAAAGTCGGTCGCGTGCTTGACGTCGGCACGGGCACCGGCCTGTGGGCAATTGAATTCGGAGAGGATCACCCCGAGGCCGAGGTCCGCAAAGCTCACCACAATCTGTAACCCGGTCATACCAAGTGCTGATACTTTTCATAGGTTGTCGGCATCGACCTGTCGGCTTCCCAGCCAAACTTGTGAGAGTCGAGGTTGCAGAATTCCCATCTGAGCGGGTTCGCTGACGAGACTACTAGCGTCCCTCCTAATGTTCGGTTCGAGATTGATGATATCGAGGAACCGTGGACTTTCAGCAATCTCTTTGACTACATCCATAGCCGGATGATGAAAGGCAGCATTCGCGACTGGAAAAAGTTCCTCCAGAGATGTTTCGAGTTGGTTGCCTCTGGTGTATCCGTGCCGTGTGCGTCTTGTCGCTAATCGCTCGACCCACGCTCAGGAATCTCAGCCCCGGGGGTTATCTCGAGCTAAACGATGTGGACTTCTTCCCCTTGTCAGACGATGACACCATCCCCAAGGAGAGCAAACTTATTAGGGCCTTCCAGCTCTGCTTCGACGCACTCGAAAAGCTCGGGTCCCCGTTTGAGGAGTTTAGTCTCTTCGAGGGCCTGCTCTCAGAGGTCGGGTTTCAAGACATCCAAGTGCAGCGGTTCAAATGGCCCACGAACACGTGGCCTAAAGACAAGAAGCACAAGGATCTTGGCGAGTGGAACCACGAGAACCTGTCGCCCAACCTGGACGGGCTTCTAATGGCGCCGTTAACGCGGGCTTTGGATATGACCCAGGCCGAAGTCTACATTACGGCAATGGAGGCTCGCAAGGAGCTCGCGGATAGAAACATTCACGCCTATTTCAATGTGTAGGACGCTACCTTCCATTCTGTCCTGAGATTCATCTCCTAACCCTTTCTTTCCAGGTGGTCGATTCACGGCCGGAAGCCATTGTAGAACTCGGATTACCAGGTGCTTGATGGAACAGTGTTGAGATGCTTATTGAATTGTTCTACTGCGAGATTGGATAAATCATATTGAAGCATTCGGAAGAAAGCCTCTTTTGTGGCTAGCCGGAGGTATATTTGGCTGAGAAAAGCAGGCAAACGTGAATGAGCTCCTATTCGAGTTCAGGCCATTTTTTTTTTTGAAAAAAATCAGTTCAGCTTTCATAAGAGTTTCATAGCTCAGAAAAATTTGTGTCGCCTGTTTTGCGGAATTCTAGCTTCTGCTCCTGCCATCCCTATTGAGGGTATTCACATACTTGGGCTCAGTATTTCTGAGTGGTTCTGTGATACTTTGGCATTTTTCAATAATTCTCGACCGTTGGGCAAGCTCAAGTATAGCAAGCGGAGCAGGGCGATTGAGGCTGGGGCGAACGCGAGCTCATCTCGTATTCAATGAGGCTAATCCACCAAGAACAAAAGCACTATTCTTAGAACTTACAAAGCATCTTGGCTCACACTGGCCACTGAATGATGGATGTCGATCAAAAAGAATAAAAGTAGCAAGTACCCATCTTCTAACATGGGATCCGTAGCCTCGCTCTGTTCAGACTGACCTAATGTCCTCCGCATTTTGACGATCCGCAAACTCACCCAACGGAAGCCTACAATAACATTTTGTTGCAGTAAAGCAACGCTGCTCACATCACATTTTAACGCATCGTGAATCGAAGAGCTAATAGCTCAGCCTGCAAATTGCCAGCAATCAAGGCCGTCTTCTTAAGCTCCGGCTTCGATCATGAACATAATTGCCGGGCACTCTTAATGCGATCCTCATCTTCGTTAACTTCTCGGCGACCCGGCCCAGACTACCTCAGAAGCTTCGCCGCAAGAACTATACAACTTCTTACTACCCGAAGGTCAGCAATCTTTCAATATGTCTTTGTATGGTCAGCTGTCGCTCAACATCACTGCATACACAAGCCGGTTCTATGGGATGCCCAAAACCGTGGCCGGTTACGACTTCATCAGACCATTGCCGCAGCAAGCTCGCAGCAAGCTCACTACGCCTACGTCCAAGATACGGTGGAACAGTGGCTTACAGTCACCCACACGCCGGTCCCCAAGGTCAACAGCACCGAGGGCCCTGTGACTGATGTCTTTTACATAATCCCGACCTGGATTGCCACCCTCTATTGAGTTAACCGCGGCGCTAAGCTCTGACGCGTACACCAAGAAAGTCAACTGCACTGCAAAAAAGGGCTTGACTATGGGTATCGATACGTTTGATATGTGGGATCATAAGGCTGTGGAATTTCAAGGTTGACCATACCTTTTACCTGCCGGGCTTATATCCTATACCGACGGGCTACACGGGTCTCACGCCGGCAACTGGGACATGGTGGCCAATGTCGGTATATGGAGCCTCGACTACAATACGCGGGACAAGTGGAGGCCAGGCTGGCTCTCCGATGACCACGGCGAGTGCGTCGTTCCATCTGCCGTAGCCTTCAACAGCAGCAACATCACCTCGTCGGCGATGCTTAAACTCACACCACTCGAGAGTTTCGGCAGCATGAAGGCCTTGGTGCTGAAGTGGAATGAAACGACACTAGTGGCCGAGATGCGGTCGAAGGAGGGCATCAATGTCAACTCTTGCACGACTGTCATGTTTTACTACACTTTGACGATGGATCTCGGGGCGAGTGAGGGTCCGATCCGAGTCCTATATGATACCTCCGGGTGGAGAACAGCCATTTTCATCAATGATAACTTTTGTTAGTGCGCCGTTGAGCTTGAACGGTGGGGGTGCGAGCTCGGCGGGGGTGCGAGCCCCTCGATGGATTTGGGTTGTGGCGGTGACTGTCGTGAAGCAGGATGGTGACGATTACACAATCCGCATTGTTATACCGTGATTCAAAGTGATTACCAAGTCAACCGGATGCGTAGGACGCATGGGAACCTTTAGACTGGGATTGCTGAAGAGTTGCTTGATAACGGATGCCTACTGCCACGCGCTCTCGAGCGCCAGAGGTCCAATCAATGACGGCCATGTAAAGGTTGGAAAACAGCCACCAGACGTGGCAAATCGTCATTGGGGACTGATTTGTCGACTCAGTACACGTCATGGAGGCATGAACGGCAGTCCATCATGCGATTGTCAAAAGGCAGCGTTTCGTATTCTGCGACACTCCAAACTCGAGATGCGCAGGATGGGATGAAGGTGCTCGCTCTGTCAGAGGAAAGGAAGATGGGGTTTCCATGGAAAAGCTGCCCGTGTGAAGTTCGGCTGGTAAGTTCAGACCGAAACTGTTGACAGAAGCATGGCGCCACCTGCAGAGTTCATGATAATCGATCGTGGCTATTGTTTGATCGTCGACACTCCCAGAGAGGTTGTGAACGTGACATGAAGAGTCATTAACTTCCTCCAAATTTCATCTTGATAACAGAAGGGAATTGCGGATGACAACTTTTGAAAATAAGCGGCAATCGGAATCGACTTACACGTGGTTTCGGTGCCATGGACCTATCCCTAGATCGTAGGCTTTAAAGACGGTCAGACTCGATTGCTTACAGGTACTTGGATCATACCCTGCGACACCTCAATGTACATCGGCAGACTTCAAAGAGACTAGACCTTTGCTATGCCATGGTAAAGAAAATGATAAGATCTTGATCGGGTACAATGATAGACACGGGTTGCCGTTGAGTGCAATGCTCGCCATCAAATGAGCCTCAGTTCAGGCGCTTGAATCATCCGATCGTCAGGCCGTCTGATCGCTGTGAAACTGTGTGGCATTTGTCCTCACGGGATGAGAGTCGAGTCATATTGCCTCAAAGACGGTTGAGAAACTCAAAGTGCTGTAGGCCGGACTCCGAAGAGCGAGGGAGATCAGACTACATGTGAGGGGACGGCAGGAGTGATTGCTTGTCAATACGTGAATCATTCCCGATCCGATGGACGTTGTATGAGATGATTTCCTGCCAGTCAAACATGACGGGCATGGGTGGCTAAGGTCGCATGGTGACAATGTCTAGGACCCCCCCACCTGGCACTGATGCGTCTGAAGTCTCTGATCGCGTGAAACAGTAGATCTCAAGGCAGGCAACCAGTCGAAGGCTCTGCTTTGGGTGCCGTAGACACGTTGACAGAAGTCGTTCCCACGACAAGTTGGACAGAGTTTTGGCCAGATTGTGAGCTGGAGTCATCTTCACATTCTCGCCGTAAAGGAACCAATTGGCGTGCTAATATTTTGTGTGGTTCACGGCATTTGCGAGGTTGTTAAGACTCCAGTGCAGTCATTTGAGTTCCAGACTTGGGATTTGCTGCAGGCACGGAGGAGGCATGCCCGCCTGTCTACCACAATAAGCTTACCAACGACTAGCGGCAGTCACACCCACTTTGAGAGATTGCAGAGACACACGGCCATATCGTGTGGATTCTGTTCTTGATTGATCAGGAGTTGCGGCCATAGTATTCGCTGATTGAGATCGGTTGAGCCCCAGCCGTTGCTCGGGGCGACATGCCGAATAGGGGGACCTTGTCCCCGGTTGGTGCATCTTCAGGGAGAGCAGGCACATTTTGGAGCGTACATCGCCTGCAGAAATGCGTAGTAATCAAGCGTTCAAGACATCAGCAGCGCGGGTATGTCTTGCGCTAAGCCCTAAGAGAATGCGAAGTTGACCCCTTACCGACCAGTCACCCGCCCGGCGACCTCGCGATCCGGAGCCCAGCGAGAGTTTCCATTGGCTTTCAAAGCAGTTAAGCATTCGGCAGTGGGGGCTCGGCTTTGAGAAGCGGTCGTTGTCTCTTGAGACGCACGGGGAAGACCCTCCCCCTTCCCCTCATCCCACCCATGCCGCCATCTCAAAACGCTTCCACCCTTACCCAGGCGAAACTCGCTCTATAACAACCTGCGGCTGGATCTGTCTGATCTTCCGCCTCATGATTCCGTCCGCACCGTCGTCGAGGCGTCTGAAGCCTACGGCGCTTTACCGAATGCGCCCACCACGCGTCGCAACAGCCAAAAACTCTGCTGATATCGCGACCCATGTCGCAATAACAAACGCAAATCCAGCCACAGCACCATCGCTTGCGAGCTGATGTCGCGCCCAGTTGACGCCATGACGACCTCACATCCCCGCCCGATTTGCCTAATGAGTGGCTGACTTGGCGATGACATGGTTAACCGTTGTCGTTCGTCGCACCCCTGGCACATGCCATACCATGATTTCGGGTTCGACCGATTCCTATACCTGGCAATCTTTTTTGTCGCCGTCTTAACCGATCCGGCTCGTCTCATGTTGTCTCGTCCCCCCTCGGCCTCCATACCCCGGGGAAGGGTCGTCTGTCTGGAGTTTTGGAGTCTCACCGCAACGGCGTGCGAGCCAAATGCTGGCCGAGCATGAGGCTCTTGCTCTGGACCGTCTGAATTTCACTGACGCACAAGGATCTGCTCTGATCTTGTTTTCCGTCCAATCTCTTCTTTATAAACCTGGGTGATCTCCCCCTCGGCACCAGAATTCTTCTTCTTGGCTATAGCTTCTCATATCTTCGTAGGACATTCTCTTTGCACCGTTTCGTTTCATTCCTTTCAACCGCGAGTTCTGAGAACTCTTCCATTCTTTGCACTGCCTGCAGACTTGACCCCGTTTTACTATACTATCTTACAAACCACTCTTCGCTTCATACCACGTCAGTCGACAGCACGCAGAAGGCCGGTCTTTTCTGTCTTAATCACTCTCGACCGTCGATAATCTTTATCTCGATCAAGATGAAGTATCAGACCATCACTTTCGCCACCTCGACCCTCCTCGGTCTCGTGGCGGCCAGTCCTTATCACCGCCACCACAATGTGCGACGCGTCACCAAGCGTGAGGTTCCCCAGGAGCACTCCCACGAAATCTTTCTCAACATCACCCGCGAATTCCTGAACAAGGAGAACCCCAAAGGCATCTCCGACCCCGTCTTCGGTCTCCTCGGAGACAAAGCGGCCCAGGCCGGTGCCGGGAAAGTCACCAACCTGGCTTGCCTGCAGCAGGAGACTGCTGACCAGGCCTTCACCAACGCCAAAGCCGCCAAGGACATCCGCGGCATGTCAGCCGCTCTCGTCTACCAGACCCTCGAGCGCAACACCGCGGGCGTCGGCGTGAACAGCGCCGCTTGCACCGACAAGCCCGTCAACGCCGAGATCGCCGCCCTGCCAAAGAAGCATCAAGACCCTGCTGCTGCTGGCGCCGCGGCCAACAACAAGGAGGTTGCTCTGGCGCTGGCCAAGCAGTTGGCCGCCGTCGGCGGTGATCCCATGCTGGCACTCGAGAGCGGCACGTTTGCTCCCGGATCCAAGACCGACAACACCGGCAAGGGTCTGAGCTGTGACACTGATCCGGACCCCACCGGCTGCATCTTCACCCTCAAGAAGCTTGTTCTTGACGCCACCCCCGAAGAAATCACCGCCGCTGCGCAAGGTGTCACTCAGACCGTCACCGGCGGCACCGGTGAGCTCAAGGCAACTCACATCGACATCAAGGGCCTCCCCGTCGCTGGCCAGTCTGGAGGTGCCACCGGAGGACAGGCTTCCAACACTTCTTCCAATGCAGGAAACAATGCCCAGCCAGCCAGCAGCAATACCAACACCAGCACCAACACCAACGACGCTTCTTGTGATGCAGCCAGCTCCAACAACGGTGCGGCCCAAAGCAATGCAAGCAGCGAAGCCGCCAGTGGAGACAACGGGAACAACTCCAACAGCAACGCCGACGCCAATGCCAGCACCGGAAGCGGTAACAACGTCCAAACCTTCACCGGCTCCCTCGGCGGCACCCCTCCACCGGTCATCCAGAGCTCCGGCACGCGCCCCTTCTCCGTTAACGGCGACACCTTCGTCGGCAAGGGCGCCGCCCTCGGCCGGTCCTGCGACATCCAGCACAACGCCTGCTCCCGCGCCGTCAACAGCGGCCAGCTCAGCGGCAAGGTCTCCCAGTGCGACGAGCAAGACACCCAGTGCCGCGCCCAGGCCAAGCTCCGCAGGCGCTCCTTCAAGCGCCAGGCCACCGACTTTGGCTCCTGCAGCGACCCCTCCATCGTCTTCAAGAGCGGCCTGGCCGACCGCCAGACCGCCGCCTTCATCGCCAACAACCAGGGCGACTTCAACCACGGCTCTGCGCAAAAGATTGGCATCATTGCCGGGTTCATCTGCCAGCGCCTGTCGGACAGCTGCAAGGCGCCCGCTGCTACCGTTGAGAGCTGTAAGCAGGCTCAGACGGCGGCCGTGGCTGCTACTCAGGATGAGACTGCTGCGAATGTGTTTAACAGCATGCTTATTGGCGGCTCGGCCAGCGGTAACGTCACTGCTCGTTCCGTCCTCGAACGGTACTGAGCAGGCAATATCGTGGGTGATTGTTAGAACAAAACTTCATGGAAATTGGCATATGGAATAGGGCTTGCATTGGGCTGTGCGCTTCCGGTCGCATTTTGGTGGCAGCATAGAGAGATATAAACTCTGCATGGTTCAATGTCAGGAGGAGCGTTAGGTGTTTTTGGGAGTCCTGGCGGCTGTTTGAATTGAGTCAGAATTTCATGCCTCACATCTCCTTGGCTTGATCATAAGTGACCCCTTCCCATGTACTTCGTAATCCGACATATTGGCTCTTCTTTTGATTGGAGGCCAATTATTATTCAAAAAGAATTCTACGCTCAGGCCCGTAACCAATAGGCTGATTAAATATAGTCATGTGAGGAAAAAGTTGAACTCGGCCCATCCGCAACAAGCACTTTAGGGCGAATTGTACTTGAAATACGCGCCGCTGCCCGTGTCATGCGTCAAGTTCGTCTGCACGACACGGCCGTTCTTCAAGCTGCCGCTCTCAGCAACACCCCCATAAACAGTAGACCCATTCCATCTATGAAGCTTGTTCTCACCCGCCAACACAGTAAAGTTGGCCAGGGAAATCTCGTATCCCTGCTTGATTCTCGTGGTAGGAATACCGAAGTAAGAGGCATTCACAGCGTCGTAATCAATGCTGAGCTCAAAGTATCCTCTGTAAAACAGGTCTTGCCATTGCAACTCGCGGTTCGCAGCCGTAAGCCAAGCAGAGCCTGCATTCGCCTTTGCCAAAGTAATGTTCTGTCCGGCCGGGCAGGGCGAGCTGACGGCCGAGCCCCCGAACTCGGCGCCGACGGAGTTTACGCCCGTGTTCTGGTCGTACGCGTACTCGCCGAGCCAGACGAGATCCGACGCCCACGAGGCGTGCGAGTCACCCGCGAGGAAGATGTTGTTGCCGATATTGTGCTCGTATAGGGCCTGGAAGGTGCGGTTGCGGTTCGCCTGGTAGCCGTCCCACTGGTCGTAGTTCATGGGGTTCTCGTTGCCGTTTGACAAGCTCTCGTTCATGCGGCTAAAGATGATTTGGTTACCAATGACCCGCCACGCCGTGCCGCGGGTCGAACTTTTGCGCAGCGTCTTGTAGAACCAGGCTTCTTGGCGGGGGCCCATGAGGGAGCGGCTTGCTTCGTTGGAGATGGCGTGGATGTAGTCGGTGTTGGTGTAGACATCGGTGATCTAGAACCGGTATGGTCAAAATTGAACTCAAAATGTCGTGATGATCAATACGAAGGTCACTCGCGGGTAGGAATTGTACTTACAGCGCGATCATATTGGCGAGTATCCAGCATAACAAGATCGAACAGGTTGCCAAAGTTGAACTCTCTCCAGATGCGGAGGTTATCATCCATGTCAACCTGACGGAGAGGCACTTTTCGGTCGTTAGCATCCGCATCATTATTGAGATTGGTTCAAGCTTACTCCACTCAAAGTACGCGCGGACGGCGTTCATCTTGCGCTGATCAACTGAGACACCTCCGTCGGCGATGAAAGAAGCTTCAGTGTTGTTAAGCTCCGAGGCACCATCTCGCCATGTGTTGTCCGAAACCTCTGTGCCTCATTAGTGCCAACGTTGCGCCAGAGGAGGGAGAACAGCTACGAACCGTGGTCATCCCAGACCGTAATCCAAGCGAAGTTCTGGTGGCTGGCCAACAAGTCCAGATCTGTCCGGTAAGTTGCAATACGCTTGCGGTAGTCATACAATCTGTAAATCACTTAGCTTCATTTTCAAGCCTCAAAAATTGCCGCGAAATACTTACGTATAGATCTGACGATCGGGAAGAGGGATTCGCCCAATTGAGTTGCCCCAGCCGTACTCGCCGTTGCGGTATTCATATATGTAGTCTCCGAGGTGGACCATAAAATCAACCGAATCTTTTCGCACTGGGTTACCGTACGCGTTGAAGAAACCAAAGGCTTTGCCGAGTTAGTCAGGATGGTCTATTACTGCCGAAACAGGGACGACATAATGACGTACGGTAGTTGCTGCAGGAGTAGACGGCAAGCTTGATTGGCGTTTCTACACGGGAGTTCTTTTTAGGAATCGTCTTCGTGCGACCAATCGGAGACGTTTTGTTGGAGTTGCAAATTTCAAATTGGTAGACTTTCACGGACATTAGTAGTACTCTCTTTGAACAACGTTGTGGACGACGAAAACTCACAGTAGACGGTAAAAGGAGCCAAGCGCTTGGCCTCCACCTTGACCGTGTAATCTACATCAGAGCTCGTGTAAGCAGTACCCGAGTCGGCAACAGATTCAAAGCTCTTGCTCGTGCTGATTTTCCATTTCACGCAGACCGGCGAGTCGCTCTTCTTGACATAGTCCTCGGTGCTGTGGTCATACAAGGGAACGTAACCGCTCACGGTCACATTGCTCCTGTCATTGTCCGTAGTCGGAGCAGCTCGCGTCCACAGAATGACGCTATCCTCGTACGGGTCGCCAGAAGCCACGCTGTGCGTGAACTCGAGCTGCGCCGGACTCCAGTGCGCGTTGGCGTAGGTGCGCTTGGCCACCTTGCTAATGGAGACACCCAGCGAGGCGTGATGCTTGGACGGCGACAGGTAGTTGAGGTTACCAGTGAAGGCGGCCGATGCCGTGGCGGCAACGGCCAAGACAGCGAGAATGGGCTGAACCATGATGGCTGTGGCTGTCAGTGTCTAGCAAATCAAGGCGCCAAAGGATTAACCAGCAGGTTGCCAAGAACGGGACACCTTCAGAGCAGGCTTGGATGGAAGCCGCCATTTATGAGCTCTTATTTACATTTATTTCCAATCTGAAAACTCCAGGATGAGCTTCCGAAGCTTCCATCCTAGGCCGTTTGCTTCTTGCTCTGGATGGACGCTCACCACGTGCGTTCTTCAGATGGCCGGGCTCGTGGGTAATCATCTGGGCACTGATTGGACATTTGTTTCCTTGATGAAGATCAAAAATCATTAGTTTTCTCTCAATGACGACAACTTTCAGGAATTGTCACAGAGTAGCATACGCGAACCCCTCTTCTTATCCTTATAGGTTTGCCAGGCACGGAAATAAGTCCTCTTTGCGAATGGCATACGCAGTAACGCGGCTTACACGTGCGCTCGACCCCAGAGGTTATTGGTGCACGGTCTCGGCGCTGTGGGGCCGTCGCTCCGGTTCTTCGGTCCTGCGTTTTCAGCGGGGGTCCTTGTCGATCCGCGCATGGCAGCATCGCGAATGAGAGGCTGTAGTAACGTTCCATGGTTGAGTCCTTCTCCATGCAATCAGCAATGTCCTTGGATTAGTTCATTATTAAAGAGAGAGGTCTACGTGCTGTGGGAAAGAGTCGTTGCCACAGTCGTTCTATACACTCAGCATGTTTTTTTATCGTTCCCATCAGAAGCGCGTCTTCAAAAGATTGCCTTATATATAACTACCTTAGGAACGAAACAAAGTTTATAAATACTCCGTAGACAACACCTGTTCTGCTGGATACTACAAAATGCAGAGATCGCGAGCACACATACTTTGTTCACTTCGTGGATCAAGTTTAGGAATGCTTTGAGTAGGTAGAGCTTGTGACGTGTTACACCCAAATTGGATAGTTAAGGTCTTGAATCCATGGCGATCATGATTGCACTTCAAACAACTTACTGTGAAGGATCGGTAAGGCGTATTTCACCAGTCTCAGATATGGCGATTCTCTTCAAAGACTTGTCAAAGAAACTGGAGTTGAAACCGAAATACTTGCTGGCAGCAGCAAAAGACCACCAACACCGAAAATATAGCTAGAACTGCACATGGCTCAGGCAAGTACAATTGCAATTGAAACCATGACCCCAGCCATGATCCATATGAAAGCGAGGGGACTAGCTTGGTCGGAACCTCCAGAGTTCAGATCGATGGAAAGTTGTGCCCTGCAAGATCCAGAAAGCCGGCCTTTCTCTTTGAGCTTATCGAATGGCTCACAAGAAAAAGAGTTTTCTGGCCAGAGGTCAATTTCTTCCACACGCTGGCTAGCGGCCTCGTCACTGAGAGTATCCCGAAATTGGAAGAAGGAATTGCTTCAATGGAACATTAGCCTTCTTCATCTCATCGTCTGAGAGGATGCACGAGCTTACAAAAACGCGTTGGAAAATTCCCTGCCATGCCAATGAGTCCCATCGCCGGCTGAGGCCAGTAACACGACCGGATCATCTCACCATCTTCGGCGACTCGATACTCTGAAGACAAATTCAAGTTGTCGTTCCCCTTGATTTCGAGACGGAAGTTTTTCGACTAAGTTGCCTGTGATGGAACAGAGAGCCACACCAGCTCCACTTCATTGCGGACTGTAAGATTTCCTAGGTGGTCGAAGGGTACGTCGAGATGCTAATAGTAGTTGCCGCCGGAGCTGGTATAGCTTCCCACACTCAACTTTTCAAGACTCGGTAGCCGCTCAATGCCATTGAGGCTTTGCAAAGTTTCAATGTGGCCAATGGTCATTTCAGTGATCCCAGATCCGCCCAGGACGAGCGTAAAATTGCTTGTCGGTCCAGGAGAAAGCCAATCGAGATTCAACGAGTCGATTTTTGCGACGCCGATTTGAAGACGCTTCACTTGGTTGGCGTTGTTGATAGTTACTTGGTCAAGGCTGAGTTCCGGTTCCTGGAAGAATCCGTCCAAAGATTCGAGACTGTTTGTTCCAATCGAAATCTCTTTTACGACCGTTCCACCATAGCTATTCAAGCCGGTGACATTCCCAAAGGCGCCCAATTTCAAAGTTGCCAACTTCGATGCGTAGAGTCGCATGTAGGCAACTGATTTCAAACGATCAATGTCGAGACATTTCAAGCCGTCCAACTTCTCGATGGCGAACATGTCATTGACCGATGTCGATTCCGGGAAGCTGATATTGGTGAGCCATTCATGGTATGAGAAGTAGACCCTGCCTCGAACTTCTTTCAAGGTGCCGGAAGAGATGCTAGTGATCGGATCGTATCCGTTGCATGTCCTCCAGTCTTCTAAATCCGGGCAATCCGTATTCAGGAGAAGGTTACCATGGATAATCTTCACTCCCTCCAGATCAAATGCCGGGCTGGGCAATTTGGGATAGATGATGACATCTCCATAGATCTCGGGACAGCTCCGCAATGCCTCCGCATCAGCCAACGATTTGATGCTGAAGGAGCCACACTCTTGGCCGATGACTTCTGTTGGTTGCATATGTTGTCAGTCAAGTGACCTACGGGCCTTAGTTGAAGTATTCTTACGATGGTGCCCAACAATGAGGGCTAAGAGCAACGAATGTCTCAAAACCGGTGACCCGAGCATGTTGAGAGAATTGAATTACTTTCATACTCAAGTGATATCATTAATGAGTGGGCATTGGGTTTCCTTAAGACGATGAATCCCCCATGTTATTTCCAAAGCTCCACTGAATTGGCTGTTGAATTTGGCTTTATTCCGCCAGCAAAATAAGCTTAAGCATCGATATCAATTGGTTCGGTCAAATGCCAAAGCTGACTCGACTTGAAGCCTTGAAAAGTTGAACCTTAAAATCATTCCATATAAAGGGCACCTGAGGTCTTTTGCCCCTGGCGGTCTCCCTTTACAAGATGACCGATATCCCAAGGGAACGAAGTCACAGACATGCAGGGTCCCGCATACAGGGTCAGCACCTCGACCTGCCTAATTAGCCGTAGCGCAATAGGCTGCCAAGTCAGACTAGCCAAGGAGGACACTTAACCCGAAACCGAGAGGCCGATTCAAAAACGACCGGTCCGAACTGACCAACAAGAGGGCGTAAGGTGAATAAAAAAAATAGTAGCGCGTTTTTTTTCCTCGGGTTTTTTGCCCTCCATTTTGTATTAGCAATACGAACGAGGCTCAAGTAGCTTTGATTGGCCAAATTTACGCACCGCATTACATCTCCATTACATCAAGGTACCTCGAATCGCATGGGCTCCGAAACTGAGTTGCCCGGTTCTGCTGCCGTCACCACCTTACCCATCACAAGCAGGCAGCCGCATTCCGAGTTAAAAAAGGAAATCAGGAAATGGAAATTAAAAGAAAATTCAACGTCGCCAACGAGACTCTCCAGCTTTTCTAGATCAAGAAGATGCAAGTGAAACGTGGTATCGTGGCGCCACCCTAGTTTCCTGAGACGACAAGACGTGATTATAAGCATTTCGGCCTCGAAAGAGATGACCTCCTAGTGCCTGTCCATCTGCCTGGGAGTCAGCAGCTCTGCCTACAACTCGTATTCGGGCTCCTCGCCTTCTTGGGGCCGCTAAATTCCTAAATTTCAGGCGGACCAGCCTCTCCATCTGTCAGGATTGATTAGACATGGGAAAATCCGGTGGTTGGATTGTGGCTCTCGTCGTCGCGGTAACTGAAGAATTGGTTTCGGCGTGGAGAACGAGAGATGCGAGGAGAATTCTCCATTGTGAAGCCAGGTTTCTATGACTGTTAAATCACGTCGATTATCACTTCCGTTTTGGTTCCCACAGTATGGCTATTACGGTTTAGAGTTTCTCAGCATTGTGCAGGCCTGAGACAAGTTTTTCTACGACGGAAAAGCCCGAAAGAGGGTAAGTTACGGAATTGGTTAAAAGGCATGGCTGCTATCGGCTACAGACCCAAAAAAGGCAGCAAATGAGCGCAGCTGATGCTTCATAAGGCCTCCAAAGATGTTCGGACTCTTGCTGTGAGGGCTATTCCCGTTGAAACTGGCTATGGGTTTCGTATAGCTGTAGAAGATCAAGAAGGAGTTGATCGCGATTGCCATGATGCCGACTTGATGTTAGGGATTGACAAGGCGAATGTTTCGAGGGGAGAATCTAGATATTATTGCGATTCAGGTAGGATTGGATCCGAGAATCTAGAAAGTACAGTGTAGCGTTGTAAAGTAGCATATTGATCGTGAACGCAGAAGCTGGCTAGTGATGGGCGCAATCTTCTACCCATGAATAGCTCAATGTAAGTAAAGCAAGATACTCGATTCCTCCCCGAAAGCAAATCACTAGCATTTCAACAACATGGCAATACTCTTGACCCGTTTTACTACAGATAGCGTGTTTTCACTGACAGTTGCCCGCTGGGGCCTTTTGCGGAGCCAAAGTTCCGTCGGCCTCTGACTTATCATACTCCCTCATGATCGAATGCCATCCGTGACATGGTCGCTCCCGACACCACTTTCTGCGCATACACGCAACTCCTGGAGCAGCTTGTCTTGCTGTCTATTATTTATAAAGATATGAAGACGTCCAGATGAGCGCCCGGTCAATTTGAATCAATTTGGACTCTTTGGAACGTCTTTACTGACGAACTCTTTGCTCACAACTGGGTTTAAATGGCAGACGTTCTCAGGTGGTACATGGCAAAGCAGGAGGTCTGAACTCTTCAAGACTCTTAAGCTTCAACCTTATTTTTACACAACATGAGACTACAATTTTTCATAAATCTTTTCTTGTCATTGTTAACTTTTTCTCCTCCCATGGCATATTCATTTACGAAGAGAAACCCAGGTCGTGCTACGCTATCAAGTAAGGCATTGTATGTTCAAGCAGTGCGTGTGATGGAATTTACTGTCCTTCAATCTCCTTCACAACTCTCTTGACAACCTCGTCCAGATTCTCCTCCGCCAGACCAAGCTTGCTCAGGTCGGTGACCTTGGCGTTATAGTCACCGCCCCAGCCCTCGCGCATGTGGTTGACGTAGAAACCGACCAACACAGCCGCGTGATCGCCCTGCTTAAACTTCTCATTCGACTCAGCAACAACAGCCGCCGCATCCAGAACCTCAACCTTCCAATCCGCCTCTTTGGTGCCGGTAGCGCGCAGAATGCTGTCGAGCATGTCTCTCTGGCTAATGTAGAAGGACTTGAGATACACCGGCTTGTTGCGGAACTGCTCCAGCTCAGCGTCGGGCAAGCTCAAAACACCAGCAGTGCCCTGTCCGGTGGTGCCAATCGTGGTGGTGATGAATTTGGTGTTTCCGCCGTCAAACAGGCGAGCAGAGCGGTTCTTGATGTCGATGCCCCAGAAGCCCTGGCCGAGGGACCAGTCGAACCAAGGGTTGTTGACGATGGCGATCCAGCTCAGGCCCAGCTCCTCCACGAGATCGCGGAACTGCTTCTTGCCCGCGACCAAGGGGCTGACTTCGAGCAACTTGGACGGCGCCAGGTCGGAGCCGAATTCGGTAGGCAGGACCCACTTGACACCGGCCTTGGCCGCGGCGCGGATGAGGGGGGCCTGCGCCGTCATGTAGCTGTCGAAGCTGAGTTGCAGAATGAGCACATCCTGGCCCTGGAAAGCGGACACGAGGAAATCTTCGTCCGCGTAATCGCCCTTCTTGACGATGACGCCGGCTGGTAGTGCGGTGGAGGATTGAGCGCGTGTGACGGCGGTGATAGTATGGATACCCTTGTCGAGGAGGGCCTTGAGGGTGAAGCCGCCGAGGTTACCGCTGGCGCCGACAAATGCGATCTTGCGTCCTTGCTGTTCAGGCATTGTTGGAGACAATTGGTCGTGATATGGTGTTGACTTAAGGTTTGGGTTGGAGATTGACCTGAAAATGATGCTGTTCCTATTTGGATTCAAGTGTATAAAGCTGATTGTTCTGTTGTGTGGTGCACATTCCCATCATCTAGAAGAGGGCAGCACTCTTTCTTTAATATTTCTAACATCCTCACGGCTCATAGTGAGGCACAAAGGAACTTCTCCGTTTTCGCAGTCAACAATGTATTATTGCTTCCAGCTTCCGGATAGTGGGTAAGTCTTCAGAGACTTTTCACACTCACTCTCACCAGTCACCACCATGAAAACGCATCCGGTGGGCACGGACGATTCAGAGGTGGTGGTGACAACTGACAAATGGAGTGGCTGATTGCTAAGCTCCTGGGATGAGCAATGCTGAAAAGGATCCGAGACCTGCCCAGATGTGGCTGGTTGATCCGCACCGCGCGGCTCGGGAGTAAAATGGCCATATTAGGGATAACCCACCTCCGCAATGTCGGAATTTGAGTTACCCACTCTAGTCGATTTCGTGCTTTGCCTCTCCGCAGTCCCCCCATTCACTGAGTAATCAAGTTCCTGGGGAAGACTGTAAGAGGCAACTCGAAATTTCTGGGTCTAACTTGCCCTTCGGTATTATGCCGAGGAGGGATCATGCATATTCAACGTCTTGTGGTTGACTTATTCACGATACAAACATGATATTCGTATTGTCGGGTCATCTCCTCACCTTTGTCTCCAGTCCCTCGCGAACACGAAGAAATTGACTTTGCAGGCGGAGGATCGCAATTTCGAAATGTCTCCGGCTACGTCTGGTGCCAGCTGGTGCCCATCGGACAACCAAAGTCTTCTTCTGAAACGCGCTTGTGTTGTCCCAGCTCTTCCGGCGCATCGCTGACGACGTTTTGGAGACGCAAGCGCTCTTCCCGGGTCCATACAGTCAGTCTGCAGCTATCATCGACCATCGAAGCAGCAATAGCAGCAGATGCTTTCATTATACCTGTTCATTGAGCAGTGAAAAGTGGCATGACAGTGACCGCCTTCATCCTGGAGCGTTGTCAATCAGCCCTCAGCGTGCTGCAATCAACTTCGGCCATGGGCTACTGAGCGAGTTGTGAATTCACCAGCTGTGAGCCTCGTAGGCTCCCTTCGTAAATTGCCTGACCAGTGAGTGCTGGGTGAGCCAGCCATGGCGTCCGCCTCTCGTGATGGCGCCCGCTTCCAGCAGCTCCCTTCGGGGCCTTCGGGGCCGGGCTCCAGCTCCTCGAGGTCGTCCTTCGACTCCACGTCGGATCCCAACGATGCCGACGACGAAGCCTTCGCCCTCCTTTCCGATGGCGATGTCGCATCTCTTCTTTCGGATGACATTGAGCTCGAAGAGATCTCCGCAGCCGGACCATCCGCCGGCTCCGGCTCCCGTCCTGCCAAGAGCCGCTCAGAGATGGATCAACGGTTCCAAGATGCCATCAATGCCGAACGGCACATGACGCCCCGGGACGCCATCCGCGCCTACCCGATGGCCGTGTTCTGGAGTCTGGTCGTCTCCCTGTGTGTGATCATGGAAGGTTGGTTTGAAGCCCGCGGTGAACACCTCGCGAGCACTGCAAGCTGATGGACTCACAGGCTACGACACTATCCTCATTGGCAGCTTCTTCGCCCACCCAGAATTCGCCAAAAAATTCGGAGACGGTAAGGACGACCAGGGCCGAGATCAGCTATCCGCCCTCTGGCAAGCCGTGCTCGGCAACAGCAGCACGTTGGGCTGCATTATTGGCGTCATCGCCAACGGCTTCCTCGTCGAGCGGTGCGGCCAAAAGACCGCCCTCATCAGCTCTCTCTTCGTGCTCTCCGGCTGCATCTTCATCACCTTCTTCGCCACCAACAAGACCATGCTCATGCTCGGCCAGATCGCCTGCGGCCTGCCCTGGGGCGTCTTCGCGTCCTCTGCGCCCGCCTATGCGTCCGAGGTCCTGCCGTTGACCCTGCGCGTGTACCTGACGACGTGGACCAACATGTGCTTCATTATCGGCCAGCTCATGTCCGCGGCCGTCCTTGCGGGGCTGCTCCCACGCAAAGACCAGTGGTCATACCGTATCCCGTTTGCGTTGCAGTGGTCCTGGCCGGTCCTTCTCATACCGCTTCTGGTCTTTGCACCAGAGTCCCCGTGGCATCTCGTCCGGACCGGCCAGCTTGCCAAGGCGGAGAAGGCCTTGCTGCGGCTACAGAGGAGAAAGGTCGATAATCTGGACGCCAAAGTCCGTCTGAGGGAAATCGTAGAAACCGACAGGATGGAGCAGGAGCACCAGACGGGAACGACCTACTGGAACTGCTTCCGAGGCGTAGAACGTCGCCGCACCGAAATCGCATGCGTCGCGTTCGCGGGCCAGGTCCTCTCCGGCTCGAGCTTCGCCTACAACTCGGTCTACTTCTTCCAGCAGGCCGGCCTGAACCCCCAGGACGATTACAATCTCAACGTTGGCGGCACCGCGCTGGCTCTGGTCGGGACCGTCGTCAACTGGTTCGCGCTGATGCCGTACTTTGGCCGTCGCCGCATCTATCTCTGGGGCATGTTCAGCATGTCTGCGATCCTCTTCATCATTGGCATCCTCGACAGGATAGGCCGGTTGCCGAATGCGCCCACGTCACCTATAGGCTGGGTCCAAGCCTCTCTAACTCTTGTCTGGACCTTTATCTTTCAGCTGTCGGTCGGTCAGCTCGGATGGGCTATACCCGCCGAGGTCGGCTCCACCCGACTCCGACAGAAGACCATTTGCGTTGCGAGGTCTACCTATTATGTTATGAATTTGCTGGCCAATGCCTTCCAGCCATTTTTCATGAATCCGAACGCCCTGAATCTCAAGGGCACGACGGGTTTCGTCTGGGGAACATCGGCATTTCTCACCTTTGTATGGGCTTTTTTCCGCCTCCCGGAAACAAAGGGGCGTACCTACGAGGAGCTGGATTATCTCTTCCACAACAACACCGCCACAAGGCAGTTCGATACGACGGAGGTGGATGTATTTGACGGGGATTACGAGAAAGTGTCACCCCCAATGTCTCGATGAAGTCTCTCTATGCTCACTTCAAGGATTTACCTATTGACCAGGAAATAAATAGCGTTGACTAAGTTATCAGGATAGAAGGAAATGGCGAACCAGCGGTGTGAGAGTGGACCTGTCGACGTGGATATCGATACTTCATTCAAGAACTGAATAAAAAATCAATCTCTTAAATAGCACAATAGTAAGCCCCCGAGGGCCGAGTCGACGCATCTCGGAGTTCCCTTTCACATGAGGCCAAAGTCATTGGTCATTGATAGCTCCTGGCGAAATGGTGCAGAAAAGGTTCATAATTGAAGGGACTCCGAAGGAGATACGCACAAAATCCTGGAAAATCCCCATGAATATGTAGATAATAGACGGAAAATGTACAAAGATGAGTTAGAGCATCTCGAACCAGCTGCGTTAAATGCAATGGCTTTTCACTAGACAGCAAGCATGAATTTATCAGGTCCTTCTTTTCCCTTAAATGGTCTTACTATCCTACCAATACTTGCACTCAGATAACGGAGTTTCTAAGCTTCATCAATGCCTAACGCCAAAACCTACCATCATACCAAAGCGGGAAACCTGCACCGACGTAATCTACATCGTCGCAGGCTCGAACGACAGAATGGGGCCCAAAGCAGTCAAGCACCTCATCAAGCTGGAAGCAACCCACCTCACCATGGAAGTCAAATCTCTCTCTAAAAAAAAAAAGAGAATCCGACAAAGCCGAGGTCAAATTCACGACCAGGATCAAGCTTCGAAGGCGTTGCCGAGGCATGGCACTTCGGCATTGGTTCCATCGACTCCATCCGTTCCTTTGCCAGCAGATCCTTGTCTGAAATGGAGACAATCTACGCACATTTTGAGATTCCGACGGGTGCACTCGGTACTTGGACGGTATTTGAAGGCATGGAGACGTCTATCATGGTGAACATCGGCTATACAGTGCTCCTCGCCCTTCACCTCTTTTCCAAAGATGAGGAGAAAGCCCCCGGATGACACAAAGTACGTCGCATAGTTGACAGCGTGTGCAAGACCCCGGAACTGGCAGGATCGCAGCTTATGTTGAACGGATAATGGGCGGAACGTTGTGGGAGCATGAAGTTCCTTCAGACCTATCGGCATTAGCATTTGATCGGACAATAATGAGAGGGGTAACTTGTGGCTTCGTTAAACACTAATCTGACATACAAATCGGAAAATGCATCATCAAATCGTGTTTTCTGTAGAGATGCCGATTGTCTTCTAGTCCAAATTGAGACATTTTCCTTAAGTTGAACGGTACTATAAGCATCGTACTGCTCACTCCGCCGGGTACCTGGGAACAAAGTAAGTGGCTCCGACTACATCAAGTAATATAACATTCTGGCCTTGCCCACGCACGCTCAGAGTTACATTGTCGGCTCAAAGTGCGTCTCCTTGGTTAATCCTCTTTGCTGAATTTATGTTCATCAGCCTAAAGTCCTGACTTTTTGACTCGTCAACCTCGATTCAAATCCGGCGAAGCTCACACAACGCAGGGATCATAGCTCGTGGGTGACAGAATCTCCCCCGCACATCCACAGCTAAAGGCAGATACACCGTCACACAAAAACAACCCCGGTGTGCCTGGCCAAGTTCCAACACTTCCCCCCCACCAAAGGGCGTCAGGGCGCAGCCAACACGCTGACAAGCTTCCCGGAGACAAGACGCTAACGAGGCGGTTACCCCAACAAGTAACACCTGGAACGTCGGCAAGCGGGCAGAGCAACCACCTCCACACCACTGAGAGTCGTCACCTCGGTAATAATTAGTAGGTGCCATCTTTGGTTTCGAAAAAGCGTGGGCGTGCTGCGGATAACGGCTTGCCACGGCTATGGTGCATGAAGACGGGCCCGGATCTTGATAACAAAACAATGCGGGGAAAAGCTAGCTGTACACATGTACGATTCACCAAATGTCTCTATTCTCCATCAACCACCCCCAAAGCTCACTTCTTCACCCCGAATTTTGTGAATAATTATTCATTCCCCGTGCGTTGAGCTCTGACTATCACTTCCCCCCAACTTCTCCGACCTTCACTCCAATTTTACTTACTTCTTGGCTCTTCGCCTCCGGCATCTGGGCGCTTGTTCACTTACCCTTTTCCATATCGCCAAGAGGACAGGGCGCACACAGAATCAACACAGAGCTCTACCTTACACGGTCTATCAAGCAACAAAAGAGGGAGAAGATATCTAGAAGGATAATCACCGAACTGCATTGCTCTCTCACTTCACCAAGCAGACCACTTTCAACATGGCTTCCATTGTGGAGAAACGGGGAGGTCAAACCATTTACAAGTCTCCGGACCACATTGATATTCCCAAAGTCGATCTCCTCACATTCCTCTTCGGTGAGTCTCACCTTCACGCAAGCCTCCAACACGTCACGGGCCTCGGTCGATTGCGATTTTGCTCACAAAGGCAGACTCCCGAAACGAAAGACTGAGCGATGACACGGTCCTCCACGCCGACGCGGCAGACCCCTCCAGATCAATCACCAAGTCGCGCCTGGTGAAAGCTCTCAAACAGCTCGGCCACACCCTTCGGCACCAGTATGGCATCAACAAGGGCGACGTCGTGCAGGTCATCTTCACGGGTCACTACATGGCACCCACCGTCTTCTACGGCATCATGGCGGCGGGGGGTACCGTTGCGGCGTCGACGCCGTCCTCGACCCCGCCAGAGGTCGCGCGCCAGATCAACCTCACCGAGAGCAAGATGATCATCTGCAGCCCCGATCTCAAGGCACTAGCCGCTGCTGGAGGTACAGCTGCCGGACTACCCGATGACCGGATCCTCTACATTGGAGACAGCCACGAGTTCCAGCTGTTTGAGGCCAAGACGGATAAGCGAGTGTCTCTTTCGACTCAAGAGCTCGACTGGGAAAGAGTCACTGACCAAACGAAACTCGAAAACACTGTCGGTTGCTATATATACAGCAGTGGCACCACTGGTATCCCCAAGGCCGTCACGGTGTCTCATGCAAACATGATCGCGCAGACCATGGTCATCTCAACGCCGACCATAGAATATTACAAGACGCATCCAAAGATGGAGTTCATCACGCTCGCACATTTACCAGCAGCACACATCTCCGGTCTCCAAGCCTACATTGTCAATCAAACCTATTTGGGCGGCATCGTATACTGGATGAAAAAGTTCAACTTTGTGGAGTTTCTGGACTATGCAAAAAAATACAGAATCACAGCCTTCTTCAGCGTTCCGCCCATCTATCTCATGATTGCGAAATCCCCGCTCGTAAAAGACCATTTCGACACTGTGGAATTCGCCCTCACGGGGGCCGCTGCTCTGGGAGGCGAAACCCAAGCCGAAGCGCAGCGAAAAATGGGCAAGGGGAAAGCGATCCTCGGCCAGACGTGGGGTCTCAGCGAAACCACCGGCGGCTTCACGATTCTCCCCCGGCATCTCACAGATGACACTGGCAGCGTCTCCATGATTGTAGCCAACTGCGAGGCTCGACTCGTCGATGACGAGGGGAAGGACGTCGAGGTCGGACAGCCTGGGGAGATGTGGTGCCGCGGGCCCATTATCACCAAGGGGTACTACAAGAACGACAAGGCTAATAAGGAGGCGTTTGTCGACGGCTGGTTCTGCACGGGCGATCGATTGTCGTTCAAGGATGGAAAATTCTACTTTGTTGATCGAAAAAAGGTTCGTATTCTAGGGATATACGATGGAGAAAAGACTGGATGTTTGTGACTGACAACTCGCAGGAACTCATCAAGTATAATGGTTTCCAGGTGGCACCAGCCGAGCTCGAATCATTGCTGGTCACGCATCCGAAGATCCAAGATGCGGCAGTCATTGGCATTGACGGCGAAGGCACCGAACTCCCAAGGTACGAACCACACAGTCTGTTTTGGGGTGTTCAAATATTAACAATTTCTTCAGGGCCTATGTGGTTGCCGATAAGAGACAGATTTCTGCGGAGGACATTCAAAAGTGGGTGGCCCATCAGGTGGCTAGCTATAAGAAGCTTCGTGGAGGCGTAATCTTCATTGATGCCATCCCAAAGAGTGCCTCGGGAAAGATTTTGCGCAAGGATCTAAGAGCACTTGTCAACCGCGAGGCTGGTGCAAAGCTCTGAAAGAGTCCCTCTGAAAGAGACAGAGAGAGAGAGAGTAGAGTCGTTTTTGAGATGCAATCACCAGAACTCTATTGTTAAATCGCGGCCGTATATGCTTTGGGGCTTGACTCTGAGTCCACTCAGACCGTGCTGTCCCTGGATGTTGTGAACTTTAAACGTCAAACTTTATAGCTGAGTACTGTGGTTCAACGTTCTCACTCCAGGTACCGGCCACACATTGAAAACTAATTGTGCATCCAGTGGGGTCCCTCTCCATCTATCTCCGGTACATTTCGTTCTTCGATATATATTGATATCTCCTACCTGTCTTCTCTTCTTTTTAATTCATCTTGGAGTAAAAGATTACATCGAATTCTACAAGCTCGATCGACACCAACAGGCGATATTGCTTCAACAAAGCATTAATTGCCACCCTTTTCGACTCTTTCGACGGAATCCTACATTATCCTGATACTACATCTCAACATTAAATCTGAACCACCGCAACCATGGGACTTCGTGAGCTGATTAAAAGCCAAGTTTCGGGCCAAAGAAAAGCCCAATATCACCAGTCGCCATGCAATAGTAATCAGAATCTTACGGGCATCGCAAGTCAGTGGAGTATCCCGATGATGCAAACTAGCGCCGAACAATCGTTTGCAGCAGCTGGTCCGTCTGCCACTTCTAACCTGATTCCCATTGACCCCGAGGGCCTTCACCAGAGAAATCCTCAGCTTGACGCTATCCTTTCCCAGGCACAGTATACCATGGCAGAGTTGGCCGCCCGTGCAGCCTTCTTTTCCAACTACGCCAATCAACAACCTGCTGGTAGCGTCTGGGCTGCGGTCTATATCCCCCCCGAGGAACCAACGCCAACTTTCAGCATTAAACGCAAACCTCCTCCTAGCGGGCAATCGGATTCCCAGGAAATCAGCCCCGCTGTCATCCCGTCTGATATCACCACAAAGGACCTTCATCCAGGATCGTGGCCATGCACACCCAGTCCCAGTACCAGTCGGTCCAGCTCCCAAAGCCCCCAGAGAAGCGCAAGCAGCAGTCGCACAGGCTCTTCAGTCACGCTCGTGAACGGAAGCAATCACTCGCACGACACGACATGGCCCAGCAACTGCAAATCAGTATCTTCTATCGGCCGCCCACTTACAACCATTTCGGAGGAGAGCACATGCACTGAGAAAGCTACTCCGAAGGCAAGGATGTCCCAGCCCACGACGTATAAGAAGAAGACGAAAAGAACAGCAGCCCCTACGAGCCACTTGTCTCGAGGAACCATGCGAGAATCCTATTGATGGTGTGGTATTCGAGGAAGAAGGAGAATTGATAGAATTCGCCGACTGGGCGATTGCGAATGGGTGCATGTAAGATAGTCGTCTACTATGACGCATCATGAGGATTATATCAAGCAGTCCTTCCAATTGACCCAATAAACTACACTCCACTTCTGAATAATTGTACCTGTGCGAAACGTATCAATCCGTCCCGATGTGAAGGTTATGTATACCTCTAACGGGTAAAAGCTCTCCTAACAGGAGATCTCGCTGACACAGGCCGTAGGGCTTTGGTGTGTATGTGCTATATTTAACGCCGTGACTGTTCTCCTGTAGGACATTCAGCATGTAGGACGTCTATAAAAATGCTACAAATCAACAGTTGCACCGCAACTTAGATTTGAAAACATACTGTAAGTCCTAGGCACTAGATATCGACTGGACAGCCCTATTGGATGTAATCCAAGATCGTCTTTAAGGCTTGGTACATAATTAACATGATGTCGCCAGCGTGGGCACCAGGGCCGAGCCTAGCTTCACCAAAACCAGTAAGCAGTAGTGGCCCAGCCGTAGGCTTCATCAGGCTAGAAAGGTAGATAGTCTGGTCTTCGAGTTGCTTGCGAGGAACGGTACTCGAGAATTCATTTACTTCCAATTTCTGGAAGAGGCAGTCGTCGATTGCCCGAAGTAGCAGATTGTCGGGATGAATATCCGATCTCGTCCCAGCTGCGATGCCCAGCATGTGTGTTTATACCATACGCATGGGAAGGGCGATAGCAGGGAGTAGACACGCACCACAGTGTACAGATTGTACCTCTGTATGCAGGAAATCAATCGCTTCGAGAAGCTCCTTGACGAGCATCAATTTGTTAACTATGGGATTACTTGTCAATTGAGACTGAATGCATCGCAAGCATTTGGTCGAATCGTTCTTCTTTTGTCTAACTTGGGAGTTACTTCCACGTAGCCGTAGCAGAATGAACAATGGAGAAACAGGTTTGAAATGAACCGAGTCCCGCTTCGATATCCTCAGCCATCTAGAACACAGGGAAAATTGGGACATGCATGAACCACCTTAAGCTGGGGTTTTCGCCGAAAGACTCGTACCGCGGATCGGGCACTTATGATTTTGATCCTTCGAGGAGCTTCATGTCTCATTTTGCCAAGTACGGTGGATCACGTTGACGATCCAGCCGGCCATCTGGCTGCGCCAACCTGCATGAACCCCGGACGACTAGCTCCAGCCGAACCACTCCATATCGAGAAATGCACAATGTGGCCTGGGCTCAAGATCTGAGGCTTTTTTAATCATATGGTCGAGACAGTGATCACATTCATGAACTTGGTCACAATTTGACCAGGCTGAGGCTGACCGGCTGACGTTCTCGCCCACCACCTTGCAGCTAGTCCCGCCAGTCAGGCGAGCTCGCGAGGAGGCGAGACAAGGCGATCTCGTCTTTCTCCCCACCTTCCGATTGCCCTTGAGGTCAGTTCATCCCATCTTAAACATGCTATAGTTGTCAGAATGCAATGTTACCTACCACCCCTGTTCCAGACCCCCCAAGCATCATCAAGAGTTCTTTTCCAATGACAAATGATTTGAGAGATATCAACCCAAGCGCCGCGGATCGTCGGTCCTAGTCATTGGCTTCATGGTCCACCTAGGAGGTAAACACACACACACACTGCTGACCAGTAGACCAGGGGTGTTCAGATGGAGTCCGAGGTACCTGCACTGACGTGACATAGGTAAAATAGCCAGTCGGCACACACGTGTAACCCCGGCAGCGGGGCGGGACAGCCCGGCAAGGGAGCGGCTGCGGGCCTCCAGTCCGACAGACCTGGGGTTCACTCCCAAAAGTGGGGGTGTCGCCATCGCCGGCGCGTGTGTAAGCCTTCATCGACCCGTGGGGTCCATACTGGTGCCAGCATGCAGTTCGTCTCTCGCAGTTCACCGCCATCGACCGCGAGATCTAGAATGTCTCACTGCTCGCCTAGATTAAGGTTGTGATACGGTAGAATGCGGACTTCTTGTCGGCCGTTGGTGGCAAGGGAGCATGTAAGTAAGTCAAAGGCGTCCCTAGAACCGGGTATCGTGTAGAAACTCAGAGCCGATCTGGCAAGGGAGAGACAACTTTTGCACTCGCATGACAACGCCACATCCGTCAGCCTGAATCTAGCCTTGAAGACCCTTGAAATTCGGACTTGGCAATAGAAGACCTCTCCGAAGGGGTGTGCTCCATGTTTCGCAGCGGGGAATAACTATTGGTGGTTGGGAAGGGACCACTTCTTTTTTGCTGCGCGGATTCTTGGGTGATTTTCGAATTTTCATCCCTTGCGAGAAAACGCAACCCCCCTGAATGATCCTGTATCTTGGTGAGAGCGTCATTCGTCTCCTACGATTCCCTGGCGTTCCTTCAAGCAGGCTCTCGCTTACTATGCAGGGGAGATCCTATGGCTGTACGTGATAGGTGTTCGGCAACATTCCCTCCTACTCATCGGGCAACAGATCATGACGTGCTCAGACTATGAGGCCTGGCTAGACCTCACGATGAAAACTTGGGGCCATTTCTGAAGATTATAAGTAATCTTGTGTTTCGTCTATGTACAGGTAAAAATGAGAATCAAACCATTCAGACTCAAACTCCGAGCCTTCTAGTTCATCCACTTCTCACCATGCGCTCCTCACTCATCATATCCGCCATTGTGGCAATCACTCCGGTTTTGGCCCTTACCAGGTCTCCCGCACCCACAGTCACAAATGGCCAATATGTCGTCAACGGCTACGCATATGCCAAGCGCAAGATTTTCAACTTTGCGAGTGCCACCACCCTCCCCGATGGCCTCTACAAAAGCACCTGGAATATCTCCGACCCACCAACCCATCGCTTCGACGCGTCGAACGTCGTGGTCGGCGGTGGCTACATGAACCTGAAGGTTCCTGGCGGTCAGACGGCAATGCCCTACAGCTCTGCTGAGGTTTCCACAACCTTTGACGTCAATTACGCTTCTGTCCGTACTGTTGCGATATTCAGTGAGCCTGCTGGTGTCTGCAACGGTAAGTCACAATTCCGACGTCCGAGGATCACCAAACAATGCTGACGAAACATGACAGGAGCATTCTTCTACCAGAGCGATACCCAGGAGACTGACATTGAGTGGCTTTCCGATCCAGCTTCCCTCAGCAACCAGGGAACTCGCTACCTCTGGCTCACAAACCAGGATGCCGACGGAGATGGTGTCAAGACGTACAACGCCGTCTCACCCCCTGCCAACCCGACTTCCACCGAGCATGAATATCGTCTGGACTGGACTCCTGGCAGTGTCACCTGGTACGTTGACGGTGTCCAGGTTTGGACTACCACCGGCGATGTGCCCAGCGCCACCGGTCCCTGGGTCTTCAACAACTGGTCCAACGGCGACAAGGGCTGGAGTGCCGGTCCTCCCGCCACTCAGGCGGACTTCAAGATCAAGGATATTTACATATACTACAACCAGTAAGCTATGGAAGATTTACGACTTGCAAAAGTTTGTTGTCAAGGATTGTGTTGTTGTCTCTTAACATGAGCTAAGGACCATCTGATATGCAAGAGACTCAATAAGTCCATATTCGCAGCGTTATCTTGGATTTTTCACACGAAGCTACATTTTTGTACGTCAATTTAGCGCTCATTGTAGCCATGATTAATACTTGAAGGAGAATGAATGAATCATCACGCTTATCTCACCTACTTGTTTCGGAAAAGTTCATGTCTGCGGTTGGTCCGAATGATTGGAGTGTGGGAAAACAACAAATAAGGCCTGGTGCATGCATGTACGTGAACAACAACAGACCATACTTCCACCATGCCTCCAGTCGATTTCACGTGGTGTCAACTCAGAAGTCGGAGTTAACAAAACTCTAAGCATTCGGCTGGGATGTACATCTCAGCGCTTATAGCTGATTTTTTGATCAACATTTGATTACTATCGCAGTGTGAAGATACTTGCAACTCTACCTGTACTTCTTTCACCCCCTGTTAAAACCTTGATTGCCACGAGGTCAGATCCGAACTTTCGAATAGATTCTATCAATGAGGCTCAGGAATGTGGCAACATTAAACCTCTGGCATTTCAACGGTCTCGCGAAGGAGCTCAAAGCCGTTATTCTGTTGATTGTTCCGTAGCTACGTAAATCCAACTACAAAGTCCCAGTACTTCGAGGCCTCCCATTCGGAGTCACAGCGCCACCATGTACTGTAAATTAAGGATCTTGCAGATTTTCTTAGCTTTTGGAAACATGTGCGTCCACTTGGGCATTTGAGGTTAGCCTCGGAACTTTTGCCCGGATTGCAGCACCCATGCAGTAATTATCAGTCGATGGGTGAATCAAATGTGACCTTAGATCTTGCCTTGCGGCTGTAACTGGCGATCTCAACGATCACAGAGGTCTAAGTTGATCTGGTGGAACATGACTTACAACGTACACTAGGTCCATCACGTATTTTATATCATACTTAAGGTCGTACACAGTGCATAAATTAAGACTCGTCTCCTGTCTTCCGGTATGCCACATCCGTCATGATACAGTCATGGCGGGGCTGGAGATGAACTAACCAATCCTCCGAACGTTTCGTTAACTTTCAGATCTCGGGACAGCCAAAATTCGATGTCCCTACAATAGAACATCGAGCTATCATAAATACACTCAATCGTAAAAGCTTCCGTATAAGGACTGTGCTATCATAACTGCCTCACTTGACCCAGGATTTCGTAGTTTTGTCAGATCACTATTCCCGTATGAGTTTTCAAGGCCGATCCAAAATAGACCTATGCCTCTCAATCCATTCGCAACTCTTTGAATTATTGGAGGGAAATCTTTAGCTTGACGAAGCTTGGCAGTGAAGTAGCGGGAGAGTTCATTTTGGTACAGTAAGCAGAGTGACCCAATGCACAAGACTTCACGAAGGTTGAATACTAGCTGACCGATGAGCCAACGTGGATAAGGCTTGGCTTGCAGCGTGCCAAGTCTCATTCCATTGTCTCTAGTGGTGGCATTCAGCGGAGAGAGCTAACCATGCGTCCATGCCACTTGAATGGCATGGCGAGAGACCTTGGCAATCAACTACTTCCCATCACAACGCCACCATGACCCACATTCTATGCTCTTGATGATTTTCTGTCAACTTTTGAGCAAGCTCTGAAAAATCGCAATCTCTTGAACCATGGCCGACAATTATCTTAAATGAAGCGAGACATGCCGATATGTGTCCCACTGACAACGATGCTTCTCACCTTGCCAGATGGGTTTGAATGAAGTGGCTTTGTAATTCTGTCGAGATACTCTTCTTCAAGCTCCTTGTCCCATCCAAGCCTCTGATCCTAGAGGAATTTGTGATGCCTGTTCCCAATGGTTCAGAACTTGGACGATGCTTTCTGCCTAGGGCGGAAAATAAGAGTGGCCCCGGCCACAATCACAAACCAACACTGCCCCCCATCCACGTCCACGTCGATCCTGTGCCCTTCCCCGCAACATCGCCAGCCTCGCGAGAAGAGTTCCAGTCTTTGATCCTAAAAAGGCCAAGCTTTTTGCTTTCCGGGGAAAATCCCACCTGTTTCGTTCCCGCAAAGGTCATGAGTGGGGTGCGGGGTCCGGGGTCGCGCCGGCCGGTCGGGACGAAGCCTGGCATTCAACAGGCCGCCCAGCGTAAGCACCTCGGTTAATGCCAAGCTTCGCCAAGGGGCTTATGAGCCCATCCTCGAGCACTGATTCATGGAATTTGGGGGATAGAATCTTCCGCTCCATGCTTCCTGCTCTTTGCCATGCGCAGCTTGGCGATCTAGTGGATAGCTCCAACGACGGTAGTAATACAAGCCGAGAAGCTCTTCAAGCTACGTAGTTGACGGATGACATAGCTTGGAGAGCTTCCGGAGCTTGGGAACAAGAGCACCAGGATCTGACGTGGTGTTGGTATAAGAGGAGCGAGAAGCTCACAGAAAACCTCAAGTTACATCAATCAGTGATTCCCAGTCTCCCTAGTCCTCAATTGATTGCTAGCATTTTGTTAAGCCTTCCCACGCCAGAGTGCCCCTATTCAACTTCTTCACCGAGGTCGCTACCTGCAACTTTCATCATGAAACTCAGAAATCCCTCAATTCTATCACTCCTGCTTACTCTGGCTCAGGCTGCTGCCATTGAACGCCGCCAGCAAGGGGACGGTCCTGGCGGAGGCGCGGATGCGACACAGGGCGACCTTGGCGAACGGCCACCACCCCGTTTCCCGTTCCCTATCACCAAGTTTCCGGTTCCGAATGTGACTGTCGTCCTCACGGAAGCCATATATGTCCTTCCTGGTCAGGTTTTCGACGGCGGCATGAAGCGCTACGAGCGCGTTGAAGGCAGCTGCAATGAGCAAGCTGGTACGTCCAGTTCTAGTGTCATACAAATGCGACATATTGCGCACTATACTGACGTGGATGGCGTATCCAGAGGGTACGGATGCTGATGCTGTATTCAATCTCCTCCCCGGCTCGACGATCCGCAACGTCATCATTGGGAAACATCAGGCTGAGGGTATCCACGCACTTGGCGATGCCTGGGTAGAAAATGGTAGGACAGTCTTCTCGGCGTGGAAGTACCAAACTGACCTTATAATAGTGTGGTGGGAAGATGTGTGCGAAGATGCGCTCACATCAAAGGGCTTGAACACTCAGCTTAGAGTAATCGGTGGCGGTGCTCGCAATGCCACTGATAAGGGAAGAATACCTCGCGGCGTCGGGATCAGTGAAACTTGTGCTGACGGTCGGGCAGATCTTCCAGGACAACTCCCTCGGCGGGAAGTACAACATCACCGGCTTCTTTGCCGATGGCTTCGGAGTTTGTCAATTCTGCCTCCAGTCAGCGAGAAATCTTTCTAATCATATCTCGCAGACTTTTTATCAGTCTTGCGGTAACTGCTTGAACCAGTCAAAGCGAAACGCTACCATTCAGAATGTGATTGCGCTCAATGGCAACAGGATCGGCATCGTAAGTGGTCATGCCGGGATTGATGATTCACCGCTAAACTTTCCCTTTCACAGATCAACCCCAACTACGGCGACGAGATTCGCATTAAGAATACCCAGTTGAAGGGTTTGAAGGTGACGGTCGACAAAGAAATTGCGAACAATTTGCAGCTCGTTCCAATCACGGTCGGCACAGGGCCGGACGAGAAGTACGCTCTGTATAACGAGACGAGAGACGCTATCACTGAGTGGGAAGGCACTGTGGAGAACGCATACGAGCCTGAGGAACCGTATGAATGGCTTGAGGCCTACTGGCCAGATGGGTTCAATTGATCGCCCTGGTACGACATTTGGTGATGCTAGAGCCTGGAGGCATGACACCGTGGACCAAAGTTCTTCATGGTCTCAGCTGGAGATGGTTCAACCTTTCTCGAATACTACTAGCACAAATTAATAATTCGTTGAATGCATCGCGAATTTTTTTCCAACGTTCCTGGATTGGTCTTGGTTAGCCAGTCACATCGCCGATGGCCCCGATGGCCCGGCTTACCCGGCCCCGATTGACCCACCTAAATCGGATCGATTGATTCTCCACTTTGTCGGTCCGGCACCCGAGTCATCGCAATATCAACGGATTTGAATGTCATTTGAATTAGACAGAGGACAGAAGTAGACGAAAGTTCCTTGAGAGTTTGGAACAATTTATTTTCCAAACATCCATTTTTACCAAGACGTTAGTGCCTATCAGGGAGACAGCCAATTCGCCGCCTTTCGCCCGTGTCGACTTCTGGGTTAGTCCGACGAAAATCATGCAAGCTCTCCTCTGACGATCATGTTCTTTATGACATCAAATACGACTGTTTCAAACAGTCAAAAAAATGTCGGGGAGGATAGAAATTGAGTTGGACGCGCTTTTCCGAAGCCCTGCTAGCCTCCCTTGGTCGTGGGACAACACGCCACTGTATCGGAATGTCTGACTGCATGGGCCTGCAAAGCAACCCGCGTCAATGGCCTCGTCTGCCCGCCTCTGCCATCTGTTCGATGCAGGCTGCGACGGTTGGCCTCGCTTAGCTCAACTGCGGAGAAGGCCGGGCGACGACTCTTGAAACTGCAAGGGTCGAGATTGCGGATTAGAAATTGCAAGCAAACAGCTCTGCAAGTTGCGGTAACTCCCTGCTCGATTCTAATTATCGGAGGAGGCGCAGTAATCAATGGGTAGCTGCATGCAGGAGACGGAATTGGAAGCCACCAGCGACGTTTGCTCGAAATCAACAATGGTAACGGGTTCGTCCCTTGCGAACATTCCATTGCCGCTAGCGAAAACGGCGTTGGCATCATTGGCTGCATTCCACAGAACCTCACTTATCGGAACAAAGGCGAAAGTCTAGGGCCAAAACACATCAAAATTCGCAGGCTCGTATCAGCAGTCTCGGCTTCGGACAGATTCAGCTCAAGGGGGGGAAGCTGATCATTTTCTTTTTCGGGTTGATGATGCACAAAGTGTTCGTCCACGGGACCGAAAGCATCCTCTTGCACCAACAGGGCCTTGGCGATGTGCCCTGGCAAACAGTCCAACCAGCCAACCTAAGACATGGTCCACGCCGTCATAACTAGGAGCGCAAGGGATATAGCTACCAAAGCTTTCCACCCTTCCTCCCGCATAGCCCATCTGGTCCCAGCCATTCCTTTTCCCCGTGGCGACTGACAATCGAATTGTGACTTCTCCCCGAACTTCACTTCACGACAGGAGTCTGTCCGCGAAGCTCTGCTGGTGAACTGCGACCACAACAGCGAAGGACACTTTGTTGATGGGGGAGGAATGTGGGATAGGAAAACAACATGAGCTCGCCAAATCCCTACATCACGAACGGCACATGCTACCACGGGCCCGGAGAAGAGGTGGGAGAATGGTTTCCCTGTGGAAATGCACAGCTTGGGTACAAGACCTGTTGCCAGGGCGGCGACATGTGCTTGTCCAGCCATGCTTGCTACAATGGTCGATTCGGAATCACGTACCTCGCAGGCTGTAGCGACCCAGACTATCGAGATGCGAGTTGTCCCAATAAAGGGACCTTGAATGGTCAGTGGTCATCGCGTGGTGATGGAGAGAGAAGTGCGTAGACAACTAATCGTTTGCAATCCAGATCAACCGTGGGCAGGTCTAGTCTATTGCAACGGCACGTCAGAAGAATGGGTTGCTTGCGAACAGTCGGCGCGTCCTACGACTCTGACATCGGCGGACGCCTGCTGGTGTCCCCAAACATCCCGAACCGTCGCCTTTACCGATTCCTCCATCCTCCAAAATGTCGTACAGCTTCCAACAGCTCTGGGAGGGAGTGTCATCTGGCAGCCTGGCTATGTCCCGATCCCAACGCAGCCGAACACAACCCCGACGCCGACTTCACCCGCCTCAACGACCGCTCAACCCACCACGCCGACGGCATCAAGCACGGCATCGCAACCCACAGCGACCGAGGCGTCTTCAGTGAGCGATACCACGGGGATGACGACGAGCACGAAGATTGGTCTTGGTGTAGGGATCGCGGGTGGGTGCTTGGTTCTAATGGCTGCTTTGTTATATATTTGGTATTCCCGGAGGAAATGGCGACAAAATGGGGCAGAGGAATTGGAAAACACGACTGAAAAAGGAAATCCACACGCAGGTGGCTTGGCGAAACCACATGAAGCGACTTCGACGCGACCATATTCCGAAGCAACGGAGTTGGACGACACGTCCCGGCCCGTGACAATCGAACCAGCTGGATACGGATACAAAGGCTCTCCGATGATGGAATCAAATAAGGAATGGAAACGATCGCCGAAAATACCGGTTGCCGAGTTGCCCGGATAAGGCTTGGGGGAGAGCAGCTTTGATAAACCATAGTAAATCAAATAGAATTGTTGAAGAATACCTTCGCGAACATCCACAACCTCCTGTACACAACTGGGAGGAGATTTGGTGGCTTATTTTGTCCGCTGAGAACTAGCAGATCCTTGGTGTTGCCAGCAGTGTTGCCCGCAACAGGCACATTGCCATTATCGAGATGGTTTTGCGGGATCTGGAGCGACTTCTGGATCTCCAGTGGTGCCTCCACAAAGGTTGCAAGAAAATCAGACGTTACATGCCAGTCGATATGACAGTGGAATAGTCAGATAAGACATGAATATGGGTAATGTTCGTTGGAAGGATTGCACAGACATACCTGGGTTTTGTGCTTTGAAGTGAAGGACGATGTTTTCATCCGGCCGGAGTACGAGAGACTCTCGCCGCATTGGTTCTACGGGGAAGTCGCTCTTGGTCATACTTGAGTCTGCAAAAGTACCGCCCTCCTCTTCACGACAGCAGAGTAACTGCAGCGCTGGGCAACAGATAGATAGATCTTGTCAGCTGTCGCCTGCTGTGTGCAAACACCACCAATTTCGACAATGGACATATTATGCCTCTCAAACCACAGATACCGGCTCGCCGTCCGCGGAGTGCTTTACGGGTTCGGTCGAGACAGCTGGGAAGCACATGAATTCTACTCTGAGGGCTCCTTTGTGCTTTTCGCTAGCGACCTCCTCTACAAGTAAGCAATGTTGCCATTACACCATGATAGAGGCTTTCCTCAAGTCACTTTCTAACGCCGTATCTACGGGAGTGGATCTACTTCTAGGATCCAAATTTTCCTCGTCAACTCTACTTGCTTACTCTACATTGTCGCTGCCGGTGTCTCTTTTCCCGCGCCGCGTGGTTCTTCGAAGCACAAGAGTGGAACATAGATTTTAGCGGTGATGCTGCAGACGCCGGCGCGGGCCCTGGATTCTACGATATTGAACGAAGTGTTCGGCACGTCAACGTAAATCTCTCGTAGTTGCCCATTTTCGAAGACAACCATGAAGCCGCAATGCTGTACCCCCCAACTGAATGGCCGGGGTGGCTGGAGCCTGCTGAATTCCATCTTTGGCCGGAATAACTGCGCAGGTTTCTTTCAGAGAGGGACTATCTCAATGGGTACTGGGCAGACCAGAATATGGCGTAGGTGGGCTCCGCGGCCTTCCGAGCTGCCAACTCGGCAACAAATACCACTTAAATTTAGCAACGACGTCAACTCAGACCACCGGCATTCCCTTGGGGTTACATTGCCTATCCTATCAATCATGACAAAGACAGACCGCGAACAGTTTGGTGACGATGTAGGCGATCGGTGTCCACAGTCGGGCACCTGTTGGCTATCTTCCAGACGTCTCCCCGCAAGCCAAGGCGGGGTGTTGGGTAATATGCCGGGACTATGCGGCAGCCAACCTCTTCTTTACTGTACAGAGTTCTACATGCTTCTCAAGCACTTGGTAATTAGAGTCCCCTGTACGGATAGAGCTCGTTTCTTTCGTAGCCTCCCCACCCACGAATGTCAGCAAATCCATCTATACTGCCATCGGCTTGGGTAACTCCACCAAAATCGTAATCCTTACCCCTGATCCTGACCCTTTCACTGGGACTCGGGAGTGGTGAAAGGGTCCGTACAAGAACCCGAACCATCCAAAACCATTCGAGGTCGGATCAGCACAATCAGAAAGTAGAACTTGGTTGGCAGTGTTAAAACCCTATGGCTACTACGCTGTAAATCTCCACGGTTTCTTTACTTTTGGCCTCCTCATCATCTTGGCTTGTGGGGTCATTCCAGGAATCCAGAGTTTTTAATACACCTTCAGAACCCCGACCATCCGCGTTTGCCCGAGATATGCCGTGAGGCATCGAATGAGCTATGCCCACGGCTTTCCAAGTGGACTTGACTTAGAAAGCCACTCTAGCTAGGGTGATTGATGGGCCGTGTAGTCGTCTCAGCCAATGGCATGACAATCTCTGCATAGAGTTCGTTAAATCCATGGGCGGGCAGGTTTTGGATCGAGGTATCCACGGGGGCGTAGGCTTCCTTTCACTCCGCCCTTTATCAACGCTGTAGCCATCGAATGATCCCCTATACACGTGTGCAAGTTTTCCTGTGGAATCAGTCCAACTTTGGGGTTCAATCGACCTTTGAACGACGTTTTCATAGGTCAGTTCAGGCATCCATGAAGATGGTCCAATTTTGTCCCGCTATATATGCATTCGCTGTCTTCATGTACGCGGAACAAAATCCTGGTGCGTTGCAAAAAGTGGCCCTGATAAGGCTTCCCGAGGCTCCATCACATTCAAGACGCGACCCGCCTGGTTACAAAAAGACCCTGCGAGGTCACTGCGGAATACCGTCCCTCTAAAAAAATGAGAAACGAGCCTTTGAGCACCAGAACCAGCTAAAACATGTTGAATTCTTGCAAGCGAGTTTTACACATGGCGGGGACCTCGCCACTCTATCCGTAGTTCAAAATCTTAACAGATTACAATCGCGTGTTGCCAGGCAGTGTCAGGCATGACTAAGAAATCTAGCTGCGACTAGCACTGCTCGGGAGACGTCCTCGGAGTTACAATCTCGGAATTATGCTTTAAAAGCTTGTTAAGTGGCGCCCCCAAAAGCCAATTCGGCCAGACCCAAAGCCCCGGTTGGGGCTGAAGCCGGGATGAATTTCTGACTTGCAGCAGTAAACATGGGCTGAAAAAGTTTTTAATCCTGATCCCACTTTGGGTGGTTATGGAATCTTGACGATTGGTTGAACAAACGGTATGCGTATCCATGTGGAGCGTTGTGCTGTCCCGCTTTTTACAACTTTGACGTCAGACAGGCAACTTCCTGATTCATTCCTTCGCTAAGCCAAGATTCGTTACTCTCTATGGGATGAATTTCCACGCCTGGGTGTCCTAGTTATGCAACCGTGTTGGCTCTGTTTCGTTCTTTCAACGGTTGTGTATCGTGAGGCAGCATTTTTACATCCGACACTGTTGTAATGGGATGCATGGTGCAATTCTATAGGTATCCCCGGTTGAACTTTTTCAAATGTTATCTGTAACGGTATATTTTGGGGAACACTATCCGTAGAACAGCAAAGTACTGAGTAGGTTACTTTAAGTTTTGTCGTCGTGACCACCTGCCGAAACTAGGCTTTATCTAGTCTCGTCCGGCGTACGATGACCCAAGCGGCCGCCCAACAGACTTTTTTCCTAGCTTATTTTATCCGTTGAATTTCCTCTGATGAATCCGGCAGGGTTAGGATCATGTTGTGACGGGATCAGAGAGATCATCTGTGCCCACAAAGCGAGACATCAGTCTACTATGAATGCCTTCAAGCCCATTGAAGCTTCCAAAGGACCTAGATCTGTTGGGGGTGTCCGTCTGAAAAGTCTTCGAGTGGATGTTAAATGGCGATATAATTCGTCAGCTCAGACACCTCGAACCTACTAACCTCATGCCTGGCGACTGTGGGATAATTCGAGGACCCACAAGGTTTCCCTGATATCCACCGACCCAAAAAGTTTCGTTTTCCGCGTCACTAAGTCACATAGTCACACAAGTCGCTGACCAATAAATTGACATCGCAAACGAGTCATTCCTTTTCAAGATACGATCCAGACCGGGCGCTAGCCCACTGGCGTTATCTGGAAATCTGATAAGATCCAATCAGGATTATCGTGAAGCCAACGATTGGCTTTCCATCTCACACTCAGACGTCCGATGTTCACCGTATTGATAGCGATGCGGTATTTTTGGGGAGAACTTGATTCAAACATGGAATTTTTGACCGAGGAAGTTGTCCGTGGTTGAAATCGTCGCATCCGATAGCGTGACAAGGGATGAACGCTCCGCACCTTCACCGTTTTAGTGAAGCTAAATTGGTGTTTTTGCAAAGCTGTTTTTTTCTTCTGATTTTTTCCCATTTGACATCGGTTATAGGTGTGTTGTGACACCCATTGAACCGTCCCTAAATATGGTGCTTTGATCCGAGAGAGAGCCTGTCACCTTTGCTCATACCAATATCGCTGCCGCCGACTGGACGCTTTGTCCAGCATTCAAATCTGGCAAACATGATCGAACCGCGTGCGGCGAAGAAGCCAAAGCCACCCAATGCGCGGCAGCTCCTGAATGAATGGAATGTCAAGGTATATGCAGGAGTCATTGCCGGTGTCATCGCGGTTCTCATTCTATATAATTGGGCGCAACGGATTAGACGCAAAACCTCAAATTCGCCAAGAACTGGCCCGCCTTCGTCCCTTGCCAAGGCTTCTCGGTAGGCCCATCTTCAACCCGCTCTTGGCATTCGATCTGTCAGTCAGCCCTAACACTTCAGCAGAAGGATTCGTAGCCTGCTGGTCCGCAAGGTGCCGGGGTTTCCAACAGGAGGCCATGCCTTACTAACGGTTGCTTTCGTCGGTGTCAATATTGTCATGTCCTTTCACCACGTTGACAAAGCAAAGATGAGCAATTTTGCTGCACGATTTGGATGGTCAGAACTCGACGAACCCTCGGTTATCTTCTCAGGGGCTGACATTTCATTAATAGGATGGCGACCGCGAACATTTCACTGTGCGTCTTCTTCGGTCTGAAAAATACTCCCCTCGGTGTCTTGACCGGGCACTCCTACGAGCGGCTCAACTTCTTCCACCGTCTGGCTGGATACGCGGCCGTACTTCAGATGCTCCTCCACGCCATCTCCTACATGGTGTATTACGGAATGCAGAACCGGTGGAGTAGCATGCTCGAGGCGCAAAATTGGGAGGGCATTGGCGCAGGCTCGGCCTTGCTCCTCCTGCTCATGGGTTTGGCCCGGAATCTGGGCTACGAGTGGTTCTACGTGAGCCATCTGGTGGGATTCCTGCTTGCCGTGATTTTCATTGGCCTTCACCGGCCCTACTGGATATGGAAGATCCCTGTGGCAATGGTCTTCGTCGCCGCGATCTGGGGGCTTGACCGTCTCATTCGAGCGTCGAGGATGCTGTACAACCTTGTCAACAATAGTGCCACCATTTACCGGTTGCCTGACAACGGCGTTCGTCTGGTCATCAAGAAGCCTCTTTCAGGTGCTATTCCGGGCTCGCACTGCTTCGTTTGGATCCCCGGCATCCGGCCATTCCAAACACACCCCTTCACCATCGTGTCCAACACACCTCACGGGGGTTTGGAGCTGGTCCTCAGCTCTTATGATGGTTTCACCAAGGCTCTGCATGATAGAGCCAGCAATGAGACCGGAACAACAGTGTGGGCGTCTGTCGACGGTCCCTATGGAGCATTCCCAAATCCTAAAAACTACGAGAAGGTGATCTTGATTGCTGGCGGCAGTGGTGCTACATTCACCTTCGGTTTGGCTACCAGCCTGCTTCAGCACTTGGAAACCCAAACTCATATGCGTGTTGACTTCATCTGGGCTGTCAGAAAGAGGGGTTTGTCGAGTCCGACCATTGACATATGTGGAGTGAACGCTGACATGTGTGACAGAAAATCTAGAATGGTTCACGGATCACCTTCAGTCACTGAGCCAACACGGTGCAGGGCTGAACGTATTATTGCACGTTACCCGAGAAGGTTCTATGACCTCCTTAAGCGAGTCGTCGGAACTAAATGCCCCATTGCCCACTTCCCTGAAGTCACCGAATGAGAAAGTTGAAGCCCTCTTGCCAGAACCTGGCACGGAACAGAGCAAGGAAACTTTCCCCTCGAAAACGACAGTACCACGGAGAGACAGCTCTGTGGGTCTTGAGGGGCTGTGCGATATCAAATTCGACAAGTTGAGAGCCGGCGAAGCCATTACCCAGACACTACAGTCAGCTGCGCCTGGTCAGCGGGTTTTGATAGCTGCTTGTGGCCCGCCGTCTCTGACTGACGTTGTTCAGAATGCAGCCTCATGCTGCATTGCCTCGGGCGAAATCAGTATAGATGTACACTGCGAAAACTTTGGGTGGTGAGAATTTGCGAATCTAAGGGTATCGCTTGGAGAAAAGCGAGAGGCCTCTCCATAGCTCTCGTAAGGCGTCAAAGCAACCATCGCTACGGGAAATCTGCTTGAAAATTCATGATATTACATGTGTGGATGGAATTAAAGATCTATATACACGCACGTGTGCAGCTCAGAGTAGCTAAGCTCGAATGTAACTGGAACTTGGATGCAGTGACAGCACCTCTTCCCTAAATTCACCCAGTTCGGTGCGGTTTCGTCCCCGCCACATGCCTGGCACTCTGTACTACAACTTCACGTAGCTGAGCAAGTCAGAATGCGGACTCCTAGGGCATACCAGGTGAGGCTATGTCATACTCTGGACAAGGTATTCATTCTTTATCAGTCCTGGAAAGAAATTTTCTTCAAGGATATGTAATTTGCAACGGTTTTTGTCCTATATCATCCTCGTATACTCGGCCCTGCACGTGATCACATATTACACTAAAGGAACGTGGTCGGAGTAAGGGAGTGTGTAGTGGTTGGGAAGAAAGAGACAATCGCATCCTTGTAACAAGGATCAGAAACGAAAAGTTGAGTCAAACACAAGTTGTAGAGAGGGACGACAAATTAGCTTGCGCCACAATACCTTAGCTACATCCTAACGGTTCTTAAACGACTCAAAATATGTGAGTAGTGATAGAATTTCAGTATAGTAAAAGGGGAATACCTAATTGACAGACGCTAGACTAAACTCCTTCACAACGACTGAGCCCCCAAGAGACTTCGTGGCATAGTTGAAAACCGCGAAGCGGAATGCTAAGAAAAATTGCCATCTGTTGTGGAGCATATAATCTGGTCCAAGTTGAGTAAAGTTCTTTCCGTCGAGACTGTACAACAGCTGACTCGGGTTATCCGCCTCAACACCAAAGGTGGGGTGGACGTCTGCGACGATTCGGAGGTACACATCCGTAGCTCCGCTGGCAATCTCAGACAGATCAACTTCCGATTCGGTGGCAGTGGCCACAACAGTGCCGTTGGAGGTGGTCTGCCAGCCAGAACTTTCGGCCAAAATGAGATCGTGAACTGCAAGAAGCTTCAGAGTTTCGCCCTCCTTTCGGAAACCAATGTAAGCGGTCTCGTCGCGGAAGATGGAGACACCAGCCACATCACCATCAGCCATGTTGCCGAGGTTAAGTCGGAACGTGCCGCTGCTCTTTGGGCCCTGAATTCTGTGGGCAAGAGTGTTTCTAGCCTTATATAAGTCGTCCGTAATAGTTGCCGTGTGTAGCTCGAGGCCGTTGGGGCCAAGTTTCCAAGCACAATTGTCAGGGTTGTGGTTGAAAGCCCATTCGGCTGAAAGAATTGCGCTGTCGAAGTGATCGGTATACTCTCCGGCTGCTTTCACCTTCTTTTCTGTCTCTACGGGTACCGGGTATGTCTTGCCCCAGCCGCCGGCTTCATCCGTAACAATCTCAGGCCAGCCCTCTTCGTCCCACGTCAGCGGTGCCAGGACCGGGATTCGGCCACTGGGGTATGCATCCAAAAAGGACATGTACCACCAATCGCCATCAGGAGTGTCCACGATGCCGCCCTGGTGAGGCGTTCCGGAGTTTGGGATCGGAGAAGCCATTTTATCGAGAATGGTGCGGTTCGTGTAGGGACCCCAAGGGTTGTCTGCTTTCAGCACATGCTGGCCATCGGCAGGCTTGGTCAACCAGATGTAGTAACTAGAGCCGATGTGATATAATCTCGCTCCTTCCAAGTACCGCACTGGGTCAACCCAAACGACCTGGAAGAAAAATTAGAGATGCTCTTCACATATTCGTAATTTGGAATGGAATCATACTTCGTTCCTAACAGGCTGCAGTCCGTCGGGTGAGAGTTGAGCCACGCTGATATTGTATTTTCCGTATGCCACATACATAGTGTCGTCATCATCAACGAGGACACCCAAGTCGTAGAAACATTCGTCAATAGGTGGCTGAGCAGTCCATGGCCCTGCGGGGTCGCTCGCTGTGAAGATCCAAGTCTTCATTTCACCAGACTGAATGCATCCATACCAGTAAAACAGCCCATTGCTCTCCCGATACTTCAAAGAAGAAGCCCAGATGCCGGCCACGTAGGCACTGGTAGTGCCATTCAGGTAATACTCTTCTCCGAAGATGAGTTCGGGTACCGAGTTTCCAACATACTCCCAATCGACGAGGTTGTAACTTTTGAGCACAGGAGCTCCCGGAGAGTAATGCATCGTTGAAGCCGTGTAGTAATACGTGTCGTTGACTCGAATGACCTCCAAGTCGGCAAGGTCCTGCCATAGAACAGGATTCGTGAACATGGTTTTCTGGGCCTTGGCAGTAGTGGCCGCCAGCACCAGGGCTGAAAGGATAGAGAACCTCATGTTTGTCGTCGACTGTCAGGATTTACCTACCAATACAATAGAATGCCTCAAGAAACACTGCAGCCATGATAACCTCATTATTATAGTAATTATGTGAAACTAGCTCGCCGCCGCCTCTTTTAGAACTCAATCTTGACAATCTCCCCGTCTTTCGATGTCAAGCTACCTGAACCATTACAAAATGCCAAGAAGATGCCACTTGCGCACAAATAAGGCGATTGCATTACTCCCAATCCCGGGTCAGATCTATAACCCAATTGGTGCGCAACACTAAGTTGGGGTGACATGGGGCGGCTAAAGGCATGGGCTGGGGATGGATAAAAAGAGGAGAAAGGGACGAGATTCTCCAGCATCGTGCGGAGAAGTGGAACAAAATAGTTGAGTCCACTCGTAATTAAACTTAATGAAGGGTAGTATTGATAGATGAGTCAGCTCCTAGTCTTCAATGAGCTGCCGCCGCCTGCATGGAACAAGCAGTAACCCATCAAGGTAGTGTATACTGGGAGAGCGTCACTTGGGAACCATGTTGTTTCCGGGCGAGCCACGTATCGGCATCGGCTTGACAATTTTCCAGGCGAGGACGGAGTTTGCTACCTACGGCATGGATAGTGGTCCATTAGTCTGCTATGTCAATGAAATTGGCTCTAGGTAGTTCAAGCTACTAAGCGGTATCGCTCTCATCGGTCCTAACCGCACAGTTGACTTCAGTTATACGAGTCACTGATGAAAAAAATTGCAAATTTGATTCTTACGGATTTGCCACGACCTATGTTTGTGTGGTCCAGCTTGCTAAAAGTAATGCGACACTTCTTGTGATCTATAACAGATTATGTGACGACCTTGATGCGGGTTTTAAGTTCTTCAACATCCTCTACCAGCCTGCTCTTCCAGAATATACCCCTGAAGGTGATTTTCGGCACACTTTACATTGAAGAGCTCAGGCAGTGGTAGTGTCACAGTTAAGTCGTCAGTCCAAGACTATATGACATCCCCTGAGGAAGGCAACGCTACCCACCAAAGTCATGTTTCTCCCATTGAGTGATATTGAAACAAAGAAGCTTATCAGGGTCTCGCTGAATACAGGGACGCCGCCTATAACAAAGAGGATCACTTGAAGCTTCATGTTGGCTACATCCCCAAGATCATGGAGTTCTCCAAAATAGAGCGCCGTGACGAGCCCCACGATCACAGGGGCATTCGCGCCAAGACCGTATGGCTGACAGCAACATGCCGGCAAGATTGACATATTGAAATATTGAAGGCAACATGAAGGCGTTGAATTTTCAATAGTGTAATATGTTGAATGCAGAAAATGGAAGTCTAGTCCGCTTTTGGCCCCCTTCAGGCTTCGCACCCCCTTTCCGGACAACAAGAGGTTTTATTTCAGTTATGATCATCGATCTCCTGGACTCGTCTCATTTTGCAATGATAACGTGATCCTGCTGATAATGACATACTCTCCGCTTTTTATTTGAATGATTTCGTCTTGACTTAGATCCTCGCCACCACGATAACAATGACGAGCTTTGCTGTTATCCTGTTTGTAGTTCGCTTTCATTTGTTGAACTGGCTGCGTCACCGGACGACTCAATCTGGGTAAATTAGGGCCAGTATTCCAATGACAGTGGAAGATATGAGTCGCAATCAGTTCTGTGGCTCTACTTTTCCCATTCGGAATGGCTGGTCGTTCTCATGCGCTTCTCTTTTATGGGCCTCCCCAACCTTTACCTGGGCTTGAAGACTAGCAACTCCAGCCGCGGAGTCTTTGGCATCGAAAAGCATCGAAATCTCCTCCAATGTTGGACCTCTTGTCTCCACGAAGAAGAAGTAGATGACCAAGCATTCAATTACCAGACTTTCTCACCCCGCTCAGTCAGTTATTACCCACAATAGTACAACTCAACAGAGGCACTTACACGGCAATGTAGACAAAGTAAAAGTGCCACCCCAGCTGCTCAAGCCCCAATGGGTTGACCCACTGGTTGAAGACAGCACTCAACGTAGTGAAGCAAAAAGATAGAGTGAGTCCCTTTGCGCGGATGTTGAACGGCAGGATCTCGACCGTGTAGGACACAGTTAGACCCGGCCACGCGGCTCCAGCAACACCGTAAAAAACGAAAATCATGGCCACGACGGCGATACCTGCCGATGAAGACTGGGTTTGGGCGTATACTGCGCTGCAGGCCGTCCAGGCGGAAAATGAGATGAGCATGCCGACGCCAGCAAAGAGGAAGAGGGCCCGGCGTCCGATTCGGTCGACGAAGAAGGCGGCCGTAAGCGAGACGAGTCCGGACCAGATGGTTAGGCCGCCGTTGATGTAAGATTGTGTGATTGAGCTATACACCCGTTATTAGACCCAGCCCTTTACAAACGACTACAGCGTCATGGTAAGTAGTGTATGACTTACTCCTTGATACCAATAGTACCTAGAATCACGGCGAGCTGTGCGGTCTGGTTAGACATAACATTCTCCAGACTTGAGATTGCAAACCCAACTCACATAGTACGAAACCAATCCATTTCCACTGCATTGACTGAAGATGGCTGTCGCGATGATCAGCCCGCAACGCTTGCGGTTACCTGGCGTCCGGACGAGTTCCATCCAACCGCTCTGCGCCGCGGCGTCCTTCTCTAGCCTGAGGATGCTAGAAATCTCGGCAAACTCCCAGCGCACAAATTCGTCGTTTTCGTTGTTGTTGCCGTGGTACTTGATGAGAACCTTCTTCGCCTCGGCCTCCTTGCCCTTGCTGATCAGCCATCTAGGGCTCTCGGGCAGAAACCAGACAGCCATCAACTGGATGCCCGGCATCATGCACTGCAACCCGGTGGGTAGTCGCCATTGTAGGTCACCTGACTGATGGATGAGCGTCCCGAGGCCTGTTTTTACACCATCAAGTCAGACCTCAAGGTTATCACCTCGGTTCAGCTTCAAAGAGGAGTGGTGAAGGGAAACGAACAGGACCAGGCCGCGATGATACTCCCCAAGTACCAGAGCGTGTTATACAGCGTTGTAACTTTGCCGCGGTGCCGGGGATGCGCCACTTCCGTGATGAGGAGGGGACAAGTGCCGTTGGAGATATTGGAACCCGCACCCATGATGAAGCGCCCGACTAGGTACATTGCCTCTCTCCTGGAGCCAGATCCGACGGGGAATGATTGCAGCAGCGCGCCAAAGACGACGAGAATGCAGCCGATGGCGGTACCCCATTTTCGGCCGAGGCCGTCGGCGATGTAGGGCGCGAAGAGGAGGACGAAGAGACCGCCGAAACCTGGCATGGCACCAAAGATTCCAAGCCGACTTCCCTTGGGGTGGTCAAAGACTATCCGGGAGGCTGTCAGCATAGAACTATTCGTAAAATACATGCATCCAAGTCATGAGAGATGACCACCGGAGAAGCAACAACATGATTGCAACAGCACTCACAGGTCTGCCACGATTGCATAGTCTGAAGTCCGTTCAACAAGCTTCCATCGTAACCTAGTGTCGTCGAGCCGAGGAAGAGAAACACCATCATGAAGTAGAGCTTCCTCAACTCTGTCTGCTTGTACCACGGCAGTGGCGATGCTTCGGGTGGCTGCAGATGCGGATCATTCACAACCACAGCGTCGACATGACCAATGCCAAGACTTTCCTTCTGCTTCAGATCCATGGTATTATTGCGACTTGATGCAAACTAGAAAGAAAGGGCGCAACTCTTAGCAAGAACCTTAAGTTTTGAGCAGTCGTTACCGGGACGCAGGGTTGCTGGATCCCATAACCTTCGGGATCGGGACCGGGGAGACTATACTTACAATAAATCGGTGGACGGTTCTGGACAATGGCGTCTCAGTATTCCTCAACGCTCACCAACCCGTGTGACCCCTTCCTGCTTTCGAACAGAACAGCCCAACTCGAGGCGAAGGCCGAGCCGGGTGCCGTATCCGATCACGGCTTGGAAGCGGCTGATCAAACAGGCCACACACCTGCAGGAGAAGGACTCCTCTCCCTACGAGGCTTCACTGAGAGAAAGCTCGATTATCCAAGTTTTACCAGGACGGGAAATGATAGCACAAAACCCTTGATCATCATTGGAGCGACAGGTCCCTGTGGGGGGTGGATTGCGGGAATCTAGAGGAAAGACTGGATGAGGAGAAGAGGACGGGAAGTACCAGATCCAGTATTATTTCTCCACACTAGGTTCCGGGGAAACGTTCTTCTCAAGCTCTGGTCTGTGGCATATCCTGACATGGGGTAGAGGTAGGCATGTCGTGGTCAATTGGGAAGTTCGGGACGAGCGGAACCTGTTCCTCCGACCCAACGGTCCGGATGGCTAGCCCCAGGAGTGAAGTGTGAAGAAATGGATAGTCTGGGGGGAAGGGTAACCCGACCAGCCCACCAAGCCACAGAGTTGGGCTGCGTATCCGATGAGCCCAGCATCAGCGAGAGAGCTTCATAGTGTACAAATATTTCGGACCGGCCTCGTTGTAGCAAAGCATGAGAAGCAGGGAACGTTAGAGTTCCTCAACGGTCTGGAGCTATGCCCATCAGAGTTTGGGCCTGAATCGATTCGTAACCGGCCGGTGCGGGGCTTCCCCTGCAAGTTTTACGGTCAAGTTGTAATCGAGTGCAACGAAACTCACCAAAAGCCCAGCATCGAGTAGCAAATAAGAGCAAGAAGAGTAAATCCGACGTTTCTGCGACGAAGGAGAGTTCAAAACGCTCTGTTCCCGACAATTCTCCTCGGATGTCAACTGCCCCTCCCCCCGAGCGCCGCCTCGCCTTCACTCTTTCTTCCCCATCATTCTCCAAAGTCTCCGCCAACTCCCTCTCTTCCCGGCAGAACAAACGCGTGCGGGAATATCACCGGACGATCAAGACCCATGCGGCCACGTTTTGACAGATCCATTCTCTCCGGACTCTAGCCAGAGTAGCCTACCACATCGTCTGCTTGGCAGCTTCATTTTTTTAATGCCGCCCAAACAGGAAAAAGAGCTGAAAACTATCCTTACCCATACCATTTGATCATCAGCCCCTCCCCGGATTCTGTCGTAGTCTCCTGGGAGGATTATCCGAGGAGGATCGAACTCACCCACCCGCAGCTTGCATGCTCGCGTGGCAGATGCTCGAGCGGCAGCTTGTCTGATCCGATCTAATCTGGTCTCACCAGTCAAGCCACACATCATGGAAATCGACCGAGAAATGGTGCCACCACCGGACGGAAACGGGTCTCGCTCTCCACTTTCGACGTCTCCCACTTCACCGGCAAGTGGGCGGCCGAGGGCCAAAGTTATCAGGAATCAAAACGCCTGCGATGCTTGTCGGGCCCGCAAAGTCAGAGTGAGCAAGAGAGAAAGCCCCAGATTATCTCACGAGACCTCTTCTACGGGGTGAATACATGTACACACACTTGGTGCAGAGGGCTTCGAAAGCATTTGATCTGATCGTGGATGACTTTTCGGTCCATTGAGGTTCAACCCCGGACTCTGTTGGACTGACTGGATCGACAGTGTCTGTACGGCTCCAGCGAGAGCCGGTGCCAAGGCTGCACATTCCTCAACATACAATGCACACACGAACGGCCGAGGCGGAGGAGAGGACCACCGAACAAGTTCCGTCCATGTCCCGGCCCTGCATCTCATCATGGGATGGTGCCCAGCTGAGAGTTTGTACACTGACCAAACATTGATGGCAGACACGCACAGCAACACCACCACCAAGACCAGCAGCAACTTGAACAACAGCAAGCAGTCGTTGCCTCATCAGCCGCCAGCCAGACGAGTCCATCGGTATCAGATATCACCTCACCAGACGTTCGCTTTGCCTACCAAACCTCACCCGCCGCCTCCTCCTCGACCCACACCCAAACACCCCAGTCTCACACTTACACGCACACCCACACTCACTCCCACACATCTGCCGGGGCTCACTCGGCAGCAGACCTCCGCGCCATCATCGTCGGCGCGCCGAGTCCCAACAACAGCAACGCGGGAGGGCACCACAGCAACTGGCTCGCCGCCTTCGCCCCCAATGACCTCGTACACCGGATACTGCACGACTGGTTCGAAAAGGTCCACGCCCTCGCCCCTGTGCTCCACCGCCGCCGCTTCCTACACCGCGTCAAATCCGGCGAGGCCAACTCCGACCGCACCTTTTGCGCACTGGTGGTGAGCGTCTGCGCCGCGACGGTGGCGACGCTGCGCAGGGCCGATTACTACCCCGTGACGGTAGAGCGGTGCCTGGACTTCATCGAGGAGCACCATTTGCTCAATCACGGCCTCAGGAAGCCCGCCTACTCGCTCGACTGGTGCGTCGCAATGTACAATATCGGCACGTCGTCATGCTCGATCAACGAGGACGGGATGGGGGACATGGGGTCGTTCCACGGTATGTCTGAGGCGGCGGCGGGGACGAGGTTCCTCGCGTACTACCACATGGCGGACCTGGATGTTTCCGAGCAGCAGCTGCTGAAGAGGCTCTTTTGGCTCATCTTTGCGGCATATTGGTACGTGGACTCATGAGTGGGATCCCCCCTCCCCCACTCACGCACAACTTTGAGGGAGAGTAGAGATGGAGAATAGTCTTTGGTTGACGGTTTCAATCATCTGAACAGTAGTGCGGACATATTCGGGAGGCTGTCCGTAAGTATCGTCTCCCACCAGGAGAACCGTGCCCAACTGCGCCCCTTACCCCTGACAGACTCTCAACTCGAGACGGGGCCACACCTATCTCACGCGGAATCACCGTCGTGGCATGGCGACACCACCTCGTACGTACCGGGGCTAAACCAGCTAAGCGACCTCTTCCTGGTATGGCACGAGGCGCAAACCGCCCCCGTGAGTCTCTACGGCGGCCAAGAAGAGGCCCTCAAGCACTGGCTCGTCCAGATCCAGACAATCATTGACAACTTCCCGCCCGAATTACGCTGGCGCGGGGGCCTCTCCCGCCCATCTCACATCACCGAGGGCCACGACACGCAAGTCGTCAACCTCTTCATCACGAGCCTCAATATCCGCTCCAACCTGCTGCAGAGGTTCGGATCCGTTGTGAAAACGCGCGCGGCCGAGCACCAGCGCATCGTCGACGACCTGCTCGAGATCCTGTACCACATGCCGCAGCACGTCCTGGAGCAGAACGGCAAGAGCCTGATCCCGAAGCTGCGGGACTGCGGGGCGGCGTACATGGAGCAGATTGGCGTGAGCGGTGGCGATGGCGCTCTGGTCAGCGAGGGCGCCAGGCTCAAACTGGAGAAGCTGCTGAGGAAGCTAGACGATATCGATTGCTGGCCGGGCTTACCTGGGATTGAGAATCCGCAGAGTGCTAGGTAATGAAATGAAGACAAACCCAATAAAGATTACAGTACCCTGTCAAGTACCTCGTGTAACTACCTCATGCACGAACCGAAACATACCACGATGTTCCTCTGAGGGGGGGAGTGGGGGGGCGGGCGTAAACTCTTTCGGCGGCAGCCCGAACGCATCATTGTGAACTCCACACATCCACATACCGCCCGGCGTCGTTGCGGGTTGCGGAGATTTTCTCTTGGTTCTGGAGACTATGGGTTGTGAGGAAACTTGAAGCCTGGTCAACTACGAAGTATATCCGAAGCCAATTCCTTTCCAGGCCTTGGCACTTGGGTCAGGCCTTCTGGGATCTTTCAACTATTTGATTTCTCCAAGTAAATGCTTCATCAGGGGGGCGGGGAATTGGCACCGGGAATGTCTACTTCACTTTTAAAAAAATACGCAACTACCTACGTGGTGGGAGGTTTAAAAATAAAACACCCAAGCTGTAAGTTGAAGATGCGAAGAATATCCGAACCCATCTACGGGATCGGCCCCGGCCCCGGCCCAGGCCCAGCAGGTGATCTGCAGACATCCCGTCCAATGTCCCGCGGCCAGAAGGGGATCCCCGTCCCTGTCCAAAGCCTTAAGCAGACGAATGGCGGATCTTTCGATTGCCAAATGTAGGCAGAGGGGCGGAGAGCGGCCGACCGCCATAATCTCCCAGGCGGAACGGACACCGGCGAGGAGTTGGACCCTCTTTAGAGGGTTCCTCTTAAAAGGGTTTCATTGATAGGGATGCTCCTCTGGATATCCGTACCGTTCACTCAAAGCTCTTTGACAAAAGTCCCACCTGATGGAAAGCGATAAAAGTTCTCCAGCTCGTTGTTTACAACTCTTTACTCCCTTCCTTTCCTCTCCTCCGGCAACACCCTCTCTTTCTCCTTCACCTCTCTTACACACCCTCCCATGATCTGCCCACCATGACAGCCTCCGAGTCCCCAGCATCCCAACTCCCTCACCTCCGCCGCATCAATGGCAACACCCAGCTCTACGTCAAGGGCAAGCCCTTTCTCATGCTCTCTGCCGAGCTGCACAACTCCTCCCTTTCCTCCGCCCGCTTCATGTCCGAGGTCTGGCCCGCCATGAAATCAAACCACATCAACACCCTCCTCGGCGCCATAACCTGGGAGGACATCGAGCCCGTCGAGGGGCACTTCACCTTCTCCGAGCTCGACGCCGTGCTCGCCGGCGCGCGCGAACACGGCATGCACCTCGTCCTCCTCTGGTTCGGCACGTACAAGAACGGCATCTCGACGTACGCACCCCGCTGGGTGAAGCGCGACACGAAGCGCTTCCCGCGCGTCCAGGTCCTCGAAAAGGGGGGGCTCAAACGTACCATCGAGATGGTCACACCGCTCAGTGACGAAGCCTGCGCGGCGGATGCCAGGGCCTTTGCCGCGCTATGCAGGCACCTCGCCGAGGTGGACGCCGAGCACAACACGGTGCTCATGATCCAAGTCGAAAACGAGACGGGTCTACTGGGCGACTCCCGCGACCGCTCCCGCCGCGCCGAGAAGGCCTTTGCCACCCCTGTGCCCGAGGGTCTCCTCCGTCACCTCCACGAGAAATCGGCCAGCCTGCACCCGAAATTCAAGGCCCGATTCGCTGACCCGCCCGCCTCCGGATCGCACTCCTGGACATCCGTCTTCGGCCCCGGTCCGTCGGCGGACGAGGCCTTTATGGCCTACCACATCTCCTCCTACGTCGGCCGCGTCGCCTCGGCGGGGAAGAGAGAATACGACATACCCCTTTACACAAACACCTGGCTCAACTTTGACGACCCTACAGACCTCGACCTCCGCGGCGTCCCCATCGTCGTCGGCGGCGGCGGCGAGCCGGGCGTCTACCCCTCGGGCGGACCCTGCCCGCACGTCCTCGACATCTGGCGCCACAACACAATCTTCACGCCCCGAAAATCCCTCGACTTCCTCGCACCGGACCTCTACTTCCACAACTACGAGGCCGTATGCAGGGACTACACGGCCCAGGGCAACCCCCTCTTCATCCCCGAGCAGCGGCGCGACGAGAACGGCGCGCGACGGGTCTGGCTCTCCTACGGCACCTACGGCGCCCTCGGCGCAAGCCCGTTCGGCATCGACACGGGCCCCGAGGTCGTCGGCCGCGAGTTCAAGCTGCTCGCCCAGGTGGCGCCGTACCTCCTCGCGGCGAAGCCCGAAGACAGGTTTGGCTTCTTCTTTGACGAGGAGGTCGACCCGGCCGGCACGGGCGAGCGGTGGACCAAGGTGATTGGGGACGTCGAGGTCATTGTCGAGCGCGCCTTTGTATTCGGCAAGCCCGGTCCCGGCGGCGGGATGGTCATCCACCTCGGGAACGCCAAGTTCCTTGCCGTCGGACGGGGCTTCAACGTTCACTTTAAGAGCGTGCGCGAGGAGGCTACGTTTACGGGCATCCTCGCGGCCGCCGAGAAGGAGGTGGATGAGAAGGGCGAGCTGCGGACGTTGAGGGTGTTCAACGGCGATGAGACGCGCAGCGGCGCGTTTCTAATCATGCCCAATGACGATCCGGATTATGGAGGTTTCCCCATCGCGGTAACGATCCCGGCGCGGACGTGCATCGTAGAAGTTGAGGCGTATTGGGTTGCTGAGGATGAGGAGGACCGTTGAACTCTGTTGCCTTTTTAAGAACGGGGAAACGAGAATGAAGGCATCATGGTCATGTGAAAATGGCATGGTAAATATAGTCCAGGGGTCTACTACGACTGACTGATTGAGAAAGTTGTAAAGAGATACGATTTACAGATACGAGAAACTTGCTAGACAGATTGTACAGGCAATTGACGACGTTATGACATCCCATCACTTGTCAGTGTCAGCCTCGTGCTACTCACGGCGTTGGTGATACATTGGCGGGGTTCGATGATGGCTCGGCATCGGCTCCCACATCGCAAGGGCGTCAATGACAACCCTGACGTAGGCGCTGACAAAACACAACACAAAACACATATCTCCTGATTTGAATTTCACTTTGCTCATCTCATCCCGATTACCCCTTCTCTATTGTAAACTCTTGAATCTCCATAGTCTGGGTCCCAGTGTCTGTCGTTCGCAACTCACTCACTTTCATCTCACTCAACCTCACTCAACACCACGATATCCACCCCAAACCACCAAAACACCAAGCCAACAATGGCTTCCCCCGCTCCCTCCGGCCCAAAACCCACCACCCTAGCAGGAGGCTGCCTGTGCGCCGCCCTCCGCTACGAGGTCACATTCCCCGACACCCACGACTTCTCCGCCAACGCCCAGACGTGCCAATGCACCCAGTGCCGCAAGCAATCCGGCGCCCTCTTTGTCGCCTTCCAGCGCGTCCCCTGGCCCATGAAGTGGACCTCCTCGAGCGGCACGTCGACGCTCCGCGAATTCAGCATCACGCCCGTGGCGAAGCGGGGTTTCTGTACGGAATGCGGCTCGTGGCTTTACTATCGCAGCGACGCGAACGCGTGGACCAGTCTCTGTCTCGGGACGCTTGATCAGGAGGCTCTCATTGGGGAAAGGGGCCAAGGTGGAGGGTTTGGTGAATTACTAGCAAATGGTACGGGCGGGCATGAATGGTGTGAGAATGAGATACCGGGCGTGACGGATGATATCCCGATGTTGAATAGAGGACAGAGGAACCAGCAGAGTGCAAGTGATGCTGTGGCCGTAAAGGCCAAGCTGTGAGATTGGACTGCTGTATAGAAAACTCGATATGAGAACGAAACTCATGTGTAGTTGAGATTGCAACAACAAGACAACAGTCTTCATAAACCCAATGCATCTGCTCATCGCCGCCCACTAAGCCATCTCATCGTCGACCCCTTCCCCTTCCTCCCCTCATCCTCATACTCCTCCCCCGGCCCTACACTCTCGCCCCGCTCGTTCGCCGCATTCCACCTCCGATACACCGTCTCAACCAACCCACCAACCTCCTCCCTCGTCCCACCCACCGTCCCGAGCAGCAATAACGCCTCCGTCTCCTCGATCCAATTCTGCAACCGCCGAAACTCAACCTCCTTCCCGCGGAGTCTGTCCGGCATCCCCTGCCCCTTCATCCACGTCAGCACGCCCGCGACCACGGTGTTGACCCCGCCGAGGGCGGTGATACTCCGCCGGTGGACGCCCGCGGAGGGGCCGAGGCACGTGAGCACGCCGCCGACGACGATCTGCGTTGCGTGGCAGGTGTAGACGAGGATGGTGGCGAGGATGCGGAGGGTGCGGAAGCGGCGGTGGGCGGCGATGGTGGAGGCGTAGATGCCGATGGCGGCGGTCCGGCCTGCTTCGAGATTGCAGTCGTCACTGGGTTGAAGAAGGGCGTTGATTCCGACGGCACGGCGGAAGAGGAGGAGCGTTGAGGGGTTGGGATGGGGCTCGTGGTGGGGGGAGGAGGAGGCATCGCGGGGTAGAAGCGGGGAGTGCTCGTCGTCACTGGGACGGGGTGGGAGGGGTTTCGACATGGTCTTTCGGCAGTCGTCTCGGTACTCTGTTATCGGCAGTGATTTTCAAGAGTCTCGAATTCGGGTCGAAGCTGGAAGGGTTACATGTCGAGCGAGAGAGTTTGAATCCTTCCAGTCCGTCTTCTCAAGGATAACCGACGTTTATCAAGACCAGAAGACTTCTTGCGGGCCGCTGTGGACAAGCGACCCATGGGCTTGAAGCCATGATACGCATCAGGTCATAGGGGGTTACGGAGACCAGGCTTCTGGTTACATTTTGATATCGCGAACTGATCACATTGATGGTGTTCGTGTTTAAAAATATGGGTAAACCCAAACGTGCATTAACACGGAACGCTACAGCGGGCCGTCGGAGGGTGTGACGGAGTAAACGGCCATTGGCCGCAGATAAGTCGAGATGAGACCAGAGTCACTTGTCGCCGGTCACTCGTAACGGTGGAGTCTTTTCAGGCCAAGAGGTAACTGTACCTGGGCCCCGTCAGATGACTTTAGCAGAGCTTTTTCTTGATAAGGATCTTGTAAAGATTGAACAGGGTGTTTGAACGGCTGAGGCCGAGGGTTCCTGTACGGAGTCGGATTCTCGGTGAGATTTCGGTGAGGATGTGTAGTTTGGGGGAGAGGCTCCGGTGAAGCTGACCGGCCCCTTGCGTCGATGCACGGGAGCAACGTTGCAGGATCAGAGTGTAGCAAAGTGCCGCTTCCCAGCTCTAAGTGAAAAGCAATATCGCGAATTAAATCTAACATTTACTTACTGTACCTATTCAAAACACGCTTGGTCTTACATTGCCCGCGTGAAAGACCATGGATGGCGAGGTTACACTCTCGGGATATCTCTGCCGGGTCCTTGAGACTTGGCTTCTCACTCCCGGAGGTCCCGCTGCCTCCGCCGCGATGCCGCATTACTCCCTGGTGAAATTGTTTGAGGCGAACGACTTTGCATGCCGATCTGCCTCGTTAGAATTAGTGCGCAGCGTCACTGGTGGTTTACCACGACTACCACGCGACAAAAAGACTGTCAATTCCTAGGCGTCTTCGTTGGCGTCTGTCGATCCCTGACGTCAGGGACTCGGACCGAGCGCAATGGACATGCATTTCTCTCACATTCTAGCGCGTCGTCGAGCGCGGGTGCTGTCAGCGTCGTAACACATATCAATAGTCTGGATGGCGTCCGGGTTGGGACATGTTCCCGGCATTGAACCGAATCCCTCGCTTTGTCGGCCCCTTGAAGGCTTGAAAGGACCTAGAAGGGACCTCGGACTAGGAGAATCCGAGCAGCGCAATGAAGAGGCGCGAGGCGGTGGGACAGGAGCTGATGCAGGTACGAGATTCAAGCTTGACGCCGGAGTCAGAAGATGAGTCCGGGCTCAACATACCTGACGTGAGCACGCAGCATTAGGAGTCTCCTACAGGTGGTAAATGAGAAGTAGGACGAGAGGAAGAGGCTAGAGAACTGTGCAGTGCGGCTGTGTTTGCAGAAGTGAAACTGAGCCGCCGTCGGGAAGTCATTTGCTGGCACCAAGTGTTCGGAGGCACTACGCGTGTAAGCCACACCCTTTCCGGGTGACGGTGCGGTTCAGCGGCAACCGGCCGATGAGAAGGAGGGGGGAAAAGGGTGGTCAGGTATGTGTTAGGCGCTTGAAGCCTGTAGGATGACGCCAAAAACGGACATGAGGGATCTTCTTCTAGACTCCGCCGGGGAAGCCAAATTCTCACCTTACGGGGCCACGCGTTCGCTGACACTCATCATGGTCTGCTCTCTCTCCTGCCCTAGCCGCCTTTTTATTCTACAGTTTATTTATGCATTTTCATTTCTTGAAGAGAGTCTTACTCAATCACTCAGATACCATTTTTTGTGTCCCAGCCACGGAGAATTAGAGACTGGCTTAAGCTAATGATCGACCTCCGAATGAGAAAAGTGAGATGGCGGAAAAATAGAAGCTTGGCGGAAAGACATACAGGGCTGGTGAAACAGATTGGCAGGTGCCTAATGCAGGACCAGACTCGTTTTCCCTGCCAAAGACCACTCAATTTTCTGCGGGGAGTTGCACTGGGGGTGGAAAAATCACCTTCAGATGCCGACCCCAGGATGCCAAGTAATGGAAGTCCTCTTCTTTGCCCCAGAATGTAATCGACGACATTGAAGGAACGACGCCTTGGTACCCTTCACTCCGTCCACGCAACACTCAATCTCTTTTCTCACTCTAGCTCATCTCATCTCATCTCATCTCATCTCATATCACGACACCAAAAACTCACAAGGCTCATGAGGAATCACGGCAAATCACGGCAACTCAAAGTCGCACCGCCGTGCCTCCGCCGCCGCCTCATTCATCCTCCCGCTTCCAACCACGTCCTGCTCCGGCGCTCACCTTCACCATCATCCCGTCCTTCGGGCTCGTTGAGTAATCCTCGCCCTCGCCTTCGCCTTGACATGTCATCCAGACCTGCTGCTTCCCCTCCGTCATCCTTGTCCGACCACCCCCGCGTCCTTGCATGCCTAAGTGCCACATGCTGTACACCAAACCCCCCCCCCCCCCCCCCCCCCCTCCCCCCCCCCCCCCCCCCCCCCCCCCCCCCCCCCCCCCCCCCCCCAGGCCCCCCCCCCCCCCCCCCCCCCCGCCCCCCCCCCTCCTCCTTCTTCCCGCCGCCCACCTCACCTTTCCCATCGTGGCCAAGGTCCAATGAACGTCGCAATGGGCCGTCTGATCCTTCCAAAGGGGTTCGTTTCTCTGTGAACTAGAGCATGCAGTATACGGAAACAGCGCGAGAAGGAAGGCGAGCAAATCACCGAGTCGCACCCAGGGGGTGCCCTTGCCACGATGTGACCCGTTTCCCAGCGATGTGAGCTTATTTCTTTGGCTCTAGCCCGATCCTTTCACTCGAGCATCACGTATTTAAGTTCTGCGTTACCCGGGCATCCCATCTCGAACCCGTTACAGTGTTTCAATCTACCATTCGGAAACCTCTGTAATCTCACTTCACTCACCTCGTAAAACATCTCGAATCACTGTCCACCAGATCACTCGCTCAAAAGCAGAGACCAAATCGCAACCATGTACTCAACCGGCTCTCTCCTGCGCTGGACAGCCACATTGTTGGCGTCAACCACTGCCGGTAAGTTCATCTTTCTCATCGACGCCTCACAACTACTCCAAGTCTACGACGTCTCACTAACCCACAAAAAGTCTACGCCGCCCCGGCGCAGCATGCCCCGGCACTGCACCCAAGAGCCGACTTCAACATCCTCGTCGGCGGCAACGTCTCCCTCCGCATCATGCCCCTCGGCGCCTCAATCACCTACGGCCTGACATCCTCCGACGGCAACGGCTACCGCAAGGTCCTCCGCGACCTCCTTGTCGCCGACGGCAACCCCGTGGACATGGTCGGCAACCACCCCAACGGCACCATGGAGGACAACGACAACGAAGGCTGGCCCGGCTTCCGCATCGAGCAGGTCCTCGCAAAGGCCAAAATCTCCGTCCCCACGACGCTGCCGAACCTGGTCCTCATCAACGCCGGCACAAACGACTGCGTCCAAAACTACGACATCGCCAACGCCCACGTCCGCATGCTCGAGATGATGGACTACATCTGGGACACCTCCAAGCGCGCCACCATCGTCCTCTCGACCCTCCTCGTGAACGGGAACAACAACACCGAGACCTGCGTCCTCAACGTCAACGAGCAGTTCAAGAAGCTCGCCGCCGAGCAGCAGGCGCTCTCTAAAAAGGTTGTCCTCGTCGACATGCACTCGGACAAGGGCCCGCTCAAGAGCGACCTCGTGGACGGCACCCACCCGAGCGACGCGGGCTACGCCAAGATGGCCTCTATCTGGTTCGACGGCATCAAGGACGCCGCGGCGCGCGGCTGGCTCGAGTCTCCTCAGCCTCTCCCCGATAGCAAGAAGTCTGATTGACTCAGAAAGATTGCGCCTCTGCTGTACATCGTGTTCCGCTTCGCTGGATACCCGGAGCCGTCGAGCTCATAATGCGCAAAGGTCGAAGTGTCGGAGGAGTGTACCATCATACAACTGTACATAATTTTCACTGCATCATCACTCTGCAGGGTCATTAAGAAAATCATTGGACGGCGTTACCAGGAACCAAGAAAAAGGCTTGGAGGGTATTTTATAGTTTCAGTCTTCAGACGCATCGGATACAGTTTATCCAACTAAAGAGCTAGCAAACTAGCCAATGAGATTCATCTTCTGAATAGCCATGGTTTTTTTGCTTGCCGAGGCCGACACAACAGCTTCCCGAGGGTGCGGATGGGTACATCTTCAGATGAATTACGCGGATCAGCTGATCGCCGGGCCCCCCGGCCAGAGTGCCTCCACTCGAGTCCGGTGAGATCAGTCAGAGAGACCCCCTTTTCAACATTACCAAAGGCATCATCACAAGCCAAATTCATCAGGACGATAGCCAACATGTCTCGACCAGTATTCACTGCGGTGTTTCTCTCCATCTTCTACCTGGCAAAGGTCGCAATCTATGACCTCTCTGTCGCCAATGGCCTCATGGATTCCACGCAGCCGGACCTCCTCGGGGAGCCAATCACCTTCACCACATTAAAGCCGCTGGACAGGCTGCTCACCATGCTCGTGCGGTTTTTCAAACCAATCCTCGATGGGAAAGACCCGAATCTCACCCTGTTCTCAATCTTCATGGCCGGCCAACTACTGGCCGTGCATGTCCTCATTCAAGTCGAGGGTCTGAGGGCCGGCAACCGAGGGAGATTGGTCTCCTGGTGAGTTTGTTCTAGATATCCTAAGTCGGCAACGATCCTAACATGTGGAATAGCACAACCTCCTGGGGAATGCTCTCGCAACTCATGACCTTTGGCGCCACCCTGCCTCTCTACTTCCTCACGTATCTCTACACCTCCCCCATCCCAGAAGCACCAACACCAGACGCATTCGCCGCCGCAGTCTCCATCGACCCAGTCCAGGCCCGCGCCGTCATCGGCTCCCTGACCTTTGGCGCCTTCGTCCCGACCCTCCTCGCGGCGCTCCCGACCCCCAGGGTAATCACCCCGCGCACCCAGGAAATCTTCCTTGCCGTCTGGCAGGCGTTCCCCCTCTGGTCTGGCATCACCCAGTTCGTCTTCGCCCAGCTCATAGGCGCCCTAGGCGTAGTCTCGAAAGCCGCAAAGTCGAGGACGCAGACGCGCATCAACGACGTTCGCAGGATTTACGCCTACACCCTCTCCGTCGTCGTCCTAACGTCCTACGGCGTCGTCGGCTACGTCTTCTGGAAGTCCGACTGGGCCTCGGAGCCCGCGGTCGAGGCGCTGACCCAGATGTTTCGTCCTACCTTTCCGTGTTCCCAGGCAAAGATGGTTACACTGGAGAGGGGGATCTTGGACCTGTTGCAGTGGGATATGTACTGCGCTTCCTTCGCGACGTGGAGCTGGATTGCGTATCTGGCGTATGAGTCAAAGGGCGTCGGCCAGGCTGTGATCGACTTGGGGAAGTTGGTTATGTGGAGTGCGGTTGCTGGGCCTGGCGGCGCGGCGCTGGCTGTTGTTTGGGGGAGGGATGTCGAGGCTTTGAGGAGTTCCGGTGCTAAGAAGAAGACGGGTTGAGGACTTTGGAAACGGAGTATCATGGTGAATCGCTACCGACTATAGGTTGTACAACGAGGCTCCGTGGCAGGTCATTCCGTTGCTAAAGATCTGCCAGAGGAACTGCGACAAGGGCTCCGGGTACGTGGTCTTTGAGGCCCTTTCTCATCCCAGTTGTCAACAAATTATCGTTGGGCTGAAGTTAAATGCTCATACCAAAAAGTACTTGCCAACGTATGTGTACAAGAAGTCAACGACCACAGGGATCCAGGTTGTCAGGGCCAAAACTTGACCAGACCCGTAATCGATTTGTGGAACACGGCCTCCATCATTCTCAATTGTTTTGTGTCGAAGCCGGAAGAAGAACAAAGCATAATAAAAATCGTACTAATTGATAAAAAATGAAGGGGATAGGGGCGACAATACTGCTCGAAGAGTTCGATTGTTGCCTAGACTCTCCTGGAATACAGCGATAGGCATCGCCTTGGTTATTTCTCTAACAGCTTCTTACCCATGTTGCAAGTCGTAACACCAAAATGCTAATCTTTACATACCTATATTAGAATCAAAGTCTTCGTCTCCGGCTTATCCGCCTTCCAAGCTTGTTCCTGGACTTTTCCAAGACCAAACCGAGTGGGCGTCTCTTTCTCTGATCCCACTCAGCCATCATGACTTTAAACTGAGGGAACCGCCCCATATCCACGTGCACCCTCTCTTCGTTTTACCAATACTGAGACTCTGAGAGAACTAGGAAGTCAAACTTGACTAGGGGAAGCTGCTGTCTTCGGGCAGTGGGGATGACATGGCCAACGGCGGTACCCTTGTCGTCGAGCATCTCGGCCTCCCATTTATAACTCCTTCCCTACCTCATACTTCGGGCTTCTGGCTTCCATGCTTGAATCGTCCTGAGTCTGAGTAGTCTTTCCGACACTTGCGGGCTTCTTTCGCCGCCAGAGTATTTTCTTGCGGACAGCAGCAGTGGAGTGCAAGACGCAACTTCAGAGCCACAAATGAGACACTGGTCGCTAAGACTGAGGCCGTAGGGACTCCTTGGAGTATCCGTGGCGGCTTGATAATACTTGAACTCTCGTATCAGAACTTTGAGTTCGGACTTTTTTTCATGAAAGCCTCTCTTTCACTTGGCCTTTCGAAAGCAATTCTCGAAAGCAATTCCCAGGCCTTGTCCATTGACGCCCACGATGGAGGATGTGCTGTTCACCTCTTGTCGCCTCAGCAAACTCCCCTCGACATTCCTTCGTCTCTCTGGACTTCCTGCTGTACGCGACTTCACTTTTAGTTGATTCACAAGTCTCGGAATAGCAGCGAAACCCCTTCTTGGGCCAGAAGAAAATGGTGACTTTCTGGAGGCAGAAGCTGGTATTCTTTCCTCAGAGGTAGCAACTATCGTTCTCTGGATGATATGGGATACTCTATTGGAGGATTTCAGAAGTCTTCAACTAGTGAGAGGAAAAGAATTTCTTGATTTGACTTATATCATAGGACTGGAGGCCGGTAACGTTCCTCCGACTGGGTGTCATTTGTAGTCAGGTTTCTCGGTGGCGGGGGAGAATGCCGGGGCGATCTTTATCAGGCATGAAGGACTGATGAACCCGTACTGGGCATGATATGGAAGCTTGAAGCTGACACTGGCCACTATAGCAATGGTGGCATGGTCTTAGATCGTCTACGGACGTACATTTGCATGATTTTTTATTTACGAGCAGGTCCGTCGCTCGGTTTCCTGGGGTCTTGCTGGATGATTCAGAAGCTGTCCACCCATCAATAGCGAGTCCCTAACTTCTTAATGACGTCAAACGTCGCGGATTGTTCTTGCGACTGACTTCGATGGGCCGATCGACTGGCTAAGAGCTTCCAAGTTTCGTAGGCAACCAGACAGAACCCTTATAATTTCACGGGAGGTCTTGGAGTTTGGGGCGGCCTACATAGACTAAGAGGGGGCTGACGATGCATGTTGAGGCTGCATGTACCACGCCTCGTCTCTTGGAATGACAAGGCAGCCAATATGAGTGCTGCATACAAATGCTGCATTTTGTATGCAATACTGATGCTAGTGACCTAACTGGCACGGTTGACAGGCAAATACGCTTTCACTTTGAGTACCACCTAGGAAGAAAGCGTACAGCGAGCTGCAGTTTGAATCAAGAGGCTCCGGCACCAATGTTTGAGCGGCGACAGTCGGCACGAAGATTGTAAGTAGCGAGTGAGCACTTTGAGTTCGACTCTCGATACGTTTCTTCACCTCGTCGACATCAGCTCCGAGCTCCGTGCATAACAAGCCTTTCCGATTGTCTCTCGAGATGATTCAAGTCCAAGGGTAAACTAAAAAATCCACTTGTTTGACAGGGGATGTTGGCTGGATAGAGAAACGCGTATATCACTGACACCCGAGCTAGAGATGGCAAAACCGTTGCACTTACCGCAGTCTCCGGGAACAGAATTTACCTGGTTTTCAATGGAAAGACGAACTGATTGATATCTTCGATAAGCAGTGGAAAATTGTCAAAAAATGCAAAAGATGAATGAGGACGGCCCGACTCGAACGGACAGCCTTCTGGACTGGAATCAGATACGCTACCATTGCGCCACGCCCCCGGATTGTTGGCAATTAGTGGCCTCAATCAAATGAAATGGGACAGAGAGAGAGAGATTCGGGAAGGGCTGGAAGCGGCATTTTGACAAAGTGCGGGAAGCGTGCGGTTGTTATTTGTTGCAAGTGCGTGGAAGCGATGAGCCGTGTGAAGTTGTGAACTAGCGGGAGCTCACCGAGCTCACCCAATTCTGGGGACGGGGCGCACGGTCCATGCCGTCCGGAGAATCTTGGCTCCGCTTGACCCCTTCACCTAGGTGAACCTTTGCTATTCGTATCCCGTCGCATTTACCATCTAGTATTGCTTCCAATCTCCAGTACTAGTCCTTTCACAACCAGCACGCTACCCTTTTCTCTTCACTTCCCCAGCGATTCTGCTAAACCATAGAATCCCCCCACTCTCTTAGTGCTAAAAAGGAAAAAAAAAATAAAACCAACGCAAACCTCCCACGCGAAATCCCCAACGAAACCCGCAAACACGCAAAGAAAATGGACTACCAAAACCGCGCCGGCTCCAAATTCGGCGGCGGCGGCGTCGCCTCCTTCAGCGCAACAAACGCAGACCGCCGCGAGCGCCTCCGCAAGCTCGCCCTCGAAACGATAGACCTCGATAAAGACCCTTACTTTTTCAAAAACCACGTCGGCTCCTTTGAGTGCCGCCTCTGCCTCACAGTCCACCAAAACGACGGCTCCTACCTCGCCCACACCCAGGGCAAGAAACACCAGACCAACCTCGCCCGCCGCGCCGCCCGCGAACAAAAGGAAGGGAAACAAAACATTGACCCGGCCACGGGCTTGCCCGTCGGCGTCGTCGGCGCGGGCTTTGGGGCGCCCCGGAGGAACCTCATCAAGATTGGACGGCCCGGCTACAAAATCACAAAGATTCGCGATCCCATCACCCGCCAGCAAGGCCTCTTGTTCCAGCTGCAGTACCCAGACATCGCCCCCGACGTGGAGCCGAAATGGCAGGTCATGAACGCCTTTACGCAGCGCGTCGAGGAGCCCGACAAGAATTTCCAGTATCTCCTCGTCGCGGCCGAGCCCTACGAGACATGTGGCTTCAAGATCCCCGCGCGCGAGCTTGACAAGCGCGATGACAAGCAGTTTAGCTTCTGGGACCCGGATGCCAAGGAGTATTGGCTGCAGGTCATGTTCATGTCGGAGCGCGAGGAGAGGTATGTTGCGGCGCCTGGTACAAGAAGGTGAGGGGGAGAGGAAGGGTAGTTGCATTTTCTTTTTCCGGAAAGGGCATGTCAGACAAGAATCTATGACAAAAGACAACACGACGGGGTTTGCTGTTGCCGTGGTGGAAGGATTTTCTCGCTTCGGTGAGATCTGAGGGTGGAGGGGATATTTTTGCGGTGATCGGGATTCATCGTCTCGGTAGCATTGAGGAAACAGTGGCTGTTTGAGTCAAAGGGGCGATGTCAGCTCTATGCGATCCATCCCAGAAGTATCATCGGTATCATATCACGGCGTTTAGCGTGGGGATTTGGGAAAATGTAAGAATGTCACCAGACCCTGAGAGACGGGACGAGCTAATGTAGTCAGTCTTCAATAGAGGTTTGTGATGATTTGGCATGGCAATGGGATAGGATAATGATAAGACTTTGCCTGATATCCTCAAGTGAGATGTATCAACATCTCCAACAGAAAATGTACACCCGTAGTGAACGAAATTTTACCCCAGACTAATCTAGGTAAGGTAATCGTCAAAAAAAAAAGTCATGAGGTCACGAGGGCCCGTCTTGTTCTCAAATGCATCATCTTGATTGCATCCACACCTCCACTGTTGCCAGTCCTCCTCGTAGTCTCTCTGAATCTCACCATCACACCCATCACTGATAGATCCAGCATTACCAGTACATCCTTACAGCTCCTCCTCATCCTCCTCCTACTGTCTGCTTCATCATGTTTCTCATAATGAAAACTCTAGGCATCCGCAGCCGTCTCGACTCCATTTTCCCGCTGAAAGACAACACTCGGTTTGCCCCTCCCATCTACATGATTTGTGCGACTTGGTTTCTTGATGCGAGTCAACGCCCTTTATGCAGTGATTGAAAACAAAAAAACGGTAAATGCAAATCTTGTGAAACAAGAATCTGGTGTATTGGGTTGGCAGTAGGCAAAATGGAGTCGCCAGCGCAGCACTGGCAGTCTCGTATTTCTCCGGATCTCCGTGTCTTGCTCGGCGCGTCGGCAATCTCCGATACCGGAAGGCATGTCGCAAGGAGCTGGCCGCCAAAACAATGCGCCTATCACTCTTATCGGAAGTTGTTGTCGAATCGCTTGAAGGTGTATCCAATGAAGGGCAAGCTCATCTCGGGAGACTCCTCAACCACCGCCGGCACACCAGAGCGGGCTTGTTGCACGGCCTGCGCCTTGAGAATGGTCGCGTTATCGGTCTGGTCGATCTCGTCGGTCGGGAAGTAGGTGGTATCGATGGCGGAGGTCAAACGAGGCTCGAAAGGTGCCCTGATACGACGCAGGCTGTCGAACTCGACGCCTCTAAAGAACGAGTGCTGCTTGATTTCGTGCGCGCCTGAGCGACCCAGACGATTCTCCGTGTTACAGATCAAGCTGTGCCATGTCAGTACCCCCCCACATGCTTTCTTTTTCGGTCTCACTTACCTTCTAATCAGGTTTTCGGCTTCTACGCCAAGCTGAATGTCATCAGGGAAGTACAGAGTCTGCCTCCAGTTGACAATCTTGCGGTACGTATCGTGGCTGTCCTCGGCGCAGAAAGGAGGCCATCCAACCAAACATTCGAACATGATTGTGCCCAGAGACCACCAATCGCAGTCAAAGGTGTACCCGTGGCCTGTGAAAATCTCGGGGGCAATGTAATCAGGCGTTCCGACAGTGGAGTACGCCATCAATCTCCTCGACCGACGCCAGTCGTTGATCTGGGATCTGTTGCTGACTGTGAGGTTGATCTGATCAATGGCAACAGAATTGCGATCGCGTGGTTTGTTAGACCGGCCCTGCAGCAATTGTTGGTAGTAGTTGTTGTCGTGCAAGCGATTGAAACCGGTTGAGAGACCGAAATCAGTAAGCTTTACGTGACCGCCGCGATCCAACAAAATATTGTCGGGTTTGATATCACTGGGTCTGTCAGCTTTGCAATCTCGGAGCTTACAGACCAACTTTGACCTACCGATGAATGAAGCCCAGCTTGTGGACTGCCTCGATCGCAAGTACAATTTCAGCAATGTAGAAGCGCGTGATGTCCTCAGAAAAGATTTCGTACTTGATGAGCATTGTCATCAAGTCACCGCCGGGCAAGAACTCCATCAACATGTACAGGAAATAAGAGTCCTGGAAAGTGGTGAAGAGCTTGACGACCCAAGGACTGTCTGACTCGGCCAGAATATCTCTTTCGGAACGAACGTGGGCGAGTTGATCCTTTTTGAACATCTCCGTCTTGATCAGGGACTTCATGGCGTACACCTTTCCGTCATTCTTCTTTTGGACCAGCTTAACCTCACCAAAAGCACCCTTGCCGATGATCTTGATGGTGTTGTAGTTCTCGGGCTTGTCCTTGGTCCGCAGGAATCGCAGGTATTGGCCCTCCTTGCGACCAGCCGTGGACCAAATCTGCTCGCGTCTTTGCTGGCTCTGGCCCGGCTCGGAAAGCTTGACCTCCATTTCGCTTTGTCTGTGTAACGACGAGATAAGTACGTGCTGCGAATTTGAGGACAGGTTTTGTTCAGCACTCACCTCTGGTTGCGTTCTCTCGCGCGCTTCACACTGTCCTTGAAGAAATCGGAGGCCAATTGGGTACACTTCTTCTGGTTATTGTTGGCATTGGGGCCGTACTTCTCATAGAGTCGCTCAGGAGCGGGTGCAAAGGCCTCAACGGGAACCGCCTGCTGGGTTGGCATCGGCGGCGTCGCATAGTGTCCGTAACCCTGAGGCGTCTGTCCCGCGGCACCGGCAGTGCGAGGTCTTTGGGCGGGCGAGGGGCCACGGGACCCATAGGGCGATGCCCGGGCAGCGCCGCCTAGGTTCTGGTGAGAGAACTGGTGAGCGAGACCGACATTGGGATCGTTGGTCCCTGGAGTATTGGATCGCTGCTGGTAGCCCGCATTGTAGTCGCCATGGCCCTGAGGAGGATATTGGGCTTGCTGCTGACTCGGGTGGAAGTAGCCCTGGGGAGCATAACCGGTCGCATACGGCTGTTGCGGCTGCTGCTGCTGCTGCGCCGGGTGTTGCTGCTGGTGGTGCTGCATGCCGGCCTGCTGGTGCTGCTGTTGTTGGCCTTGGTGAGGGAAGACGGGTTGAGGGAAGGTTGAGGGCGTGGTGGGATACTGTCGGTCGCCGCCGGGACCCAGACGATCGTTGTTATTACCGATGTTGAGGTAGAGACGGTTATTATTACCCTCCATTGCGTAGAAGTTTCGTCTTGACTCGGGGGCACGTCGTGTGCGGGTAGGGGTTGGCAGTTGCGCAGGCTGTGCGGGCGACTAGCAGAGTGGCAGTTTAATTGACAGTGCTCTGGGCGAGCGGACCGTGGAAGTGAGGCAGCAACTACTATGTAGAGTAGTAGACGGCGGGGAGGCTGCTAGGGAGATGGGGAGGTTGCAGCCGCAGTGCGCAGGGTCAAGGCGGATGGTTGGATGGATTGGGATCGTCCCCCGGGGCGGAAGTCGAGAAGAATAGATTGCGGTGGGCACTGGGACTTGATGAATGGTAAGTGCGTGCCCTAGTGAGGAGGCCAGGGATGAGGACGTAAGGTACAGAGTATCGGGATGTTATGTCTGGAGATGTGAAGCATCACGGTCTACCACATACCTGGAGAAGTCGGATAAGTGTAAAGGGGGGGTTGAGGGAGCTAGTTTGCTATCCTCGCCAACAAAAGGGGGCAAAGGAGCAATAGGAGCAAAGGTGGCGGAGAGGGGCTCGATGCTCAAGGGGTGGGACTTCCCCGGTGCCAACACTCCAACGCTCGAAGCGAGAACAACGACTGCCGGGCGAAGCTAGGAAGCTAGCTGTGCGTATAGTCGGTATAGGAGGCGGCACGTTGAAGCACCTCGTGGCTTGAGCGAGGTGAGGAAAGTTGCAGCTGGCAAAGTCGAGATCGAGAAGGGGAGAGAGGTCAAAGTCACGAGACCGGCCTGCGCTGGTGTTGGAGGTTTGGAGCTGGTCTTTTTTGGGGGGATTCTGGTGTTTGGTACGGAGTGCAGACCTGGAGAATTTGGTAGCTGGTACTTGGTACGTGGCGTAGGTAGACAGTCAATCCCCCGAGGCGGTCGAGTCGAGTGGGAGGATTTCAGGTTTGATGTGGCCGTGGATGGGGCGAAGGGGGGGGGAGGGGGAGGGGTGATTGATGCACAGAGGGACGGACACCTGCGAAGCGGCCCCGGCAGTGAGGTGGAGCGGAGTGCAGGACGTGCAGGAGTACAGGAGTGCAGGAGTGCAGGAGTGCAGGAGTCGGTCGAGGTAGCAGGTACTCTGCACCGTTCCAACTTCGAAGCCCTGACTGCATGCAATTGGGTTCGATGTCAGTCGCTGCTCCTGCTGCAAAACGCAAAGGGGCAGAAAGACCAGACGGACTCCCCTGATGAAAGTACCACCAGCACCAGCACCTGAGGCGAGGCGGGGATCTCTCTGAGTGGCAGACGAGACGGGCCGGAGGGGGGGGAAGGGCCGCCTTCAGAGTCGAGGGGCCTCGCTGGACCCCAACTACCCCTGAGATTCAACTAATACCGAGCTGTGAATGGCTGATGGGCGGTGGGGTGGGGCCGGAGCTGGATCCACTGGGAATGCCTCCGCCGCATCTCCTCCACTTGCAGGTTTAGCATCTGGCCTTACGGGAAAAGTACTTTTAGCCGCTACGCGGGCAATCATTCACTACCTTACCCTATTGTGTAGATAGATACCTACCTTGGTTCGAGATGTGCACATTGCATTTCAATTCCTCTTATCTACTGTACATTTTCGACTGTCTTGTTCATATGTAACTCGTTACTGCATTGCATTTTAATGTCCATGTTAAAAACCTCCCGCCATCATCGACCGGAACCCGTAGACTGTGCGGGGCGGAAGCACCAGTGTGAGAGGTACCTAGGTACTTGCGATGCCTCCCCCTTTCACCGACTCTTGAAATCTTGATACATACCGATACTCCAGCCCAGTTGTCGGGATCAGGATGCTCTCGGTCCGTGACGTGAGCTCTAATTCGACTCAGTGACAGTCATTGACTTTTCCCTGTGGACCTCAACTTGCAATGGAAACAAACTCTGATCCAACTACCGCATCTCAAGCCTCCGTTTCCGGAATGCCTCTCGGTGCTCTTCACCGGGAACCAGACACACACCACGCCTCCCACCTGATACCTGAGATCCAGCACTCGCCCCGGGGACGAATACCTCGGGGAGCAAACAAGTTGCGATCGCCATCTTCCGTCTCCGCGATTGGCTTTTCACTCCACCCGTGCGTGCTGCATCGTCTTGGCATGTCGCCAAATATACTTACTCATTGCTATTGACTTTCTCGCAAAGTAATGTACAGTGGCGTAGCTATTGTCCGACGGTAACAGACTATTTCGGATTGTTTCCCTCCATCTGTGAGCAACCAACCAACCCGTTTAGCCATTCGGAGGGCTCAGGCGGTCGCATCACTTACGCATCCAGCCCGCATGGCTATCCCTTCCACCCTGTTCATCTCTCCCGCCGCCGTCTCGTCTCGCCTGCACCCGCACGTCACTTGGACCCTCTTACAGGGTCCTCACTCACCGCATTGTTGGAAACACACAATATTCCAAGACGCTTCGTCTCCGCAACGATATGCTGGCGTGCAATGCATTCCTCACCGAGAAGTCCTGCGGCGTAATCAACGGTCCCCTCCCACCTAGCCCAGCAGCCTGGCTCACGCTCGGCATCGGCACGAGGCATCATCCGCCGCCTACAGCCGCCGTGAGACACGGCTTTCGAATAAATAGCATTTTCATGCCGGCCCCGCTCCCGTCCATTTCTAGTCGATTGCCACACCTGTCACAGGAACAAGCTCACAAGCCCACCCGTGGCACATGGCAGCGTTGCACTCTCAGCGCCCGTACACAGTATGCATGGCATTCTTGCTCTTCGCTTGCTCTTCTATACCGCAGCAATAGGTGGCGGATTACCAACATCCCGCCGAGGTGAGCACCATCTCTTCATGTCGATTACGCCGTGTTCCCATTCACGGGACACAAATCATGGTGTCGATGCCTCGCGCTTGTTACCATCCACCACGTGAACCTCGTATGGCTGAATCTCGTCTCGTGAACCTCGTATGGCTGAATCTCGTCTCGTGAACCTCGTATGGCTGAATCTCGTCTCGTGACGGCTACGGGGAAATCATCTACCCAAGCTTCACAGCCATAATGCTTTTCGTGGGATGACGAAGCTCGGCGGTCGAGAGACGGCCGCCGGGCTCGATTGATGCCCTGTGCCTGTATCAAATTTACCTAATGATCCATGAAAAGCTCCATGCCCGCTGCCATCGCCGCCTAATGGTCACAGCCCTCACAGCCCAACGAAGCTTTCTCCGCTAGCCTGCCATCGCGACCTTTTTTGGCGGCTTTCGCTGTGCAGAGAGGTCGATCATGCATCAAGATCTGCCACTCTTCTCCGGGGATCGCCGGACCACCGGCTTGCCGCCAACGAAAGCACGCCGGCGTTGGCCTCGGCGTGGAGTGCTTTTAAATGGACAGCTTCTGACCGGTGTTCCGGATACGACCGGGATACGACCGGACTTTGTGCGAAGTGATATCACTGCACTTGGACCTTGAGTTTGACAGGCAACTGCGAATTTTATCTTCAACTCAGTGAGAATGCGAATGAAGAGTTGCTCATGAGAAAGATGCCGTGACAGCTCGATACGTACCTCCGAGTGTGGGTACTATCCTATTTCAGGAAGGCGGTCAGATGATATTCTGCGCTATGCCGTTTGGGGACAGATAGATCCGATAATTCGACGAAGCTCTTATCGCGACTAAAATTTCCAAAAACCTCATTCCCGTCCTCCTGGCTTGAGGTAGACATCTCGAGGCATTGCGAGCCGCCGTTCTCACAATCGCAATTCCAGTGCGATACTCCATTGCTATATTCGGGCATCTTTTGACACAAAAATCTGCTCGATATCCACCCATCATGGCGGACACAAACCCCACGCCGCCCGAGGTAAGCAAAGCAACAGACACAATCACCAAAAAGCCCAGCCTCGAATTAACATCGCATCTCCCAGGCGGCCCCGAAAGCACCGGCTCCCACCACATCAACAACGACGACGACGACAACGACAACCACCACTACCACAACGACAGCCGCCTCCGCCGCAGACGGCTACAAAGCCGCGAAACCGAACCCAGTCTGGCAAATGATGGGCCTCCGCGGGCCCCCCAAACGCCTCCCCTCGCGCAACTGGCTCATCTTCCTCTCCCTGACCGCCGCCTTCTCCGCGGCCGTAATCTACGACAAGCGTGAAAAGAAGCGCGCCACAGCCCGCTGGGCCGCCGCCGTCGCGCCCCTCGCCCACGAGCCCGTCACAGACCCCTCCCAGCTGCCCCGCAAGCTCACCGTCATCCTCTCCGCTCCCCCCGGCGACGGCCTGCGCGTCGCACAGGACCACTTCATCGAGTACGTGAAGCCCATCCTCGCCGCCTCCGGGCTCGACTGGGAGTTTGTCCAGGGCCGGCAGCAAGGGGACGTCCGCGCCGCCGTGGCCGAGAAGATTCGCCGCCGCAGGAGCCGCGAGGAGAGGCCCGAGGTCGAGCTGCTGCCCACCGAGGAAAACATCCGCGACGCCGTGCGCGCCAAGAACGGCACGCCCGAGTTCGAGGGGCCCGGCGGCGACATCGTCATTGGGAGACACACGTGGAAGGAGTACGTCCGCGGCCTACACGAGGGCTGGCTCGGCCCCCTCGACCCTCCTCCCAAGCCCGAGGCGGTGGTCCCTACCCCTGAGCCTGCGGCGGAGGCTACCTCCGAAACGGCCACGACTTCAACAGCAACAACGGAGGGCGGCAGTGAAGAGGAGAAGAAGAAGGAGGAGGAAAAGAAATCAGACCGCCCCCGCCAACCCGTCCCGCACAACACCACCACCGACTACCAAGCCTCCTACCTGCCCTCCTCAATCCCCTCCGAATTCTCCCCCTCGGAACCGGTCCAGTTCCCCCACCTCCTAGGCTTCGCAGGAACCTTCACCCGCCTAGGCCGCTTCTTCAACCGTCGCCAGCTAGCAGACGACGTCGGCCGCCAAGTCGCAGCCGCCTGCTTCGCCGCCTCCCGCGAGTACCGCGACGCCGACGCCGACGCCGACGCCGCAGACCAGGACGTCCCCGCACCGCCGTACGAGCAACAGCGCGCCCTGGCGCATGAGGAACGCGACTGGGTCAAATCAGTCTGGAAGCCCGTCGATGAAGCGGCGGCCGACGAGGAGGAAAAGACCAAGGAGCGCATCTGGGCTTCTCCGGTCGTCGTGGACGCGCGCATCGCGCAGCGCATGCGGCGGTTTGAGATCCGCGCCGAGGATGAGGAGCGCGCGAGGCAGATTGTCGTACCCGAGACCGAGATTGAAGGCTGGATCAAGGGGACGCTGCGGTCGTTGGGCCGGTGGGGGTGGGCTGCTGTGAAGGGAGACGAGCGCAAGGGGCCCAATGTTGGGAATATTGACGACGAGTGAAAATATCCTCCCCCTTTCATTGTTGGATGGATGACAGGCTGGCATCTGTGATGGGTGGTGCGCCTGTTGAAAAGAGAAGGACTGGGAAATAGTGTATAACCACCTTGAACCACCCCCCACCCCAACCCCTTTTGCGCGACTGACGAAAAGGAAGCGGCGGTGGTCCAGGGCATATTGTAATTCTAGCTTGACTTTCTTGTTGTTGTTCTGGTTTCTCTTCCACTTTTGCTGCATGGACAGGAGCGCGGGAGGCATTATAGACTAGGGGTTCAGTGGCAAGAAGCCATCAGCCCCCGCTTGTTACGAATATTACTGTACATTCCTCTTTTTCTTCAACCTCTCTCTCCTTGCCCAGTGATGTGTTTGTCTCTTCTTCTCGTGAGACTGTGACATGTGTTTGTGGGTATGTACATGCTCGGAGTAGCCCCAAGCATATTAACATGTACAGAAATGAGACGCCAAGCACCATCCTCGTCAGAATAGTATCCCGTCAACAGCCGCCGCCCCCCACCCCCCGGGATGGATGCCAAACCAACATACATCTTGGGTCATCGCAGCCCCCTCACTCATCGTCCGAATCAGACCCGTACGCCACGAGACTCGGCTTCCCTTTTACCGGCGCAGCAGGGACAGGTATACTCGTAGCCGCCGGCACAGGCAAGCCCCCCTTTCCAACACCCTTCAAAGCACCCTTCACCTCGCCATCCCCCTCCCCACCCGCCTTCTTCTTCTTCTTCTCCTCCTCAACCTTGCCATCATCCCCCCTCTCCCTCTTGACCCCAAACCCCTTCTCCTTCCTCCGCCTCTTCCTAGGCCCAACAGCCCACTCCTCATCACCACCATCCGCCCCATCCGGCAGCGTAGAATCCGCCACACCGGCGGCAACATCACCACCACCGCTGACAGCATCATCATCACCCTCACCAGCCCGCTTCACCCCCTGCTCCTGGCCACGCGCCCTCCGAAACGCAGCGAGCCCCTCCTCCGTCTCCCTCCTCACCTTCTCCTCAGCAGCCCGCTTCGAAGCCCTCACCTCGTCCAGGAAATCAATCTCGTCGTCGTCGAGCGCCCGGAACTGGTTCCTAATCTTATTCGCCTCTTCAAAGGCGGCTTGTTTCGCGGCTACATATTTCGCATTTTAACGATATTAGTCTTGTCAACTCCATGAATCCCACAGCTTTTCCTTCTCCCCCCATCTTCCCTTTTGTCGTTCCCCATTCCTCCATCTCATCCATGCATATAGCCTGAAAGGGGAAAGAAGCAAAAAGAAGGCCGGGGGGTTGAAAAGAGGACCAAAAAAGAAAGAAAAAAGGGAAAAAAATAACTCACCTTTATTAGCCTGCAGAACATCATAAAGACTCTTCTCCCCGCCCTCGACGCTCTTGATCCTCGCCTCCTCCCTCCTCTTCCTCTCGGCCTCGAGCTCCCTCTGCACAATCTCCCACTCGGCACTCTTCTTTGCTTCGACTGTAGTTCTTGCTCCTGCTCCAGCTTCAGATCCAGCTCCGCCGACAGTCGTCGACGTCGTCGTCGTCGTTGTCAACTTATCATCAGCAACCACAGCCTCGCCCGTCTCGGCATTAATCGCCCCCGCAGACACGAATCTCGACATTGCTTTTTTTTTCTTTCTGTGCTTCCTCTTTCTCTTTTCGTGTCGCTTCTCTCTGGCGCAATTCTCTTTCACAGAGTTGAATTCCCAATCCCTGTCTAGGGGTTAAATAGGAAAGAGAGAGAGATAGTAAAAGACCCCCCACAACCCCCGTCTGCAAAGGGGGAATCAGGGGAGAAAAAAAAACAAAGCTAATGGTTTCCTTGCAGCGAGACAGCTTGCGTGCCTGCCTAGGTACCTTACCAGAACCTTTCACCTCAGGAGCTTTCGTCTCCTCCAACGTTCCGGCTTTCGTGCTATTTGCCCTCTGGGTAAGGGTATCTGGGGTGGGGGCCGCCGCTTGTGTGTCTGGCGTCTTTAGTTCGAGCGGTTTCGGCGAGGTCCAGGCTAGCCACAGCCTCTGAAAGATGATTGGATTGGGAGAATAAGATTTGATCGTCGTCCGCATAGAATAAGGTTTCCTCTGATTCTGAAATGTGACCTCTCGTTACGCAGGGCCTTTGTGAGAAAGGCATTCGTGTGTGGGTGAGTGAGTGGCCAAGGTTGAGGTTAAGAATTGGCGGATGGGACGATGGCAGATGGGCGAATCAGGGCGCACCCGGGAAAGACGGTCCCCCGGGTGGGGGAGCGGTCCAATTAAAAATACCTGAGGTTGTTTCCTCAACTTAACGCCTGACCTCCCCCCAAGTTGTCACCAATTCCTCTCAATACCTCCGCCAGCTTGGCATCACAATTAGACATATTCATCAAGCAGACACATGTCAGCTCTGAGAGGTACACTGATTTCTTCATGTCTTTTTTTTTCATTTTGCTTAATCGTCTAGGACTGCGTCTTCCAATGCTTCTTCAGCAAGTAGGCTATATCTTTGTCGTCGCCCATGGGTATGAATTTTGTGCTCCGTCGCTTTTTCCCTTTCCAATCTCGTCCTTTCGGTGACCACTTTTCCAATCCTGCTGTTGATACAGCTGCCATCAAAAATTACCCAATACCCACGACTGTGTGCCTATCTTACCAGCCAACACTGGGCGACGTAAAAATCTAGACCCAGTCCCGACAGCTTTGTGGTTCGTAGGGTTCGTATCCGTAAAACCGCGCTCCATCACCATCCACCAGTTGAAGACAGAATGACGTGCCTTCCCAGAACAAAAACGAACGTCTCCAACCCATCCCAAACGCTCTAGTGAATGCCAGTACACGTCGGCATGAAGAGAAGAGTAAAAAAATAAACGTCTAACAATGTCATAAACAATAAAAGCCGTGGAAACAGCAATGGCCGACGACAATGAGCCCGCAGACTAATGGGACGGACGGTGCCAAATGAAACAGAAATGCACCACAAAGAGAAAAATAAATAGACTCCATACCCGTCCCTTGAGGAATTGCCTCCCATTTTGGCCAGTTAACACAAATGCGGAACACCTCTCCATGTCGAGTCTCCTTTTTTTTCGTTCTCGAGGAATAAGAAATCGTATGCTCGCGCAAAGCTAGCCGGTAAAGTGAAATAAGATCCGTATGTACCCTGTGCATGATGCCATTCGTCTTTTTTTTTTTGGGAGTGGCAGCACAAACAAGGCGCGCGCCAATAACCATGACATCTTCTCAGAATTGGGAGCTGAGGATATCCGTCTTGTTGTAGACAGAGTCCAAGCCGGAAAAGAGAGCCGGGTTGTTGCCGGAACCAGATGAATTACAGGGAGACAAAAGTGGTCTCCATGGCTTGCCACAAAAGAAAACGGATGTTGACAGCGGTGGTCGTCGTCGGATTTCGATCATAAGAGAAAGCGTCCTCGTCGTATGTGGTCACCAAACCGACCAAGACGCTCCTCACTTATACGAGACATTTACCAACCGAAATTGTAAGTCGACGTTCGAATGTTGACAAATCAAAATGCCGATAACCAACAGACTACCACCACCATCACACCAGAAACGTAGCCAAGGGGTCTAGTGAAATAAAAACTCCGTGAGGGTCGCGAATGAAGACCCTGAGACGCCAGTGATGAATTTATCCGTATACCAGGGGGAAAAGAATTAAAGAAATATGTCATTAAGGGTCGCAGCCGCGCGTCGTAACCACCCAACCTCCAAACGCATTGTAGCTGACAATCTAGTAGCCAAATCAACCGCGTATGGTAAGGCGATGGTATCGAAGGGGTAGACGTGCCCGTGTCGTAAAGTCGAATGACGACGTTGGGACCATTCGGTCAAATAACCGCTTCTTTCGGTTCTCGTCGTGAGAGGGTATCTGAAGAATGCAAGTGTATCGTTCATGCCAGAAAAAAAAACAAAGTCCGCGTCTCCGGCGACGCTGGACCTCCCAAACTTTTCCGATAACAAAATTCCCTTCCAATTTCGTAAGGCGATTATAGTCAGTTCGCCGGGTATCGCCTCAGCTTTAGCCCATCACAGGCTGGCCAAAGTTGGGGTGAGTGAAGTACGTAGATGGCTTAGCAGGGCCAACGCAGTTCGCACAGCTACACTCAGCAACACCATGTTCCCACATGTTTTGCTGGTAGCCATAGTGTCCGGAGTAGTTCTGTTGGTTGTGGCGATGACCATAGTAGTTGTGCGACGGCTGTTGGTAGCGAGTGTTCCACTGACCCGTTGTAGCGGCCTGAGAGAACCAATCATTGTAGCGGGCATTGGCCGAAGTGGCTGAATTAATATATTCGGGCGTGCCATAGCCAGAATCGGGAGGAGTGAGCGGGGCATTTTGCCAGTTCCAGTTGCCATAGGCTTGCTGGTGAGCCAGCTCGTTGCGCTTGATGGCCTCGTAGCGCTCGTATTCAGCCGCTTGCTGCTGAACAAACGTATGATAGGCGGATCGTCCACCGTATCTATTGATGTTGGTGTCGATGGTGGGGACGAGCCTCTCTCGAGTGACTCTCGCCGCAGCCTGGTCCTTGAGGACCTTCCAATCATCCCAGCTGGTAAGCCAAGCCTTGTAGTCCGCGCTGTAATCGAGGTTGACGTAAAGACGCCAGCCAGACTGCTCCAGCCACTCATGTTCCAGAGCGTTGAGCTCAGCAACTGGAATACCGCTCACCTCAGACCAAGAACGGTTCTGGAAGGTGTTGTCGTCCAAGAACTTGCTGCCGAGCAGCAGGGACACGGTCAACATGCGCCAGACTTGTCCCTCCGGTACAGTATACGATGGGTTGTTTTGCTTGAGAGTGTTGACCCGCTTCGCGAGATAGTTCATGCCGAGGAGGATGGTGCTCTTGGGCAATCTCGTCGATGACAGGATCTGCGAGACGAACTTGCGGAACGGAGGCGTGACGGCGGTGGTCGACAACGGCATGACAACGCGGGTTGCCATCTCGGCAACGAACTCGGCCATTTGGTCGACCTCGTAATCGAGAACGGCACAGACACCTCCGGGCATGATGGCGGTATTGAGAAGGGTCCGACGAAGATCGAGGGGAGATCTTTGTCGGGTGGGAGACTGCTTGATGCACTCGTGAGAGATACCCAGCAGTGGGAAGGAAGGCCGCGTCGTGCTAGCGGTGGATGTCCACAGCCGAAGGAGTCGGGGTCGGTGTGTCGATTGGGTGAGGGTTGGTGACACGAGCCCTTAGTAGCTGCGAATAGCCATCAAGGGTTGTAATCGCGACGAAGGAAAACGGACTTCTAGAGATCGAGTCGAGGGAGAAAAGTACAGATAGCTAGTTGGTGACAGCTTGAGACCCAGCGGGAAATATGTATCCTGGGCGGCGGAATGAATGCTGTGATGGCTGACTCGAAAAAATGGTACTTGAACGGAGAAAGGTCGTCGAGGCGTCAGAGAAAATCAGAGGGCCGCAAGGGACGGGACGAAGAAAGGTGTGCAAAGCAAATGGAAGGCCGCAGCTCTGTCCTGTTTGGTAAAAGGTCAGCGAGAATATCCAGGAATCAGAAAACTTTGACTGTCTGTGCCTGAGTCTGATACACCAGCTTCGTCGAATGATGCGTCAAGTGGTGGCGGGCCGGTATTGGACTGCGACATTGCTAGGCGACGACGTGGGCGACAGCGGCAGAGAAGGGTGTACCCTGCGTCCACCCAATGCAGTGGCTATTCTGTAGCCCCGGCACACCCAGCATAGAGAAACAAATGCTGCTGCTTGAATTGCACGTTTGGGACTGAAGTGCTTGGAAAAGCCAAGGGTAGGTCATTGACTGAAGACCGATCCGATCGTGGCACATGGGCGGAACGCCCCTAGACGATGCCGAAGTATGCCTTACGTTGAGACCGCTCGTCGTTTTTGATCGCATTTCGGGGGTGTGGTATTTGGATGAAGCTCATGTACCAGGCTCAAGGGTGGCTCCGGTCGCATTGGTCATCGCAGCATCGGGGGCGCCAGCTTACCTTGAGGAAGGGGACCGTTAACAGGTGTACGAGGCCGAAAAGGACGGTGTTACTTGGTGATGTTCCAAGTGTCGAGTGCAGCAGACTCAGTCAAGACGAACAGGTTTGTTCTCTTCTTGCTCAGTGTTGTGCGATCAAAACGTGCTGGGCCTGGATGGGTTGAGGCGCGTAGAGAGGCGACAATCGAATTCGACGACACCGTGGAGAGGCAGAGGGGAGACGAGAACCTGAATCCTGGGTTGTCGATGACTTTGGATGGAAGATCGTGCAGAGTCGAGGGACAGCGAATTTCGTCGTGATACGGCGGATTCGGAGGTTTGGAAAAAGAAGAAAGTTTCGAGGAGAGGAGAGGAGGAGAGATAAAGTCGGACAAGAAGAATCTCGAGGAGAGAGAATGGATGGGATGGGTTGGGATGGACGGGATGGAGATGGGGAGAGAATGGGGACGGGGGTGAGGATGTAAAGTGGAGAGAGGAATGATGGCGGCGTGCGCGTGAATGGAGGCGAGAGAGGGCGAAGTGAGGGAAAAGTGGAAGGGGCGGCAGTACCTCAGGTACCTAGGCCCAGGCGAGCCAGGTACCTAAGGTACCGAGACGAGGTTACCTCTGGCCTCTGGGTGTGGAAGGTATATGTGTAGGAGGAAACAGGTGATGGGTACTTGGGGAGGCTAGCAGGACGGGGTGACAGCGACGGTGGGTGGACAGCCCAGCAGCAAAGTGGACTCGGTCACTCTGTGCGGCCACCGGTGCACTCAGTCAGTGAGGTACCTCAGCATACGCACGCTACCTTACCTACCTTACCTTACTTGAAGCCTGAAGGAACCAGGCCAGCAAAAAAAGGAGCGGGCCTGGGGGAAATAAAAAAAAAACTCACACGCTGCAGCACAAGCAACATCCACCCACCTTTCTGGGCACTAGGAAAATGAAGAAATTGGAGGGGAATAGTACATTGTGTCTATTAGGCAACGCGCAGTAAGTACATTATGCCGAAACGACTGTGTTTTCTGTTCACACATCAGGCAGCTTGCAGTACTTGACTGATGAGCGAGACGAGACGAGACGAGTGTAGGATTGCAGGTATTCAGCTGGCAGTACTCCGTAGGCCCTTGGACATACCTCAGTTTTCGGCAGTACCTACCTTACCTTATTGTATGTGTGGAAAACGCGGTGTCCTGCCCGAAATGGCTTTACTCCTGGCTGTCTAGATTAGTACAACTGGGCAATGTGGAACACACTGGCGACTGGGATGGGAGGCAGCGGGAAGACTAGCCGTAGTGCAACAGGAGTCTGACTGGCTGGTGCTCTTTGCACCCCCCGCACAGGACGGTGGTAAGCCCGGCATGGAATTACAGACTTGGGATTGCCACAGTCGAGAGAAATAAGTACCATAAAATTTCATAACAACATGATGGAAAATCCAAAATGAAAAAAGCAAGAAGAAAAAAACATGGGCGGGTCTTGGACTGGGCCGAACGTGGAGACGACAGGGTGACTGGCTCCGACGGGAACAACGCTAAAAGAAGGTACGGAGGTACTTCGTCATCGGGACAAGCGAGGGATCGATACGTACTCCCGACCCCCGTTTTAGGACAGAAAGGGCGGCACCGGATGATTGAGGACGAGTGTGGGTTTCAATCCTTAGATTGGACGTCGAAGAGGGAAGGGGGCGCTCTTGCTCCCGGCTCCACTCTCACCCACCATGAGCCCACGACACGACACCGCTCCTGCTGCAAAGTAACCGGGGTGAAGGGACTAGGCAGCTGGCCAGTCAGTGGCCGCTGTTTAGTGATGATGTCCCAGGGAAAGTGCTGCTGGGTGGGTGGGCCGTCAATGTACACGCCGACCGGCGATGGGCACTCACTCTTTAAGCTCACTACTTTTTTGAGTGTGTTTGTGTGAGTGTGTGAGTGTGTGTGTGTGTGTGTGTTGAATTTAAGGTACTGCTGGGTGATTGGACTTTGCTGTCTGAGGCAGCGACACCAATGGTCAGGTCCAGCATGCGATTTTTGGTGCTGCAGATCTGTCTTTCTCTGTTTCTCTGTCTCCCTGCCTCTCTCTTATGGGCAGTCGTCTCAGTCGGGTCGAAATAGACCAGGGCAGCCAGACGGATGACTGGGACAGCAAGACGATGCAGCTGCAGGCGCAGGTGCAAGGGCCACTTGCATCCTGTGGCATGGAATCCTCTATCCGTATGGTCAGTG